CCCATGCAAGGATGTGCCCCCACCAGCCACATCGCTTGTAACCACAATGGCGTAAATATTGGCATTTATTTAAAAAAATTATCATTTTAATTTCAATAAATTTGATTAATTTCAGCAATTTCATTCGAGATGTATTAGTCCAAGAGCAATTACGTTCAGCGCTGCTCAAAGAAACCTTATTCTCGATACATTCAACCGAAATAGAAATCAAATAGCTGCAGGAGGTTTTCGCGTATTTTTGCCAGCACGACGAATGGCTAGAGTTACATGGAATGATCAATTGGCATGGCTTGCAAGGTTGAATGTCAGATCATGTCAAATGGTAATTATATAAGACCTTTTGAGACTATTTTTAATGTACTTAACGTGTTTCTTTGTGACAGGTACATGACTCTTGTCGCAACACCCGTAAGTGAAGTTAATTTCATCGTTTTTCATCTTAATAATCTTTTCCGTTTGAAATTAAAAAAAATAGCTGATTTCCGTTGGGCTGGTCAAAACATGGGAATTATATCGACAACTGGAAATTTCCACACAACTGATATTGTTATCAAAACAGTCATTGCGAATTGGTACAACCAAAATCAACATGCGCTTATGTCTGATATGAACAGATTCGTTTCAGGAGCTCCAAGGGGACAGTAATTACTAATTTTTAATTCAATTATCATTGGTTACATAATACATTTTTAATTTAATTTCGTGTCAAACAGAACTATTGGTCATTTCACTGCAATGGTAACTGAACGAACAACACAGATTGGATGTGCCATTTCTCAATATGAAACTGTTAGTGGAACTACCCGCTGGCGTCATTCCTTGATGACATGTAACTTCGCCTCTACCAACATGTTGAACTGTCCCGTGTATAGATCAGGCACAAGAGCTCAAGATTGTACTCTTGGAGCTGACCCTCAATTCCCAGGATTGTGTCGTGCCAATGAACCCATCAATCCAAATACATTAGTTGGATGTTAGATATCAAGTTTGAAGAACAGATAAATTATTCATTGTCACAATGATAAATAAAATTTATTGCATTCGAGTTTTATTTTCATATTTATCTCCTAATTAATTGAAGCTTTGCGTGTTGATATAATCTGAGACTGATAATTGAACCTTCAAATGAACGACTTGAGGTGCGATAAGATTCTTTATCAGCATTTTTCATTCACTACCGACATTTAAGCTTGGGGATGAATGTTTCATGTTGAAAAAGTGTTGAGAGAACATAATGAAAGTTACACGCAAGGGGTTTGTTTAACAAGTTAATCATTTTACTCGGCAACATGTGAGATCGTCAAGTTCCATAAATTGTCATAAAATTTGACTGATTCTACTTCATCAAAAAAAAGGTTTTTGTGAAAGAAAATGAAGACTTAATTACGATTGAGAGTAATGACAAAAAAAATGTACAAAAATTGTCAACATTTTCTGACCAAATATTTCCAAATGCTTTCGAAGTTATCTAATCAAGCAGAAAAAAAGTAATTCAATTGAGGTTCGAGAAGTTCTTCCCGTTGAATGACAATTTTACCTTTTAGCTGATGTGAAATTATGTAATGGCTCGGTAGATTTTGTTTCCACGGATGCGTAAATAATGTTCAACATGTACGATAATATCAAAACGTTGCTTGACTTAACATGTTAAATTATTTCGACTGCACAATTTCCAAATTGAAGGTGAAGTTTGAAGATGAAATTTAAATTGTTTAACATTAAATTTACAACATTTATTCATGTTGTGTGTTATGGAAATAAGTTTACTTCGTAATATAATTTGAAACTTAATTTTCATGTTAATAGAGTTTTAAACTGCTACTCATTCCTTAAAATAAAATTAAGAATTATTCCTTTCTACTTGCACTGTTGTTGGAACTTTGAATAAATGTTTAAAGTCAGAAGATTAATTCAAAGCAATTTCGTTTCATTGAATATCGTTATTATTGTTTGTAGCAGCAGCAATGCTGGCTGAGAGATTAATATGTTGATCATGGGTGAGTTGAACAAGATAAATGTATGTAATCTGGAATTGCATGCAGGCACGTAGCCCCAAGGATAAAGAAATAATTCAGATTTGACGAATGCTTTCCAACAACAGCAGGTACCAGCAAAAATGATCTTTTTTAATATCCACTAAAAGGATTCTAAAAAATTCATCACCGAAAATTGTTACTTTGAGTGTTCTCATTTTTAAACTTCAAAAGCTTTTCGATTAAACTGAAAAAGATTTGTTAGGGTAAAAACAAAATTTTCTTCTTATTGAAAGCTTAAGAAGTAAATGATGGCCTGGACCGTCACCTTGACGAAATTGAGCTTTTTTTGGGAAGTAAATTTGTTTTACATTTCCCAATCATCATCTTCATCATCAAAGCTTCAACAACCTTCATCTTAGAATTACAATTAGAATTTCAACAAGAAAAAAAAGAAATGGAGATGTTTGCAATTTAATTAAAACTTCATGGAAAGAAAAGCTTCTTTATTTTCATCATCACTTTAGGGCTTTTCTTCGGATAATCATTTGAAAGATGCTTATTTTTATGTAAAGTTTCGTTTATTTAAGTAAACTTTTTGTTTCGGGTCGTCCTTAAAACGTCTCTGAGTAGGTCAGCAACTTTCAAGCACGTAAATATGTTCTGTTCATTCTTTTTTCTGCTAATCTAGCTTTTCTACTCTAAAATATTCAAGGAGAACATTCTGAAAGTCTAGTTTAGGGAATTTAATAAGCGAAAATGTGGAAGTTGTCCAAACGAAAGTAGATAAAGATCCTTCTTAGTAAAATTCTTTATGTATGGCTCAGCACTTTGCATTTTTGAATCTAATTTTGATACTTTAAAAGATATAAAATAGTTTAGTCGTTTTCTAAAAAATATTCGTTTTATTTTTTTATTTCTTCAGTCTTAAAACAAGAAACAACAAAAACATCAAAATTTTCCTATGACATTTATCGACTATGACGAATCATTGTAAACATAGCGAACGATGAGAATGGTTTGTGCTATTGCTAAACTCCACATGAACTTGATATTCATCGAATTTAAGGAACTCACGCTTTGCATGGCTTCGGGGTGTTCACCTGTAAAAATAAATGTGAAGTGATTTGCATTGATCGACATTATAAATGCGTAAAAAAAAGGATCCGTCAACGAAGCACGCAGAAAAATAAAAATAAATCAGAAAAAAAAGAAAATTGGTTGCTGGGTCGTGTTTTATTTTCAATTAGTTGAGAGGTAAAAAAAAAATAAAAACGTAACGAAATGGAAGAGAAAAAAGTTCACGCACCAGCTAAAATGTGGACATGTACGGTTTTGCTATTGGCATTAGATGGACTACATTTGTATTTCCCCGAATCGGATGGTTTGGCTCGTTGTATCAGTAGATAAGATGTCGTGATTTCACCTTTCTCTGTTATCACTGAGACGCCTCCTCGTGGGCTATCATAGTTGATCTCCTGCAATACAATTACAAAACGTTTTAGAACATTTTCCAACTCTCACGCACCACTTTTGTAATTTATTTGAATTATCTTGAGCGAAATTATTTCATGCTGTCGAAATTATCATAATTTTTTATATTCCTGAGAGTTACTAAATTATTCGACGCATGTTGAAATTTTAAAATCGTGTATCTTGAAAATGTTTCGTGAGAATATTTCAACATCTTTCATACCGTTTTTTGTGATAAGAGAAGGACGAGTTTTCTTTTCTTTTTTACGAAATTTAACAAGCAAAATTTTCATTAAATTTGTATGAAATTTTTAATTAATATTTCCCTGAAGAATTCCTTAAGAAAATGAAGGAAAATTTAAATCTCCACGGCATCACTAAGTTCTTCTAGATTTCTTTTGATTTCTTTAATAAGATTTTGATGTTATTTATTTTAACTAAGTAGAAGAGTGTTTCAAATGAAATCCATTAGATTTCTATTTTCCAAAAATTCTAAGAAATCATCTTTGGATACTTTCCAAAGTTTTGTAACTTTTACTGCTTACAATCAAGTTTTAAATTTTTCTCACTTGAACGATTTTAATTTTCAATCATTACACCAGCAATTAAACCTAATGAAACTTTTAAAGACTTTTCAATTGCTAGATATGATTTATAAATGTTCCCGTCTCTATAGCAATTCTTTTAATTAACAAATTATCGTTGTAATTGAAGATGAGAATAGAACTTTTCCATTGGCGTTTTACCAACAAACAATTTAAACAGCTTGCTTGAGTTAAAAGTAAAAGGAAAGAAAAAATCTTGCTAATGTCTACATAAATATCTTTTGAAGCTTTTCGAATGTTTATAAAATGAAATGATGTTGTTTGAGACCTTTGAAAGCTTATGTCAGAAATTGAAAGCGACAATGAAAAATTGAGTTCACAAATTGAAATTGATAGATGGGTTTGTGAAAAACGAAACGACGGAAAACGAGAAAGAGGCTTACTTCGTCGTCATGCGTCCAATACATAGCAAATGGCGATTCGGGTGAATTTTTCACTATACATGTCAAGTTAATTGTGGATCCTGTGTTGATAAAAATCTCCGGTCCCCCGACAATTGTCGTCAATGGCTCTGTAAAAAGCAATTAAAATTCCTAAATTCAAATATAATGAATGACACTACAAGTGCCTCAAACCTACCAACGACTGACAAATAAACAGGATAACCTCGAGGCGGTGTTGTTGATATTTGACACTCATAGATACCCGAATCTCTGATTTGTGGATATTGAAGCTAGAAAAGAAGGAAATGTCGTTGCCATCAATGCCTTTAATAATAATAAAATTTAATTAAATATCATTGAATGAGTGAATACCTTCAAAATCCATTCTTCTGATTCAGGATCGTGTATGCTTTGAAAACGATTATCGCTTGTATATGAAAATGTGCCAACCGTCAAGAGGTGAATGTCACGATGGCGAACCCACGAAACCTGAACGAGCAATGATGAAAATGAGGTGAAAGAAAAATAAAAATGATGATTGAAAGAAACGCAAAATTGTCGTCGTGAAGAAATGTTAAGAAGAAAATTTACCGTCTTATTTCCAATATTCCGTACTCGACATTTCAGATAGGCGGTGTTCTTCACAAGCGTTGAAACATTCCTGAAAGCCGTGTAATCGAAATACGGACCAGTTATCGGCGTTTCCGTGCTTGTCGTTTCCATCACTTCGTTAAGATTGTCGTCATTGCTTCGAATATTCCCATCATCATCAATTTTGTAACCCATCAACTCGTCATGGTATGGATCAAACGTCGATGTGATTCCTGAGCAGCGAGAAAGAAAGTGAGTGAGGTGATAAAAGCGTAAAGTTGAAAAGCCTCAGCTATAAAATTAAATTATTGTTATTTGTTCGAGCAAGTGTGGGTGGAAGGGGAACGGAACGGAACAGAAGAGAATAAAGTAAATAAATAGAAGATGAGATGGAATGAAGCTCCAAATGATATCGTTGAGTCTACAAATGAAAGGATTATCGTTTATCAGCAACAGAGAAAGTTTTGTATAATGGAAAAGAGAGAAAGCAAATCCTAGTAGAGTGATTCAGGCGTGACCAATTGTTTTCTTTTCATGAAGCTTACAATTCAATTCATCTCTTCCCCTCCCCCCCTTCCCTTGAAAAACCTTATGGAAGGAACTTCTTTTTTCTTTCGTTTTTGTCTCTATCTCTCTTACCCCATAAGCTTTGAGGAAAACCCTTTTTCTGCGTTATCATCTCGCTACATTACGTTATTCGCATTCAATTTATGCAAGCAAACAGATTCCAAAAGGTGGCAAGGGTCGTGAGATAAAAGTGTTAAGAAACTGGTTGAAATTGTCTCATGTGCTCCCTTTCTCGCACCATAAATCTTTTGCTTGAAAGGCGCTGCTATGTAAGCGAGAGTTAAATTTTGTTTTCGAAGGAAAGCAGAGAAGAAAAAAAGCGTAAAACGTACCTGAACACCCATTTAATGAATGTAGATTTAAACAAGTAACCTGACATACCTTTACCGAAAGGGAAGTATGAGAGTTAACATTAGGGAAAGTCAGGAAGAAGGCAAAACAATTTATTTGATTAACGTGGTTGAAGGTGCTTGCCTGCCTGCCTGTTTGCTTGCTGCCTTTGTGTACCAAGATTGGCATCGAAAGAGTCGTTTCGACAGCAACCACGTTCACATTCACCGCCACGTTATCACCAAATACTTAAGACGGAACTTTCATTTCAAGACTGTTTTCGGTTTATGTTCGGTTCGTCTTTAAAATTATTTTCATGTGTTTTCATTGCCATTACGTAAATTCCATTTTGTTTAAATAAAATTTGAATAAATTTTATGGCAAAGTATGAAGAGTAAGTAAGAGACGAGCGAATGTTATAAGGAAAAAACGAATGAAATGTTTCTTGTGTGCCTATGAAAGTAAATTATTCAATTCCCCATTTCCCGAGCACATTTCCAAGAAAGAAGAAAAAGTCTAAGAAATTTTTCATTTCAACGTTTTTTTTTAGCTCGTGTTGCCTGCCGTTGCCTTTCTCAAGGATCATTTGCCACGCTGTAGAAAAACCAACAATTGAGATTGGATTTTTTTTCTACTTCTTTCCATCTTTGGTTTGAAAGACAAGAGAAACATTTGGATGAGGAAAACAAATTTCTGAGTATAAGTCTCATGAATGAGAAAAGCTGGCAAATAAATGAGTGAAAACGTTAAAGAAAACTTTCATTTCATTCTTCATCTTGTTATTGAATAATCGATGTGCGACGGTTGGAGTTAAATTTATTGGAATGGAAAATTATGAATCCAAATGGTGCTGCTTTAGCTTCTGCCAAATGAATATTCGCAACAATGATACAATTTGCATAAATATATTATGAAATTTTGTGGCTTGGCATGCCGGCTAACAGTGCCGTTGTTTATTCGCATTTATTCATTTATTTTATTATTAAATATTTTTCTTTTTGAGGCAATGTTACAATGGAAAACTTAAATTGCAACTCATGAAGTCAAAACAGGAAAAAGGCAAAAGTCGTGAGACGTTTCCTGAAATAAATTTTGATGAAGTCGTTCCAAATAACTCCAAAGCTGTCGTTCGTAAGTAGTGTAAGCTCAAAAAGCTTTTTTTAAAATAAAAGGAAAAAATGTCCCGCTGGAGTTTGATAAATTATTGCCATTTCAGTGGACTAATCGTCGTCCAAGGTCATGTCACAAAATAAAACTTTTCTTCGAACACGAAGAACAAAAAAAAATAAATGAACAAGAAAGAGATTTTTAGTGGAGAAAGGAAAGAAAAATGGCAAAAAGATTTTCTTAAGGAAAATTTTTCTCAGCGTTGAAAAATGCCCTTTTTTATCTCAAAGGTTTCTTGCCAGAAGCAAATCTGCCGAAACGTGATTAAGTGTGAGCTTATGCGTGGACTGTGTTGAAAAGAAACACAAGAGTTTTCTCATTAAGTATCTACGAAAAGTAAGAAGTGAAGGAAATAAAAGAAAATGTGTTGTTAAAGTATCAGATGTCGCCCACGTTACTGCCCCCATTTGACACTGTCCATTGAAAGATATCTCAACAAAGAGATAAAATAAAAATATCTCAACGTTGAACACAAAGTTTTTTGCCCTTTACAACTTGCTTTATATTTACGAACAAAAGCAAGAAATATTTTCGTATGAACGAGAATAAGCGGAAAGCCGATAAGAAATTGAAGCAGCATTCATTACTTCACCTCATTGTATTGCCAATTCTCGGAGAAGAAAAAAGTATTTAAAGACCATTTGCTATCAAAATCACCAACATCAATTAGGATTATTAGCTCATTCTGAATATGCGCCTTTCATTTGCCATCTACAGCCATTAAAATTTATTTCTTTATTTTGTTTCTTTTTATTTGGGCACGTCTTTTAAACAACGAAAAGACTTAAAAACAACTTTTTTTTCTTTGTTATTTCAGCGTCAATTAAGCACTGTAATAAATCTCTAAAGTCTCTTAGATTTTTTTTTGATCGATCTTCATAAAGAACAAAGAACGAATTCATGTTTTGGCTTTCACCCCAACCGAATGATGACGATTAAGGAATAAAAAGAAAAGACGGAAAAGTATGAAAGAAAAATGTTTTCTTTTCTTTTCGGTCCTATTAGGAGCTTTTATGTCAGCTGAAAACAATAGCGAACGACATTTATTGTGACAACGCCAGTGGATTATAAAATTAAATCATTTGAAAAACGTGTTACTCAAGATAAAAGTTTTTTCACTCTCTCTCTCTCTTTCGTTTTTTAATGGAAAGGCGAAATTGAAGAAGTAGACTCGACTAAAGAGCCTTTTAAAAGCTATCCATCAACTTGTTAATCCCTTTAGGGGAGATTTTAGTAAAGGAGAGAAGTCATAAAAGTGCCTCATAGTATTGTCCTTAGGATCAACTTTAGCCTTGCCTCAAGGACAGCGAAAAGCTGAAAGCTAAGCGGCGTTTGCCTCTTTTTTTATTGTTCTATTTTGTCTTCTTTTATTCATTCAGACATCCCAAGAATAAGTAAATTTACTAGAATATTTCAGCGGCACTTTGATAAATTGCTTTAATTAATTGCTTTTACTATTAGAAATAGCTGTGGAGTGTTCTTAAACGTTAGTTGTTGAGCCTTTAATGGATTCCTTGTGAATAATGTACTGGCAAAGATTTACTGAGTGAGATTATGGGAAATATATTAAAAAAAGTTTTAACGGAAAAGCTTTTTTTTCTGGATATCGTGAATAGAAATTAGGTTGATTAAGGATAAGATCGTGTAGTCAAGGAGCAAATCGTAAATCAAGTTGTTGAGAATATAAAACACAAACATACAAAAATTTAATATAAAAACTTCCATGAAAAGATTTCTCTCGGAAAAGCCTGTCGAGTCTACTTTGCATAAAAATTCAATGTTTACATCTAATAAAAATTTCATCGATGATAACGAATGAAGCCGTAATTTATGAACATATCCCCATGATAACACATAACATGAAAATAAATTGTTGTGATTCATTTTTATCGACGAGTATCAATGAATGAATATGACATGAAAGAAAAATATTCATAAAACTTATTTCCCTTAAATGAATTCTCAAATCATGAATATCTATCGTAGAAAAGATTATTATTTTTAATTAAAGCTCAAGGCAAAGCAAAGACAGACATAAGAGAAACTTTCATCGCTCTATTAAGGCTTGTTATTCTACACGAAAAAACTTTCTATGGGAAAAGTTTTTCATGCTGTTTTTTTTTCTATTCCGAATTGCGTGTAGTAGTTTTTCCTGGAGTTTTCCTCTCTTTTTTCTTATCCTAGCAGCAGTAACGAAAGTGGGGAAATAAAACTTGAAGGCGAGCAATTAAGCTGAAGTGATAATTAATTGTACGGAACAAAAAGCCCTGAGGGGCCAGGAAACTTCAAGTAGAAAAGCTATAAGTATTTACAACAGCAAAACTAAGCAGCACCAGTGGGAAAATATTCCTACTTCTTACATTACCTACTAATTCCTTCTCGAAGAAGTCGGTAGAAGTTGGCGCAGTGTAATTAAGAAAGAATTTCATCCCATTTTTCTTTCATTCCTTTCTATTCAAACTAATAATGGCGAAGTTGAAGTTAGTAACCCCTAGCATTAAATCAATAGACGCAAGTGATGGAAGGAAATCAAGACGGAAGAATACAAAATAATGCAAACTCAAGGAAATTCAATACGGAATCAACGTAAATAATGCAAGCACCAGAGGGAAGAATCAAATTGTGATGGGAAGGAAGGAATTTTTATTCCGTACGTCCCTCAACGACAACTTTTCTCCTTCCGTTTGTGATTTGTCTGAAAGAAGTAAATTGGGCACAATTCTCTCTATTAGCTTTGCTGAGCCGTAGAGATAAATAGAAAAAGAAGAATAACAAATTAATTAAATTTTCCTTCTTCTGTCGCATGATTTTCTTTGCTTTTCCCATAGATGGAGAAAAAAAGTTCGTTAAACCGAAATCAAGTGTAAATAATAGCACTCTTGAGGCTTTACGTTTTCTTCCTAGAAAAGGCGAATAAATTTTATGCTTTATGCTTTAATAAATAGGAAGAAGGAAAGCTAGAAATGAGCTGATACATTAAAGTATTGTTTACTCTGAACGTTAGCCAATAAAAAATCTTGAGCGTTTTATCAACAGACAATTGATCAAATCCCACTAGACTCGATTTGTGTGTTTGAAACATCAATAAAAACTAAATCAACTCGAATTGGTTGGCATAAATGAAAATTTATTCAATTTTCTTTCTCTCTCCGTTCTATTCAGTTAGGTACAATGTGGCCTTGTGAATTGTGATTGAAGGCAAACTGAAAGGGGGTGGAAAGGAGTAGAAGTGTGGGTGGTTATGGGGAACTATGAATCTGAACGTGTCTGTTTATAAAATATTATCCCATTCAATTTTGATCTCACATCGTTCATTTTCCGATTTAGTTGTCTCAAAGCAATTTTATTCTCTTCTACATGATTTTTTTTTTTCTTTTCACTTCAACCACTTCCATTGCTGCCATCATTCCAACCAACTACCCTGCTTTGCTTACCCAAGCACGCTTCTGGATGAAGCAAGAGCATTGGCAAAATAACAAAACAAAAAAAATGAAATCATTTTGGAGAAAATGGAATCGCATTCATCATATGGCTGAAGGTTTTAGTTGGAAAATTTTATAACTTTTAAGCTTTTGTATATTGTTTTATGGAGCTCGAGCTAGAATGGAGAATGGATAAGCTCAAAACAAAAGCATTTCATTCCTTCCAACATTTTTGATAGATTGCTTGTAGGAAAGTAACGATAAAATAATTTTTATCTCAAACCGTTTCTTAAGAGCATGTGTGCTAGATATGGGTGGAAAATCCTATGATATATGATAGTTTTTTTTCCTATGCTTTCCATCATGAGCCGAGCACGCAAACCAGGAAAAGAGAGAAGGAAGAAATAAAAAAGAAACGAAAGGAAAGAAAAAAGATTGTTCAAGCCACATTCATTCAGGATTCTTGTCAGAAATTCATCTTTCAATCTTCTTTTTTGTGCTGATGTTAACGATTCTTCAAGCGCTTGTGCTTTGAGTGGAAAAAAAGGAGGCTGAAGTCGAGTAAACTATAAAAGTCAAGCAATTTTCATTTCTCTATATATGTCTACGTGTTTGTGTATAAGTAGGAAGTTGGAATGAGTTATAAGGTAAAAGAACAACATAAATCTTTGCTCCTTTTCTCATGAAATTGTTTGGCAACACTCTGAAGGTTTGTGATGAGGGCGGTTTTCAACATGCTCCGTAAACTTACCTAAACTAACAAAAACAAGAAGCAATACAGCTGAAATCCACATTCGTAAGCCATCTAACGAGAGGAAGTTCATCTTTTTTATGCGGTTAGTGGGATGAGTAGGAGAGATGAGATATCTGCTTGATAGCTGCAAATAAAAATAAGAAGGAATAAAAAACAAGATTTGTAAAACGAATGAGAAGAGAATAAAAAACATCGGTAAGTGATGTGATCGAAAATATCTGAGATAATCTGTGAGGATGACTGCTGAGCTATCCTTATCTAAAAAGTATCTAAAAAACTTCTGTTTCATTTTCAAAAAGAAATCAATTTTTTGCTTGTTGTTTTTCTAACAAAATTGCCGTCATAATGTCAAGTATTTTTCAAGTCCATTTGTGCTATCGTATGGGCTTTCAGTTCACCACATGCTATGGGAAAGATAGAAGGGAAAAAAAATACTCTAACAAAATGAAATCTCCCAGATGGCACGGGTGATTGTTACTCGTCTCGAGACGGACGTGATCACTTTTTTTCATGAGTGAAAAGCTTTCTTTCTCTCTCTCTGTGCTTTGTTTTTCAATCTAAGGGATGATTTTATTTTCAGAATCATTTCTCTACCCCAACAGCAATGACCAACCAGCAAAATCGAATTACGTAAGGCGAGTGAGTGGAATTCTCTTCCAAATCAATTTCAATAGAATCATTTTCCCGTTCTTCATTCATTTTCATCAATTTACTATTCATTCTTTGATGCTGTTTTGTGAATTCATTTATATCTTCAAGCACTATTTTTTGGGTTCTTTTATCATAAGCACTTCGAAAAGATCTTCATTCATATATTAACGAAAATAAGGAAAATATTATAACCGATTTATGATCATAAATGAATACAACTTACAAATACAATTGAGATGTTTTCATTTATCACGTAAATTGCGAATGCAAGAGCGATCTACTATGTATGATCTGGTAGAATGAATAAAAATCTCAAACGTTTCTTTTGGTTTATGTTTGTTAGTTTCAGAAATGTCTCAAAAAAATTCTTAACCCTCCCCAATTCAAACAAAGTCCGAAAGAATGCGAGTGACTCACACTTTACACGAGCATAACAAAAACCGTTTGATTTTGATAATTCTTCTAACTTTCATTGACAGTCACAATCTTCAAAACGTTGATAGTCTGGATCGAGGTTGACACAAACAACCCAAAAACAAACTGATACGAAACAAGAGAGATGAATTTTGGTACTCAGTAATTTTGTCAATTAGTTAACGTTGCAATCTAATCAGTTGTTACTTGAATCGATACATTTTTGTCTTGTTCATCTGCACATTATCTCTAATGAGTTGTGGAAAACGGATACTAGAAAGAAGTTTTTAAGTTAACTTTTAATTCACTAATTAATTGACTTCAGCACAAAAATTTATGGAATTTCAACAAAAAATCGAATTTTTAGGAGAATCAATAAGCACTTTCAAACTCACTTCGTTTTTTCCTTCTCCAATATGAAATTCTAACAAAAGGCAACTAATGAATGAAGTTGAGAGTTTTCTATCGTTTGATAGAAAATTCTTATTGCTTGTGTTTTAGAAAAAACAGCGGTTGCAAAAGTCAACCGGTTTAACTAGAAATAAATATTAAAGCGCCGTTACTTTCTCTACAATTTTGGTCACACACTTTTGGTATACAAAGTTTGACATTAAAATTACTAAAAGAAATTTATTTGAAAATTTCGTTGAATTTAAACGACAATTCTTCATGAGTGAAAAGCTGTCTTTCTCTCTCTCTCTGTGCTTTGTTTTTCAGTCTAAGGGATGATTTTATTTTCAGAATCATTTCTCTAACCCAACAGCAATGACCATCCAGTAGTATTGAATTACGTGAGGCGAGCAAATGGAATTCTCTTGCAAATCAATTTCAATAGAATCATTTTCCCGTTCTTCATTTATTTTCATCAATTTACTATTCATTCTTTGATGCTGCTTTGTGAATTCATTTATATCCTCAAGCACTTTTGCTTCTGCTCTTTGATCATAATTTAATGAAATGTTATTGGATAATTTATTTATATTGTACACATTTTAATTCTGTTGCATAACAAGAAATTCAAATGAAATGTAGAAAAAAAAGAAAGTTTTTAAAAGAAGAATCATATTTCTCTACCTTGGAATGAGTGTCTGAACGGGGGAGAACTTTCCGAGAGTCATGCATAAAATTGCTTTTTAAAGAATGTTCTTTCATGTTCAGCTACACCAAGCATGGTAAAGTTGGTTATAAACTTGCATAATACTTTTGTATATAGCGTAATAACACTGAATGCTTTCAAAAGACAAAGTTGTTTTTATGTAGAATTTTGAGGCATCTGAGGAAGTCACGATTGCATTCCGAAGGAAAGACAAAGAAAATGTCGTGTTATGAGATAGTTTGAGAATCTCAAAAGTTATTGAAAACTTTTCATCTCGTGCTGTTTTCATAGAGATTGCTAGCCATAGCCACTATTGTTTGCTTGCATAAAAAAGCGTTGTTGATACTTGCATACCGGGAAGTTATCACAGCAAAAAGTTAGCAAATAATTGCCACCATTTCCCGACAATCTCTCATTCCTCGATAACGAAGCAAAGCGACAGGGAAACATTACACAGTGGGAAAACTTTGATCATGAAAATAAGTAAACAGAATGTTGGAAAAAGTGATTTAATCTAGCGTAGTGCATGCAAAGTTTTATTATTTCGACAAGAAAGAAAATCCGCTTTCCACCCAGACACAGACAGGAAAAGAATATTTTAATTTCAATCGATAAAGAAAACAGAGGATAAAGAAAATGTCGAAATATTTAAATTAAAAGAAGGAAAACATGACGCTTTAAAACAAACTTTTTTGTAATGACGTGTGCTATGTGAAAAACATAAATATTTTGACATTTAAGGAATGTTGCTTGATTGATTTGTTACTGAAATCGTCAATTCATCATTTTATGACAACTTAATCTTATAATCTAAAGAATTTTCACTTGACATCACTGGAGCATTCAAAGTTCGAATCTTTCAACGATAACATTTCCTTTAAACTTTCTTTTCGCTTCGATTAATAGCAGCAGTGAGAATAATTCATTACCTGCCTTCATGACTGTAAGCAAGATTTTAGAAAGTATTTTTAAGTTGAAATCTGAACTTGATATCAAGCTTCGATTATTTCCATCTGTATAGTTTCCAATCTGAATCCTTAAGTAAGTAGTAAAAGCAAAGTTTTTCAATCAATTTCTTCCATCTCAATTCTAAGTTTCTTCAGTTTCTTTTTTCTATCGAAACCAACGCTTCACGCTACGTCAAGTGAAATGAAATGCCAAGAGGAAGTCTGCAAAGTGCTTTAAATTAAAAGAAAATCTTAACTGTCCCTAAGATAGCTTTTAAGTGAAAAAGAATTTCTACGTCTTCTTGATCTTCTCTTCTCATGAGATAACTTTAATGGACTTTAAGATTTCATGATATCATCGCTGCTGGTCTATTAATTTAAGAATTGCAAGCTAGACATTTAAAAGTCTTTAGAGACGTTTTATGTCAATATATTTAATTTCACTCTCTGTGTACTTGTTACAATGTTCTTTTTTCAATTTTATTTTATGGCAGCTTCTCTGCATCACTCAGTTATCAAGTAATAAAAAAAGAAAATCTTTTTATTGGCTTCGTCAGAAATTCATTGACCCAGTCTTTATTATTGCGTTGTTTTTCTTTCGATGATTTTGGAGAAGTGGTGGAAACACATAAACTGTCAAATTGGGTTTCCTCCGTCTAAACGAAGATAAGAAGAGACAGCATTTCACATTTGGCTGTGTAGCTTGCCTTGTCCTCTTAAATAGATAAACAAAAAATAAGCGAGAAGACTCAAACGCCGACTTCATTCAACTTTCCACGATACTGCGGGTAATCATAACTTAATGTACTTCCCTTCTCTGTTTAAACCTCACGATGACTTTCACTTTTTATCTTCTTCTGCTTATAATAAAGCTGCTTAGCATAAAAACAACATATTTTGCTTTCCGTCTTAAAGTACATGATCACGACGAACGGCGGCAATGTATGATAAGAGCAATTTGTGTGTAATTGGCAAATGATTTTTCACGACAAACGCGTTCTCATTACTCAAATCAAAGGAGATGGAAAAAGGAGTCATTTCTTTTTGTTTCTAAGCATAAATTTATTTATATTCCTACCAGCTAGAAGTCATTACATCATAACAAAAGACAGAAGACATTTCATAACACTCTCTACACAGAATAACAGAAAGATGTTTGTTTGTTTGTTTGTTGTTCTTCGCAATCGGAAATACGAACAGGAAGTGGATCTATTTTTATCCTCCATCTCTCTCCCCCTTTCTTTCCTTTTCTCTCTCTTTTTTTCTTTACGTAACAAAGCACTTTTCATGTCATCATTATTCGCATTTGATGTTATTTTATTATTTGCTTGGATGTGACTATTGTATTGATGGTGAAATAAATACAGTTCTCGAAAGCGAAATCGTTCAGACGTTGAGTGTGTTCTTGAGAGTGAAGAAGAAAGGGGAAGGAAAAAAGCTTACGCGATAAGAAAGCCGAAGAAATTGTGTATTAAAAATAAATTAGAAGCTAGACGCGGAAAACAGCAAGCAGCAGGCAACGGATGGCAAAACCATGGAGACGAGTTGAGTCTGTAAACATTTCAGTCCACGCACCATTTATAGCACATTTCTCAATCTATCTTCCTTCCTCCGTATGTTTGTTTTCCTAACAGCCAATTCCATAATCTACTGTAAGCACATAAAATCCATAAAATTATCTCTCGTGAACCAAATTGCTTTTCTGCTCGAGTTGATCGCATACAACATGACTAAACGCTGAGCATCCCTTTTCTGAGTCTTCTTTTCATTCTTCCCCACCCATCTCGATATGCTTCGCTCCTTGCATTACTGTAAGACGTCCAATGGCAATTATATTTTTACTCTTCTTACAATATATTTTATTTTATCCAACGTTCTCTTTTTTTATTTATTTTATGTGAGCTTTTGAATGTTTCATGTTATCTTTGTCCGAATGTTTTTTTATTTGAAACGAGATTCATTCCTTTGGACGACAATTTTTTCTTGAAGAGAAACACTTGTAAGAATGTTTACTGTAAAAAAAGCATCGTAAAGTTTCTTTTCCCTTAGCTCAACATTCAACGGGACAACCGAAAGACTTTTCATTTCTTTGCAAGATAATTTACGATATGAAATTATCGTTTCGCCAAGTCGCACAAATTTCATTCCCCGCGTGCTTCATAATCCAGGATTCTTATCTTATCATCACAATTTTACAGCAATCAGCGGATAAGATGAAAGCAGAATAGCGAGAAAAAAAAACAATGCTGGAGTAAGGAAAGGCGAGAGCAAAAATTCTTTTCATTCTCGCCGTCGTTGTTAAAAAACGAAAAAAAAATTAAAATTTATAGCGCAACACAAAATCAATTTTTGATTAGATTTTCATTGGATTCTGACATGCAAGAGTGAACTTTAATTTGCTTTCTTCGACGATTTCTTTTCGAATCGACTTATCTTCCTTCTCTTGTCATCTAAAAAGTAATTTTCAATGAAGAAAAATTTTTTTTTTTTGAGTTAAGCAAATAAAACCCTTGAAGAAGTTGGATTCGAAATAAGAAGAGAAACCTTCAACTTGTCATCAATACAAATTCATTTTGGCATAAGCAAATAAATAACTCCTAAGGAGATTTAAAAAAAGATTTTCATGGCTTTGCTTGCAGTTGAGAACTTTCGAGAGTTCATGTCTGCGAGGCAGAAATAAAGAAAAAAGGAAGAAAAAAATATCTAAAATTCTAAATGATTATTTATGGAAAAACTTTGTTGCTTGACTTCAACTCTCAACAAGATTTTTAATGGAATCTCATTTTATTCTTTCTTCTCTCCTCATTTTCCATGTGTATTCATTCTTAAATAATAAGATGAGAACCGTAATGCATAAACTTTTAATCCAAAAATAAAGAAACGAAAAATATTCTGGTCTTAAAGTACCTATTAAAAGTCGAGGAAATTTTAAAATATTTCAAGCTTTTTCCATTATTTTTGTTTATACTTTTGTGACTAATTGGATTATTTAATTTTGATGTAATAAGGTAATATTTATTATTTGATGAAAGCTCATTAAAACTTTTTCCCTCCTCTCAACATTTAGTGCATCGTAAAAACACTCATCGCGTTGATCCCTGGAAGCAAAGAAGCTGTGATGAAGAAAATTTTACATGTTCTCTTAAGTTTGAAAAAATAATTCCTTGGAGGCTGTTTGAGTGACAGCTTCGCATATTAATTATGCCTCTTATGAACGCTAAAGACAAGGTTCAAGACATCATATACCTACATGGTTTAGATTATATGACTTTAATGACTTATTTTAAAATGTTTCACTCTCTCATCACGCTTCCCAGCTCAAAATGAATCTCATTAAACTTTCTACGTATATAGTCAGTCGTTAAAACTTTCCCAAATAACTGTTTAAAACAAGTCCCCAGAGAAAGAGAAATGAATATAAATTGAAAACGGTTCTAAAACAAAAAAAAAATCACATTAATGCGTTTATGTTCAGATCCATTAAGCGCTGATGATGATAAAAAAATTCCAATCGCATTTCAACAGCTTGAGCATCAATTCGAGTCTCTCAACTCCACCTATAAAATATCTCATAGGAATATTTTATGAAAGTTTTTATTTTATATGCTGATTATCATGTTCCTCGAACGACATGTGAAAAAATATTTTAAATTCCTCGTTGTTAGCACAACTCTTGCGATTCGATATTGAAAAACTTTTCACATCAATTCCTTCAATGCGCTAGGAGATAAAATTATTTTTTAACTATTTGCAAATGGATTTCGTAATGAAATTGAGATACTCAAGTTGTTCAGCATCGTTGAAGCTGCGAATGAAGTTTAAACTTCGATTTGACTGACAGTCAAACTTTTCTGGGATCAATTGACATTTTTTTACCAATAACAACTTTACATTGCTGTGAAAAGCTATTGGATGACGATAAACTTTTTTAGCTTTTGAAAATGAAGTTAGTTCAACAAAAAACAACATCAAACTTTGTTGTTTTTCAACGAACATCGAACGAATAAAGGAAAGAGAAAAGAAGGAAAGTGAAGAAGCGTTGAAGGAGAGAAAGAAAGTTTTGTTTTGATAATTTCAGGTATGAATTTCTTTCTTCCTTTTTTGTCAATCTCTCAAAAGCTTCCATAATCTCTTTTGAGATGTTATGAAATTGTACCTTTTAAACTGTCAAAAGCAGACTGAATCAGCATATCTTAGAATCATGTTATTGGTTCAATATCACATCAAAACGCTCAATAAATAAAACATGATACACGCAATATTTGCATAACGCTTCATGTGTTCGATATTTACATGAAAAGGCAGGCGTGAAGGAGGCACATATTTGCCTTCATTTTATTTTTTATCTAAAGACGCGCTTTCAATAAAAAGTAACCGAGCGTTATTTATTTATCTGCTGTTGCCATTTAACAAGCCCAAAGGATCGTTGAGCAAATATGATAACGAAATTATTTTTATGGATTTTATGCAAATTGTTTATTTTATATAATTCTCTTTGTGTCTGTGCTCGGCAACCGTAAAACCGTGAAACCATGAAGCGAAGCCGAGTCAAGGCGAAAACGATATAAGAATGAAAATAAACATTTATTGTATGATACGAATCTTTCCCGATATCAAGAATATTTTCTCATCTAATGTAATATTTGATGCTGCTACAGTTTCCTTTTGTTTGTTTTCATGAGTTTTCTTCTGTTGTTGTGTTTCGAATATTGGCTCACCCAACAATGTCTCGTAAAGAAGAAGCTTGATATGGTTTCGGATTCATATAATGGTGAAAGGACATTTCATTTTTTTTATACATAATTTCATACACTGCTGTTGAATTCAAATAGTAATTTCATCAACCTTCGTCCTAAAGAGATTATTTAATGGAAGCATGGTATTTGGATTCTAAATGATGTTGCAAATTGCTTAAAGCTTCAATAATTTCACATCATGTTCTGTCCACTTTTTATGTATTCTCTGGTTTAATCACCCTGAAAACAAATAAGTATCTACTCAAGTCCTTCATAGCTGGTTGGTCATTATATGTAGCAGAATGAACGATAAATATTCTAGAATTTTCATCTCTTCTTGTCGTATGAACATACGCAAATATTGCCCTAAGTTCTTAACAAATCCATGATTTTCACATTTGTTCTGAATGTGTTAAAATGCCAATAGCATAAATTGCGAGCATTAGTATTAAACTAACATGAATTATCATTCACAGCATTGAGCTCGCTACATGCAAAGCACACACGTACTCTCGGGAGATATGTAGAAACAACTGAGGACATTAATTATTAAAAAATAATTATCTTTCGCTTGGATGATAAAGGCACTTTGCTTCAACATAAAAGTATGAAAATCGTATGAGCATCATCTCCCCCGCAGCTGTTTTTAATTATTATGCAACGAGAGGGTGGAAAATTTTTGCGGTTTTTATTTAGTTTAGCGCCTTAGCTGTACTTGAAGTACGATTGTAACGATTGTCGAGTGAAAAAAAACATTATTTTAATGGTAAAGATTTTCAGATGGAATCAGCAAATTTTCAAGGAATGTTTATTTTTTTCTCCTTCATCTTTCACCGAATGCAAATGATTTCTTTTGTTTAAAACATAAAAATGGAAGAGAGAAAATTTTTTGCTTACCCTACAGAATATGACTAATGACTTTTAAATTATGTAATAATCCCAAGAAAATGGACGTAATCGCCAACAATTTCTCCTTTACATAAAATATCAATTTCCTTCCTTTTGAATAAGTTGAATTCTCTCTAAACTCACAAAACTTTCCACATTAACCCAATCTCATATTTCCTGTTTAATGATTCAACATTATGGACAACATATCAGAGGAGAAATCAATGATCTAGATTTGTTACAACACTATTGTTTTTATCTCTTGGGTTCTAACCGAGTTAGATATTCAAACCACAAACTTAGCAATTTTCAAGCTTCAACGCTTTGGAACGAGAATTTTTTTAAATTAATTCTTCTTTTGTTTTAAGCTTCTACTATTCGATCTTTTTGAAGTCGTCTAAATTCTATGCTTCGAATAAACTCAAACTGCTTGTGTCACTCGGAACTGATAAAATTCAACTGAAAATGTTTCGTTTGTGTTCATAAACTTTTCTCGAGTTGAGCAAGGATGAAAATTCAGGAGAGAATTTTCCGTATCAACATAAATGCAGATGTGTATGTAACAGTCTGTTGTTTATTCTCTCATATTTCATTTTCTAGAAACAGGAAATTTTCATAGGCAACAAATTTTCCTTAGAATTTTTCTGCACGTGTCCGTTTTTACTCTCACGCTCTCTTTGGAGATTATAACAGTTTTTATATCAATTTTTTCCAAATCCTATTCACATTAATTCATGCATGAGGCTTTGTTACAGTTGATAAAAGATATTCATAAATAAATTCATATTTTAATTGTCTGTAGAAAATTTTTATTTGTTCAAATCAATTTAACAAAAATTATATTTTATTCGTTTAAACAAAGTCCATTTGAAATTATTGTTTGCATCCAAAAAACTTTTGAAATTTATTAAATGCCTTGGGTACGCTTTCAATGATCAATTGCTGTAATGATGAAGCAACTCGTGCATTTAAATTAAGATTTTCTGATGGGAGAAATATATTTTTCAGTTTTTTAGGATAAGTTTCACTAACAAATAAAATAAAATCAAAAATCGATACATAAAATATTTTTTGCGGTCGTTGTTTGCTGCAAATATTCTGAGCATGAATCTTTGAAACCCTCATGAATAATATCAGCGGTGTACCTTTTAGAGGCGTTTGTTATTCGTATTTTCCCAAAAAAATGAATGATGTTGAAGATTCTTTTGCGACCCAAAAAACATTGTTCAGAAATGTGGAAAGAATATCAATTTAAATATGAAACAATAGAGAAAAGCAGCAGCTTTACAAAAGTACTTGAATCAGGGTCAAGATTAATGATGAAAAAGATCTTATAAATTTTAAAAGGACATATTTTAACAAAATATTTCATATTTCATTATTGATGAGTGGATTAAGTGGTGGAAGTTCTTCTGAGAAGCTTAAGATTACTTAACTTGAGAGCTTCATTCATAAAAATGAAAATTCAGATGTTAACAGAATTTCGTTTTTTATCTTCTTATGAGAAGAAAATATCTCGGAAAATTTCGGAAAAATGAAAACATTGAAGACAGCGCCAGCTTCCGGCGAAAATATTCCTTAAAATTAAAAGAGGTTTGAGAACCACAGAATTAATAACGATTTCTCCTTGGATTCCTCTAACGACTGAATAAGTCATGTTGAAAAAGTTATGAAAAATTAGATTAGGTAATAATAAAAACCATCTGGTTTAAATTAAAAAATATTAAAATTTATCTCAACCTCAATTTTTAATATCACTCTTTTAGTGGAGATTCAACAAATTTTATAGAAAAAGAAAAATTATTATTTTTCAAGGTTTTCCTTCATCTGTTTAAGTATCATTGTAGATGCCGATGCTTGAACTGTTAATTTACATAACTGGGATGCAAAATCCATTGTTATGTTTTGTTTGCGAAACAAGTACTTAGAATGGAATATTTTTACTGCATATCTTTTATACAGTTTCTCCTTTTCATAACTCCATTACATTTTAATACCATTTGGCAAACCCAAGTCCCAAAATAATTATTTTAATGTACACTGACTTCATAGCTGAATAAAATTTCATGTCGTCAGTACTTGTGAGATTATAAAAATGCATAAAACTTTCAGTCAAAGTATTTATGAGGGAAAAAATCTCATATTTACAGCATAACACAACATGAATGTGATTTCCCACGATTTTGCTACTTAAAATTTCTATAGCAAACATGTCGAAAGTTCTGTTTTATTTTAAGTACGTTATATGATATAATTATTTATTCAGTTTTAAGGTTGTACTGGCACCGTTTTATTAGAATGTAGATCAAAGATCATCTGAAATTGTTTCCGTTGCCATCGTATATAGTTGCTTGATGCTTAGATAATAAAAAGTTTTACGAGAGCTTTTAATGTAAATTTATGCTTACTTAGTAATTCAATCATTAAGTAGCTTTCTGATTCTAATCGGTTTATATTTTCCTTTTGTGGTAAAGCATTCTATATGTATGTTGAATCATACTAAACCTAATTGAATCTCGAAGAATAAAACATTTATCTGAATCAATGGTTAAGAGAGAAAATGACAATAAAGAGAAATTTTCATTTGCTTGATAACTTTATCATTGATTTTTAATAATTTTCTTTACTTGAGTCTTTTTTCATGATGTCGAAAACCCTCTCTCAACTATGGTCACAAAGTTTCAATGTATGGAAAAGTTTTTCGTTTATTGCTAGAACTTGTCATAGAATGATAAGAGGAATGATGAAAGTTTATTAGAATTGCAAAACAAATAAAAAAGGAAGAATCATTCGTAACTTTGCCTTCATCAGTGAGCTTGAGAGTTTGTTTGTTTGATGAAGCTTGAATATAGTCGTTGATAACATCGTATTTAACTAAAGAAACGTTCATTGTATTTCCAAAAGATCATTGAATTATATTTCCATAACAATTTTATTCGAGTTATTTTCAATTTTGGAATTTGGAAGCGCATATTCATGCTCACTGGCTTGTAAGCAACTTCAACAATAACTCGTTCGATTTATGAATTTTTAAAAAGCAAAACAATTTATAAAAAAGTTGTTTACTCGGCAATCTCGAAAATATTTCTCATACACTTCAATCAACTTAAATTAATCTTAGCCAAATCCTTGTACAACTTAATGATAATGATTTCCTTGAATGGCTTTCCTTAAGTCTCACTCTTCAAGGAAATGAATTGTCGTAAAGAAAAGATTCATTTCATTTCATAGGAGACTTGACTTGGTAATTTCGAGATTAAATTTGCAGTGAAATCAGCGTCCTTTGGGGGCTTACAAACGAGCAGATAAATCTAAATCATTTCGTAACAAATTTTACTACAAACCCCAAAAATGCTTTCACTGAATAATTGAGCATATTAAATTCTCATCATTTAACGCTGCCGAAAATATCTGAAATAAAAGAAAAGCACTTTAAACGATATCTTGGCTTTCATTCGTCTGCAATAATTTCTTCTTTTTCTGGCAATTCATCCTAATTTCATGTAAGCTTTTAATGAAGGTCACGAACGCCGTCTCATTGTCTTAATCTGATTCGAATTCCTATCATCAGGAAAGAAAGCAATGAAGTCGTCATTGAGATAAAATCAACTTCTCCTGGTTCTTTCCTTCCTTCTCCTTTCTTATCGTTTCGTTGTTTTTTTGTTTACTCAACGCTTCCAGCAATGGAAAATGCAAGAGCAGGAAATGAATGTAATTAAGACGAAGAGAAAATTATGTGAAGATGGGAAGCAGAAATGCCTTGAGAAATGCCATTAATAAAGAAAGAGAGAAAAAAAAGAACATTTTTAATGCTGTGTAAATAAAATTGCTTTCGGACAAGTGTAATGTGGAGGAATAAGACGAAAACAGCAAAACAGAAAATAATCTTCTGTTTATAATGTGCTGAGCTTTCACAATGCACAATAAGGGAGCAAGAATGGGTTGTGAAAATCTCGATTGGATTTTTTTTGTTATCTTTTGTCTTCTATAAAAAAAAGTGCAGTTGGAAAGCAACAGCAACACAAGCAGTACCAACGCTTTCGGCACTAAATGTCGTCTTCAATGAACTGGAAATAAAAGCTGTAGAGATTTATCGGTCGTTGGGGTTGCTTTAACTTATCAACATGCATTTTTTCCTTCTTCTCTCAGTCTACGAATGAAACGAGTACATTTAAATCATTTTCAATGTGTGTGGGGGTGAAAAGTTAAGTCATAACGTTAGGAATAATATTCCGGTTGTTGAAACGATAAAAAAAAAGAAATAATAAAGGGAGGAAAAAATGAAGCATATTTTCTTTCAAGACGACGAAAGTCATTGCATACGGTTGTAGTTTCGCTTTATGAAAGTTTAATAACATTTTCATATTTTCTTCTAACTTATTCTCCAAGTCACTTCTTCGTACTCGGCAGAAGAATTTCTCGTTTTCATCCTTTAATATTTCATGACGATTTTTTTTACTTTCCTCTTCTTTTCTTGGTGAGTGAGTCACAAGCTCGAGAATAAGTTATCTAAGTAAGAAAATACGTTGAGCTGTAGTAAATCCCACTTGCAAGCAATATTTTCCTTATTTCCCATCGCAAAATGTGTGCAAGTACAGATTCAGTGGCGCAAGATTCATATTTTATTATCATTTCTTTTTTCATCGCATTTTCTTTTTCATTTTTTCATTTTTTCTCATTTTTGGAAAGAACTTTCGTCTGTTTTCATCTCTTCTTCATTCATTCTTTTGAATTCCCTCGATGTTTGAAGATAAGACGACTTTGCTATTTCCTTTATCTTCAACAAGCTGCAGCAAGCATAAATGTATAATATATTTCTCCTTATCTACACTGAATGAGCAATAACTCAGTAGAAGCAATTCCCTGATCCCCAACCTGCAATTTACCATGAACAGTGAAAAATGTATCCGTTGGAATTGTAATTTCAATCGAATATTTAATACATAATAAATAATGACAACAATAAGCTTAAAAGCTTTTCAACAATGATTTTATGTTAAACGTTGTTGTTATTGTGTTGTGATTATTAAAGAACAATAATTTTAGAATTTATTATCATTGATAGTTTTTGTTTTTCAAACTATAAAAACCACAAATGAAATAATAAAAATTTCCACTTTCAATAGAAATTCAAACAAATGCCACAAGACAGGAAAAAATATCGTTTTAAGTTTCAAATCAAGGCAATTTGTGAAAAAGCTTTCCATTGGTTAAATGACTTTAAAGGCTCAACATCTAAGTGCTTTTTGTAAGAAGGAAAATTCTTACGATTTTCCAACCTGAAATGGAAAAACTTTTCACTACAAGGGAATTGTTTGTAATGAAAAATTCCCTTCATTTTCTTGTTTGCTTTAGCTAAAACATAAGCCACAATTTGATTCTATTTTCGGGCCAACACCACATGAACAACATTCGAAACGATCATCAATAGGTTGCGATTCAGGCATGAAAAAGTACGATACATTAGAATGAAAATTTATTTCATTCTAAATTCCTTTTTAATTTACGGTTCTAACGAAAACTTTCTCACATTTATCAGTCTTATATGCTACATGTTTATACTCATACTCGCTCGTAGATTCTATTTTACCTTTAAACTCCAGACTTTGGCTTCTTTTTCGCATTTTTTTTCTTCCCTCTACACATGTAACGAACTTAATATGTATTCAGTATACAGCAGTTACAAGCAAGAGCTTCCATCAATAAATAAATATGTTGAAGCGATTTGCTTTCGCATGAAAGCAACCTTTGACTAAATAAATATTGTTGGTGAATTTAATTTAATATCATTACAATGCTTTACTTTCCGCATCGCGTTATGTTAGCTTTATCACACCACACCTGCTACATTCAACATACGACATCACATCGCCGGAAACAAAAGGAAGGAAAAATTATGAGAGGAAAAATAAATCTGGCGACGATTTAAGAAATTTATTTGAAGTAGAAATTTCTCATATAAGAATTTTCTTCTTTTATTTTTGTTTTCATTTTCATTTTGAACAGCAACAACTACGAACAGTGTCTGAGGTTTTTCTCTTTTGTTTTAAACATTCTTGTTCTCTTCTTCTTTTTTTCATATTATACAAAAACCTAATTAAATTAGTGTCAAATAAGTGCTCGAGATTTTCCCTCCTTTTTGGCAAGACCAGCTGTAAAGAACGTCGAGTACCTCATTATAACCATAAAGTAAACCTAATTACACACACATGCGGTAACATCGTTTTCAACCTTCAACCTAACGTTCATTAAAATTCACTTTGAAGTTTTTTTTCTTTCTCCTTTCGTGTCTTTCTCGTTTATGTATCCTTCATACAACATAAGAATATGTACAGCGAGGAAAGATTTTTATTTTATTTGCGTAACGGGACATTTCATGATGAGTCTACATGGCTGCGTCGTTTAGACGCTCTGTTTCCACAGCTATGATGTGAATACGAAAAAAATCTCTTTCCTTCGAATTACCGCCGAAAATATCTGATGCACGAAGGCTTATGCTAACACATCATTTTAAGCTTTTCTTATTTTTCTTTCCTCCTGTTATAATTTAGGGAAATTTCAAAACAAAATCGCAAAAAGAAAACATGAGCTTTAAGCTTTTGAAATCTGAAGTGTGAAAATATCGCATTGAAAGCGACGGGTTGGTGAAAGTCGAGAGGAAAAGATACAAAGTTATAAAATTATAATCTTTAATCTTTACGGCGCATGAAAAAGTTTCTTTTTATGAACGAGGCAGTAAGTAAAAAAAAAATATCGCAAACAATAACAATTTTCCAAGTGCTATTATTTCTGTGAGCGTGGAGCTTGACTCTTGGGGAAAAGTTTCACAGTTCTTGGAAGTCATTTTCGTATCTGAATTAATTTTGATTATTTCTTGATATCATTTCAAGAACTCTTCTTTATGTTGTTCAGTAAAAAGCCCCGTTGGCGTTGAGAAGGAAAACTTCCACAAATTCTCATTTGTGTTTTCCTTTGCCTTTGCTTTTGCTTTCAACTCACTTATTGCTCTGGAAATAACAAAAGCAAAAGCAACAATAATAATAAAATATTTATATCGATTTTTGATAATGAACGTTCAGAGATAGCAAAGGCAATCTTGAATAGCAAATCTCAGTTCTGACCTACATAAACTTTTTTTATTTAAAGCACATCGTAAAAAGTATGAGAAGAATACGTGTGCAATGGAGTAAACGGAGTAAAGGAAGAAGATATCCTTTGAAGAGAGAAAGAAAGGCTTTATCTGTTCAAAGCATCAAAAGGAAGTCACAAATAAATTTTTACACTTCATGCATAATAATGAATATTTTTCTGCCTCGTTCTATTTATTCACAAGAAAGGGGGAAAGTTTGGCTTTCCATATTTCTCACTCTTTACCGTACCATACCGTTCCATACACACATTCATTCAAAGTGGCTGTAGAATAACTAAGGAAGCCAACAATGACTTATAATGCATGAATTATTTTCCATGAAATGGCAAAAACAATGACTCAACTTCCTCTTTCAGTGCCATTGTTCCTTTCAAAAAACGTTCATCTCAATGCCAATTCTTTTGTGTGCACATTAACTTACACATTTATTGCCCTTAATGACGACAAAATGTTTAGCGAATCTTTCCACCTTCTTCCCTAACCCGTTCTTCCTTCCGTCTTTAACTTATCTACCGACAAACAATGCAGACAAATTTCTTTGTAATTTTCTTTGTTTTGTTTTCCGTGACATCAGTGAAATCTTTTGAATGCTGAATTGAATGTTTTTCTTCTTCTTCATTATTCTCGTAACGAGGTGAATTTTTGGAAGATTCTGAAAATTAGAAAAATAAAATAAAGATCAAGAGGGAAAATATTTCTTTAATTTCTCTTCTTAAATATGTCAGAGCGAGATTTGAGACGATAAAAAAAAGAAAAGAATTTAATTTGAACTATCTACTTAATTGCAGAATAATGAGTTTGAAACTTTAGCTTCTGATGACATTTTATTTTCCCTCATGTCTTTTAAACCAGCTAGAACGAACTACTCTCACCACCACCACAAGCCCAACTTATCGTAATAATTAGACTGAAACAAAACACAAACGTTTTCTTCTTCTTTTTTTTCATATTTTATTTAATCCGAAGCTTGTACTAATTAAATTCCAAAAAAGCTCGACGAGAGAATTTCATTAAATTTTCCAGTGAAAATTCTTTTCTTCTTTATCATCAGAGGAAGAAAAAAAGAAGAAGAAGATAAAAGTTCCTAATGTAATTATACTTTGATATTGTGAAAATGTGAATGTTTAGAAAGACTTAATTGCCTGATTTTCTCTATTTTCTACTGTCATCGGATATGTTTCCTTCTCTCGTTAACTGTTATTACATTATCTTATTTGATGAAAATTAATTTTAAATGGAGTGCTTGGAGGTTGGTTGATATTGAACGAGCAACTAGACAACAACGTTGAAGACGTTTGTCGCGCCGTATCACACAAAAAATTCACGCTTCAAGCTCTTGATAAAATTTTCAAATAGAATAATTCCTTGAATAATAGATGTTGAGTGTTGTTTGTTCCGTGAAAATTATCTGGCGACGATGAAAAATTTATCAGCTCCCAACATTCCTTCGGTGAATAAATGTTGATAGTAACGAATGAACGAAAAAAAAGTAATTCTGATTTGATTATGTGAATGACAGACAAACTCAATTCTAACTGTCGTCTTATAAGAAAGTTATTTAGTTCCAGTTTAGTTATAAAGTTGAGATAAAATGTGAAATAAAAATTATATTCAAGAAAACTCCCGAAGGGAAAATTCAATTTCAATGAATTTTTTATGACCATCGAGATTGGTTTGTTGGGGGTGGTGAAAAACAATGATTGTACATATCTACACACATTTGAATATAAGAGAAGAGGATGGAAAAAGGGCAAACTATGCAGATAATCTAAAACATTTCTCCATCTTTTTATGCATGCATGTAAGAAGTGAGTTGAGCTGACAACAGACAACAGACAACACACAACATGGCAGAAGTGAAATTGTTGGTTTCAAACGATCTCTCCACAATATAAATATCAAACTTACACGAAACAGATGTAAAGCATAATGATGTTGTTTTCTCATTCAGTAGGATTGCATATTGTGCTTTCAGAATGAATGAATGAATATAAATATAAAGTAGCGACTACCAGTTGTGAATAGTGAATTCATGTCAAGGCGTTGAACGTTGTGGAAACTTTTCGCCAAGATGTTTGCAATAAGAAGTTGCAGAAACTCAAACAAAAGTATTTAATACAGATTCATATTAAGAAAGCGAAAAAAGGGTACAAGATGGTTAAGAAAGTACGGTCGTTTCATCGAGCAAACATCATAATGAATTTTTGTTTGGCGAGTGGCAGAAAGAGGGCAAGCGGAAAGAAAGGAATAAGAAAAGTTTTTGCTTTACTTCTATCCGCCACTTCTTGTGTAAGTGCAAAAAGCTCTTAAGGATGCTTATATTTGCACAGAAGAACCATCATCATTGTGGGCGTCATCAAATTAAATCTTCTCGAGAAATTTCAATTAGGACGACGGTTACATTGTACACATTTCTTTTCAATTATGAACTTGAATCCACACTTCGTCTTGTTGTCCCCAAAGCTATTCCTTTTTTCTCCTTTTTCATTCCATTTATCTTTACTTTGCTTTCGTTTTTCTATTCTTTATCCTCTGCACGTCTTCAAGAAACAAAAAACGGCAACGAACAGTCACAAAGAAAGATTCAACGCTCGAATAAGTTTTAATGAGACCTTTGTCTTTTGAAAGATGAAGAAAAAAAAATTAAAAAATATAAAAAAGGAAACTTTTGCTTGTTTAGAGTGCGCTTGTAGTGAGGAATATTTATATAAACCGAATATGAACCCTGTCGCTTCGCGAGATTAAAGATAGAGCATGACATTCGCTTCGTCGTTGAAATTAACAGCGACAAAAATTCAATATTACCCTACGAGGGAGAATATGAGGCTTAAAAATTTTCAATTATCCATCACGACGGAAAATTCATTAAATTATAAGAGAAAGGCTGGAAAAGGATTCTTGTAAATCTTATAAATCTCCTAAATTGAATGTCTTTGTGTGAAGAATTTGGCAAACATGCGAGATTATGTCAGGGATTTCATGTCGCTTTGATGCAAGGAAAATTGATGCGTGAAATTGATTACTGTCGAGCGTAAGCTGAGTTGATGCTCAAAGTCCTCGAATCAATTATGTTTGCTTTTAAAAATTTTGTGACATTGAAATGAAAATTTATTATGACACGACATGCCAACAAATCCTGAAATCCAATTTCCTTCCGTTTTCCCTTACTGCGTGTTTTGATGATATTTTAGAACATCCACCCACAGCTGGTAAATTTGATCTGTCGTAAAACATTTTAATCATTTCTTTTCCTTTTCAAATATTTGATTAATTATTTCAGCATAATTAATTTATTGTAATTTTCTATTGCTCAATATCTGCGAGCTCTTTTTGACGAAAGCTTTTTATCGCTATCGCTAATAGAAAAATCATTGATGTTATTTCATTTTGTCTTGTTTTCATTCTTTCGTTTTGGGGCTCGTTGAATTTTCATTAATTTTTTTCCTCATTTTTGTCATTTTCCGTCATCGGACGCTTCTTCCTCTTGTTATTCACAATCTGTCTGAGAATGATTTTTTTTAATCTTTGAAGGAAAAGTGATGGAAATTTTAAGACCGTCCAAGGTTTTTCCGTCAACTGAGATTATAAAACCACAGAGCTGTCTGTTTGTTAAACCGCAGCTATCGTCTTATGTTTTAATGACGATCATTCACATTCTAGTTCCTGACGCCATAAAATATCATGGTTGAATTTATCCGAAAGGATTAAAGCAATTTCCTTCACTCTAAGCGCTTTTAAAATAAATTACGTCCCCCTATCAACATTTTGGAGCATTAAAAAGGCATAAAATAGAATTCTGAGTTTTTTATTGTCAATTTTCTGGTAGGCAAAAAGGATCAAAAAGAGAGAAATTCCATATCCACTCTTCGCCTGCTAGTAATGTCTCATCAATCAAAATAAATTTTCTGCCGCTGTCTCTCTCTCACATTTCACATATGTACGATGATTTATGACATGAGTGGGATATTTTTTTTTATTCTTCTTCTTTTTCTTATTTCTACCCTAAGTTCATATAAGCGGATCATTATGTATCTGCGGATAATTCCTTCATTGTATCGCCTCGGAGGACTCATTCTCCCTCAGCCTCCCTCTAGCGACGTCCACCCTCGCATCTTCACAAAGGAATACGAAGGAAAAAAATGTAACGAAACATTCTCATAAATATGAAAAGCAGAGGCACATAAATAATACTGAAATGAGGCTTTCTTTTTCGAAGATCTGTCAGAAATACCATGAATAATACAAAAAGAAAAACGAAAAACGTTTGAAAGAGCAAATTTTATCAGGGTAGATGTAAAGGAGAATAAAGAAGAACGAAAGAAAATTGTTAAAAAGGCAAACGCCATTTGCTATTGGATACATTTTTGGAAAAGCTTAGAGAAAACTGAAAAGAAAGCAAATGAACATAAAAGGGGAAAGATGCGAGAAAATCAAAAGGAAAGCGAAAAAAGGAAAAGCCTAACGAAAACCTCTCATAATAACCCTGTTATTCTTTTGTTATTGTTGCATCTAATAGAGTTTTGATTGATAAGTTGAGCAGCAAATTGAGTCATAAATCGATCAAAATCGTACATAAAAATAAACAAGTTGAAAAGGGGCTTTTTTGGTCAATTTTTCTCTGACATAAACTGATGAGATCAAGATTTAACAATCTTGTAGACTTATAAGTTATAACTTGTTACTATTCCTCTCTTCGAAAGGTCTTAGAAATTATACAATGAAGAAGAATCCTTCAAAAATAGGCTTCTGAAATTCATGAAACTGGAGCTTTTTTGCTTTTTCACTTCAATCAATTAATTTTCTCTAGAGCAATTATAAATACACTTCAAACTATTGTTTTTACATTACCAAGAGATTCAGCATGTGTTAATTGAAGCTAAAGAAGAAGCTTTGCTTTCACTTCACGTTACAAGGATTTTCCTTTCTTTTCTTCTAATTAGAAATAAATTTCAATTTAGAAGCGCATAATTACGTAATTACAAACGAGCAAGTTCACGAAAATTACATTCATAATGAATGAGCTTTATTAAATTCCCTCTCAGCTAACCCCGCCAGCCGTTGGTTGATGGCGTCGTTGTATCTTTTTATTAACGTTGAAGAAAGAAGAATTACCGAGTTGCTTTTGATGCTTGGAGCATTAAGCTACGTTGTAACAAGATTATCAATTATTTGTTTGTTCATTTCGGAATTTTACCTTGAAGGGATCTCAAAATTAAAATTCTATGCTCTCTATTTATGTAGACAAAATTTATCATTAGGGCATAAAAATGAAATGACGGCCATGGCATGTTACGTACGTTATTTAATTTGTTTTTCTATGAATATATAAATATTTTTATATACGGTTATTGTTGTCAAGCATAGCTTTATGTTCAAGCAGAATGAATTAGTTTGTAGATAAATATCTCAACTATAATATGAAATTGAAAATGAATGTTTAGAGTGGAGGAGTTTACGGTTTCCCAATCGTAACATATTTAGCATAATGTTCACTAGTTGCATTTATCTCTCGGTTAGTGGTTAAAAGTCTTAACACTAATCGACTGCTGGTGAAAGTCAGCCACTGATTTAGTATTATTATAAAATTTTCATAGCCAGTGTGCATTTATTCTTAGTCTTTTTGTATTACCGAATAAAACTCAACATTTTGTGGTCACGAATTTTATGTTCCTTTATATTTTCTGCAATCTCATAATTGGAAGCAAACTTTAGAACGAATGTTGAAGACAGCAATATTAAAACATTTTAAATTAAATTCTTAACATTGGTTTTAATGCCACATTATTATAAAGTCAATGAACTGAATATTCTTGAGGGTAATAACCTATGCAAATATTCTTATTTGCTCTTATATTTAATAATAGCATTAAAATGAACGAAACAATTTTCTATGATGTGAATTGAATGTCACATTACTCTACTTAACGAACGAAGAAGCATCATGGAAAAACAAGAAAGCTTGTTCATAACTCAAGCAGCATTCAGCTGCCTTTCGGATATCACTATGAAGTAAGCTGTTGAAAAAAATAATAAAACGCCGGAAGGGATGGAGAGAAAGGGATGAAAAGTCAACAAGAATTTAAACAATGAAATATTTCCCACGCTCAACTCAAATATTATTCAACTTCACGTCTAAATATTTTCACTTTGACTTTATTCAATTTCGCGAAAGCGAATGGCAAACGTTCGTGTTATATTGTAGAAATACTTCTCCATGAAAAGCCACTGTTGATTCATTCCGGATGAGCGGTTGGCATGGAAGTGAAGAAAGGAATGAGTGAGAATGTAGAGAGCGAAGTGGCATGTTCGTCGTGTTTATGAAGGCAAATGATACATCATATGATACGAGCTACATACATTTTACATATATTTATATGTACACAAAACACTAAGGCAACGAGTTAAACACCCTATGATTAAAGTAATTTCATGAATAGACGGAAAATGAAATTAAATAAAATACCAGGAAAGAAAAATCATTTCAAGCGAGATAAAAATCTTGATGTGAGCCCAAAATTGAATTTTCTGAGAACTTAATTTGTTTAGCTTGGATTGAAAATGATATTAATGCTAACGTAGAGCAACTTTATCCGATTTTTTTTCTGTTTCGCCTTTTGGCAATTGACTTTGTAACCGGCCTCAGTAACAACAGTAAATGTAGACAAAGGAAAATATTTTTTTGGGTTAATGAAATATTATATTACAACATATTTCAATTTGCATAGCAATTTCAGAAGGCTTCAGATAACAACGCCGAAATTTCTCTCATAATTCAAGTGGAGTCAAACAAAAGCGTGAAATATTGACTTTTATGTGTATTTTTTCTATCTTCCATTGTAGGCAAACACATGCGTCATATTTCATATCGACAAATGTATTTTCATCCTCTTCGTCATAATATTTTTTATTTATTTTCATCTTCACGGGCACTCCGCTCAAAGCTGGTTACTTTCCAATCGATAAAGAGAATGGAGAAAGAAAATACAAAAAAAAAGCTTTATTAATGGTCATTACTATTCACGACAAACGATAACCGATTCATATCATTTCTGGCGCATTCGAGGATTTCTGTCGACTCATATTTTAATATTTCCTTTCTATTGTAACTAAATATTGAGCCTTCTTGAGAAAACTCATTTAATTATGAATGGACAATATTGATATTGGCTTATCATTGATTTATATTAAAAGAATATTTCATCTCTACATACACATATAAGGTCAGTGAATAAGATAAAAATCAAGACAGCACCAAATAGAAGAAAAAGTCTCGTAAATCTTAGGGGAAAGTATTTAGCTTTCCATGACCTCGCCACCGTTGGAAAAACTTTTTCCCTACAACCCGCCAATCATGCGCAACTTTTTCCACATTCACATTCCAACGAAGCTGTGTGGTGTATTAACATAGCGGAAGGAATTTGGAGAATGTTTTGGTGCATTAAAACTGTACTCGTATGTAGGTTGCTTGTATGAAACTTTAAATTATTTATGGACCTCATGAGATTTCAAAAAACTAAGAGGAACATGAAAAACGAGAGCAGCAATTGGCAATAATTTCACCTTCCCATTAAATTATGGACCGCATTGACCTATAACGTTTCACAAACTTTAAATTTATGCTGATATTCATGTATACAATTTTTTTGGCAGCGAGTTCTGTTTCAAAAGAAAAACTAGAGATGGCAAACGATAAAAGCCAAATGACGATGTCAGCATAGCTAATAATTTAAATTTCTAAATGAATTAATTTTTCACATTACTTTTACATGTTTGAAATGATGCACATCGCGAGACCGCAGTCTGAACTGTTCAGCAGACACAATTTACAAAAACAATCGACGAAATGCAGATACGCGTTGATAATTTATGGAAAATTGTTATCGACATTAACGGCGAGTGTTAAATTATCAAAAGCGCTCAGTTTTTAGTATTCAGTGCAAATTTAATTACGTTTTTTTTTTTGAAAAAATCATTAAACGCTTCGAATTTCAACGACGATATTTTCATTATAAAATTTTTAATTGCTGAAGCTTTTCCGTATTTCTTCTTCTTCCTACACAATTTATGAGTCTTTAAAAAAATTCCTTAAAGCAGTTTCGATAGAAATTCTTAGAAATGACGTCAAAGATAAACAGAATAAAGTTTCATGTTATCATTGTTTTATGTAAATTTAAAAGCATTGAGGAATTGTTAAAGCTGACATCTATAATAAATGTTTCATGGGAAAAAAGCTGTGAAAAGAACAAAGTGAGATAAAACAGAATCTACGAGAACGTTGACAGACCATCTTATGCTGTTATTTAACATGAACATTTCGAACTTTCTTCTTTTTTCTCGGCTTTTATCAAAACGCACATAATAAGTACTCGACGAAAGAATGTCCAAAGTTTTAATGGGAAAACTATTATGATATCAAAACAGCATACAAACGAAAATGTTTTGTTCATTATTGACATGCTAAAGTGCTATTAAAATGTACCATCTCGCCTCTCTCGTAGAATAAACTCAAACATTCTTCTCATCCTCAGTTGAATGTCTCAAAAGCAACGAAAAACAATTTTCGGAACTAATTTTAAAGCTCATGACTGGCTTTCCGTCCATGCCACTTCAACTCACAGCAGGGCTTAGGATTTTTATGATGGTAATAAAACATCTCTTAATGCATTTCTCATGAGAAATAATGTTAACCGAACAAAAGGCGGATGCCACCAATGCTGATGGTTTCACTCTCTTTTCCAAGAGTTTTTAATTTAACGAGTGGCTGCTCTCAAAGTGGGTTAAGCTTTTTCACTCTTTTTATTTACAATCTAAGAGAGGAAAAGAAGAGCTAATTAAGAATTCTACAGAACATGCATTCACAGAGGACGGCGAAGAAAAAAAAGGAGGATTTGATTAATTAATGCTTCTCTTCACTTGTCACTCGTTGAATAATTTGTGTGTCACATTTCAAAAATGCTGTCTGCTGCAGAGTGACATTTGCATTCGAGTGTGGATCATACGAAAAAATATTGTTTAGTGCATTGTGGAAGCGACAGTTGAAACGTTAGGAAAATGAATGGCACTAAAGGAAAATGTTTGAATCAAATGCTTCAATTGCCGACGACACTCAATAAAAAAAATGTTTTCGTCATAATTCCCATCCTCAAATCCATTTTCACTTTATCGATGCTTAAATATTGAACGGCAAACAATTTTGAAGCAATATTGGTTGAAGTGTCGTGAGGACAGCAACAAAACAACCAAAAAAAGAGTGAAAAGTAAATATCGCCAATGCAAACACAGTAAAATACCATCACGATGGGTTTAGAAATGGAACAGAAAAAAAAGAAATATTTTGATACATATTACCGTTCTCTAGGATTCAGATTGAAAGTTGGGAATTTCTAAAGTGCTCTCGATTCCACTAGATAATGTTACCATATGGAAACCTGATCGAAAAATCCAATCACGTTTTTATGCGTTACACACGGACAACAAGAGACTTCATCTAGGCATTTGCTATCGAATTCTGATAATCGATTTTAATGCAATTGCTCTGTCGTGCCAACGCGTTTTTCCGCTGATATTGAAAATTGTTGTTAATGTTCTGCATTGGTGGCGGTAGTGAACGATACCAAAAATTGTTTCCATTATTTGGATGATGGAAACGAAAATTCATTTCATCATTTTTATTATTAAATATTTTTTCTTTCCGTCTTATTCAGTATTAGCAACAACGACATTGTAGAGGCAAAATGACATTTCCCACTCCAAACTTGTGATTTTTTAGCTTTTTCCTTAACAAATAATGCAAATACGTGAATATTAGAGTTAATAAAAGCCACAATGATAAGAAAAACAGGCGAAGAAAGTCACAAAAGTACGTGCAATGATAAAGTGACAATGATGACAACACACAATACTTTCAAAATGAACACGAATCTTACTGAAACTTACCTTGCTGGGGGTGTCTACAAAAAACCTGGGAAGGTAAGTACGAAGAAGATTATTTTACTGCTGACGGGAGTTGAAATTAGGCATCTTTTTTATTACTAACTTTTATGCTACGGAGTCACGCAACAATCCCAAGATTCGTCAAATATCAAATATTTCAACACGAAACGCATCAATGAAATCTCGTCGACCCGAGAAAAATACTACGACGAAATGAGATTGAATGGGATCATAAGCCAAAGTATTAGATCGTAAATAATTTCAAACTTTATGTCACAGTCTTCTTTCTTCCACTCCACTCACTTCATCTCCCTTTATTCCTTCTTTTATGTAGCATTTCATCATTCCACTGCGAAACAAATACGATGATTTGATGACCTTTGAGCTTTTTCAGGTAATTTGCTTGAACCGTAAAAGAAAAAAACTTTGTCATCATTCAACTAATGGTGTGTAAATTTTGCTATTAATTACTTGACATTGTCGCTACCTGAGCTGATTTAAGGACGTTATTATTCGATAGATGCTTCCTCCCATATATATTTGAGTGACCTATCACAATAGAAGAGTCAAGAAAGAAGAATTAATGTTTAACCGTTTAACAGGTGTAAGAGGCAATGAACTAGAAAGTGACAAGAAGAAAACAAAGTGAAAAGTAGAACAAGAACAAAAAGGTTAAACTAAACTTGTCCCTTGTAACGATGAAGGTCTTGAAGAAAACATTAAATCAAATGTTTCCTTCTCATTTAATCTGATTGAAGACTATCTGCCTACCAGCCAAACCCTCCTACATTCGATTATGCAGCTATCAGATTGAAAATATTTACACTTTCATCCATGCTTTTGTAAGAGATTAGAAAGCTCACTGAACACTGCTGTGAGTAAATAGGAGTTTGGGGAATTGTTGTAATAACTTATAGCAATAACAATCAACATAATTCATTCCGAGATATTCTCGCATTTGAGCTTTAAGTGAGAAAACGCATTTAACCATTATTCAAATTATCTCTAATGCGTTAACATTGATGTATAATTTTAAATTAACATCCAACAATGATTAATTGTTTGTTTGTTTTGGGTGAAATATTTAATCTAGGATTCATTTCGCTCTCACCAGAATCAACTTTGGAATTTTAAATTAAAATCTACATGGAAATCCAATTTAATTCAAATTTGAGCTTTTATTTGTAATATTTTACAACGAAAAAATATCTCAGAAGCTTAGCTTTCCCCATTGAGACCGAAAAATGTGAAAAAAGCTTAGCGTAGAAAAGTTTTCCACATTTTAAATTAGATGGTTTGTTTCTGACAGTTCACTTCTCTCATTTTTTTGATATTTGAATTTTTGGAGGTAAGCAACATTGAATTTAATAACAAATCTTGTTTTGCAAGGGGTTAAAACAATTTTGATACTTGCGATAAATGAAATTGAATATTTTTTCATTTTTGTGTTCATTTTTCTTTAACATCAAACTGCTGAGTTCATAAATTCTCAGATTTCTTCAAGCTCAACAAAGTGTTATTTTAATTTATTTATTACATTACATAAATTTGTATTATATGACACAAAGCGTTTGACCGTGACCTTATGATGTTGCCGTCTTTGTCGAATCCTTTTACATCATTGTCATGTGCACCGTTAACTAAATATTTTATCGCAACATCTTTATTGTGAAATATTAACGTTAAGAATTTTCCTGTCTTCGTCACAATACTTTATCGTGACATTCTGCATTAAATATGGATTGTGGAAAGTGAGTATGAGGGTTGAGATGTATGATTTTTCCGAGCTTTTACCATTATGAGCTTTGAAACATTTTCTCACTTTATCCTTGTCCTTTCGCTTGCACAAGCAGACAGCACAGCACCTTTTGAAAAGAATTGTGCTAAGGCGGAAGCGACTTTTTCTTACAAACTCCCATCCTGCTCTCGATTGTTCAAATTTATTTTATGAATACACAATAGTTTGAATTAATGTAAGAAATGTTTCAAGTTGTCAGAAATAAGCATAGTCTTATGCAAATTGTCGGATCACTATTTTATTTTCTCTACCTGTTTTCATGTTCTAAAAACCATTTTTTACTCTTGAATTCAAATTTATCACATTCATGTTTATGGTGAAGACAAGACAGAAATATTTTGAAGAGAAGAGTATGTAAAGAGCTATTTATTTAGCGAAGTATGAAAAAGCTAAGGTTTCCATCTACTAGGGAATTTATTGCTTTAACATGAAGCTCAATGCTATTCATAGTCAGTCACAGAATGATGCTTGGGAAAGTTTCATACTTACTAACATGTACATTGCAATGTTGAGCTAGTCAAAAGTTCTGAAAATAAACATAGGAGAGATACTGCATGAATACATTTAATAACTACAACTTATATTCGTTTTCCATCTATGATACATTTATTATGATCCCTTTGTTTGCTACGAATTTCAAACTTTCTTTGATTCGTATTTTTCAAAAGCTAGTTTTGTGACTCGAAGATTCGTTTTCAAATATTATCACATTAAATTTATGTTTGAATTTCAATCCTTTCATTCATAAAAATCCTTTTCAAAATGTTATTTATCTACATTAAAAATATATGAGTAAGTAGAAATTTCAATTTAAAATTTATTACATTTTTAATGTGTTGAAGAGTTTTAGATATTAAATAAATAATGTAAATATTTGCAAAGTGTTTTCTCTATTTCATTCATTGAAATATATTTTATTTTAATTATCCAAGAATTTTCTGCAAGGTGTGCTTGAATTGTATGATGTTGTTTTAAATAAAATAAACTTTACATAAGATTTTATGAAACTTTTCATTGCTAGAGCTTCTCGAAACATAAAAGTTCCCAGAACTACTCTGCTTGTGTATAAAGGTTTCAGGTTTTGTTCATTGAATAAAGTATGCAAAAGTTGTTAAGGAAAAGTTCTCTTGGAAAAGCTTTTAGAATACAATACATTTTGAAAAAGATATCATGTTATTTGTTGAAGAGAACTCACTTGGACATGGAGATCTTAACGTCGTTGTTATCATTCAAACAATTACGCAAAATGTTGATGATATCACTCTTCTTGACAAGCTTCATTTTGATATTTAAATGAGACAGTCTCTTTACATTTGTCAAGAGAGCTTTTTTATTTCGCTTAGAGTTTGTTGGAAATGCTTGACAGCAGACAATGTTACTCTTGCAGGTTATTGCATCAAAAAAAAAAAGATGTCCGAAGAAAAGTAAAAAGAAAAATGGAAACTTTCCCCAAAAAAAATTTTTATTGGTGATAACTTTTTATCTGCAAGCGTGCTTAAAAGACATAAATCGTCACACTTGGAATTGAGTATTTCTATACCACGACCCTACAGCGTTGAAGTGCAAGATCTCAAATTTATTTTGGCATTTCAACTTCTCGTTTTTTACGGATGGGACGTAATATTTTATATCTTCATTTTTACGTTCACTTGACGTAAATATTGAATTTCTGCACAGGTGTTAATGTTAGCTGAGGGTTTGAGGCTAAAAGTTTTGCAGTCAACAAATATCCAAGAGAAAAGTAGAAAGCTGATAAAAGTTTTGTAATAAGTTGTTACAATACTGTCTGGAACACTTTCCTTTTATTCGTGAAACTTCAAAAGAAATCTACATTTTCACGAGATATATTTATTAAAACATTATGCATAACGGATTTTCCGCTCGAAGGAACATTCAAGCTTATCTAATTACCAGTTAGGAATAATCTAGAGGAGTTTTCATACGAATGTTCAGGGCTTCTTCTTGTTGTTATGGTTGAAAGCAAATAAATAAATTTCCATATTTTGTTTCATGTTTATGTTACTCAAAAATATTTCATTTCTCATCTTCTTGTTTTGTTTACAAAATTTTATATGAAAGAAAGAAGAAAATGTTTGCAATTGCAATGATGTTTTAAAAGTTGAACTACGTCATCAGTTGAAGTAAATTTTTCGCTCTGCGACGAAAAAAGTTGTTTTCAATTTACATATTCATTTAAATATGAAAAAAATTCTCTTGCGAATGATAAACTTTATAATTAATCTTTTTTTTTAAATAATGGAAAACTTTTTTTCCCACTCACGATTTGCTTGATTTTCATGTGAGATTCTAACAGAAAAAGCATTCGTTGTTTCTAACGTTGACGTCATTTTAATCCACTTTTTCGATTAATTAAATTTCAATTTATATCGCTCTGCGTCCATTGCGAAACTCGCCTTCGATGATGTCGATTTTCCAAAAGTTGATCGGTAATGAAAATCGAATTAAGCCAAACGCAATGAAATTACATAAATTTTAATTGTGCTTTGGTGGGTGACCTAATACCATTCACAACATTTGTAATACAAGGCAGCATGCCGATTGGCAAATTGAAGTTTTGTAATTAATTGAATTTTCAAAAAGACATTTAAGTAAACTCCAAACCGAACTCCTTACGCGTCATGTAACCTAATAAAGAAGAGAAAATATAAAAGTTTCCCTCTTTTGCGAAGGAACTGTAGCAAATAAAGGAAAATGAACGAAGCTCTTTTATTTACTCTTCGTCTTTGATTTAAATTTAACAGAAGTTAAAGCACGTTTGGATAGAATAAGAAGAATTTTTTTTCACATTTTCTTGTGAGTTTTCCACAGAAATAAAAATAACAGAAGATGTAATTAAAACTTTTCTTTTTTCTGTTTTCCACCAGAATTCGCTTCAAGTGAATCAATGTTTTTCCAGATTCATTGACACGAGAGATTTCGCTTTCGCTTTGCCTCAAAATGTATGTTCTTGGAAGAGTAATAATGAAAGAAAATATGAGATGTCATAGCTGGAGATTCAAGAGGCGACAGACTGTAACTTGATACGGTTTATTAAAACATTACTTTCCACTTTAATTAGTTAAAGAGAAATGTTTTCAATGACCAAGAAAGTTTTGTCTTTAAAAATTAATGCTGTCTAAGAAGTATACATAAAACATTAATCATCAAGACGATAAATTTATTATTAAAAACTTTCTCGTATGACGAAATTAAAAAACAATTTAAAACATTTTTCTGCGTTTCTCTTTTCATCAATTTCCTTTCAAATTTGCTTGACATTTTCAACATCATCATGACGACGACAGGATTTCTTTTGGATTTATTTATTTTATTTTTTTTTCTTTTTGAAGAACAACAAAGTTTTTAATTGTTCACATTTGTCTCTGAAGAAGGAAAAACACTTCTTAATGGCGCTTGAATAAATTTTAGAAAGCGAGAAAGTTTTTTTTTTATTTTCTTCTTCAGTGAGGTAAAGTTTTAGGCGGTGACGCTTTTGTCATGATTTTCTAATTTGCGTTCATTATCACTACATAAATTAAATCAGCTAATGTAGAATTTTCTGTTTCGCGAAAAAGTGAAAAGGAATTTTTCCGGTGATTTATATTTTGAGGATTTCACGAATCAGTTGATTTATGCTATGACATTTTAATTCGGGAAAAAATTTTGAAATGTTGTAAAGCCAGATTTCTTTACTTTTATTACTTTTATTTTTTATTGTCAAGCTATAAACACTTCAGTGAAAAACATAATAAATTCCATTGTCTATATCGTTGAAGCAGTCAATATATATTCCACGCAAAGCGCCTCCACTCTATTTTATCTCCCGAAAAATCAGATTAATTAATCAAATTTCTCCAAACGACCCGGAATATTTGAATATTTACTTTAATTTCCTTTCCTCTTTCCATCGTCAATATATTTACATACCTTCACCAAATCGCTCAGAGAGAAGTTAAATTATTAAAAAAAGAAAAATAATACTTGAGAGCCGAGCGACATAAAGCATATTTATGCGTTTTCCGACAACAATTTATATTTATTTAGCGAAAATCGCTGGAATAATTTATAAATCATGATTCAACGAAAAACCACCAAAGCCACAAAGCAATGAGATTCAGTGTAAGAATTTTTCATTTTTGATTATGAAAAATAAGCGGAAATTATGGTCGTACATGCAATTGCATGAAATTGTTTGACTTAACGTTAAATTGAAATGAAAGTTGCTGACAAATCTGAAATCCTCTCTTTAAACGAATTCGGAAGAGCTTTAAGCTTGAAAAGATGGAAAATGATGATCCCTTTAATCGAAGCATTATGATATGAAATAAAATCAACAAACAGACATCATCATGATCATCACATCAATTTCATGACGGTAGATCTCAAAACATTCAACGTCAATTTGGATTTTCAACAACGACAGCGCATGTTTTTGGAAAATTTCCTTTGGAAAAAGGAAAACTTCCCCTGATTTCAAGGGTTGATGGAACGGATGCTTCGCACAACTTCTCAGTTGGAAAAATACTTCCGATGTTGAAAGTTGTGAAATGTGGAAAAGTTAGAAAAAAAGAGACTTTAAGGGAAGAAGAACAGAAAAAAGGAATAAGAAAAGTTTGTTCTGCATTAATCATTAAATAAGAGAGAGTTTACTTATTCGGAAAGTTGTCTAAGCTGAAAACTTTGAACTAGTTGAGGATTAAGTTCATAGTATGTTTAGGAAACATAATCTGTTAATAGAAGAATTGCTGAAAGTAAATAAAGCCTCCTCGAGAACAAGATTCGTTTGTGTAGCAAGTAGCAAAGGCAGAGAGATCCCTCGTGCAAATAATAAATCCTGAACAAACATTAAAAGAAGCTAAAATAAAAACGTGTTCACAAAGCCATGACACTATCAAACCCTAAACTACGACTGTTTTCATTCTAATTCCAAATAAATTGTAAACATAAATCTGTCATGATTGACTTCAAACATGACGATAAAAAAAAGTTCAACATAAAAAACTGCTGTCTCGTAAATTTTCGCCCATCCCCGTTCAGTTCCTCAGAGGAGGTCGGAAAGAATTGGTTCTGCTAACAAATTTGTTTCTGCGAAAACATAATCTCATGTGTGACATATAAAAGCAGAACGGCGTGTAACGACGTCATGTATGTTTGAAGACTTAAACTCCTGAGCTGAATGGAACTAAAAAAGTTACTTTAAGTGTTTAAAATATTTCTCTGTGACCTTCAATTTGAATGTAGTGTTGAAAACTTAAAATTGTGACATTACTGAATGAGCTCTTTCAATGAATTTTTGATTGATTGAATAACTTTTAGGTTTCTGTGATGAAAGAGAAATAAAATTACGTAATGGTTTGATTCAATGTTTAACAACTGCTATTGAATATTAAATAATGAACAGAAATTTTCTGTAATTAATTTTCCGAACATCAAAAATTTTGATTAACATTGTTGCAAGTGAAACAAAGAGAAAGAAAATGAGTAATCGACTGAGTGAGCTCGTGGAAAATTACTAACTAATTATTAATTATCTTTCATGTTAATTGAGGTGAATTTTTAATGTTCAATCAAACATCAGCAAACAAGCAATCAAGTGTCGAGCAGACAATTAAATAATTCGAGCGTGGACAATTACCATGCATTAAGTGAAACAAAAAATCTCTCCTGTTAGCCATTTCAAATTTGAAAACGTCAGAAATAATTAAAATGAACAACAGTGGGAAGTTGAGGAAATTTGTTTTTACAATTATTTTAATTAGTGTAAACTACGGTGAGTTAATATTTAATAACTGCCATTAGCATTCATACAAAATCGCTTGAATTATTATTTATTTCATCTAATGCTCAAAGTGTTGTAAAGAAGCTTCATTCATCTCAAGAGTATTGTATTATTTCTTAAATTGGCGACAGATATTTTCGATGTGAAAAGGGAAACTTTTCTGTCGCCCTCGAGTGCTTTTCTTCTTTGAACGAACACAAAATGCTGTAGGAAATGTTTTTCTAATTTATTCTCTGACATAAATTTGTCTAAAATACTTTTCGTTTCTTTCTCTTGCCTTTTTTTGCCTTCCTTCTCCAACACAATAATAAAGTTTCACATCAAATTGATCAGCGAAGCTTTTGTGCGTCGCTATAAATCTTTATCATATTTTATGTTCTAAGCTTTCTTATCAAAGACGTTTTCATTTCATTTCGTTCTGTTCCCTTTTTTTATAATAAAAAATAAACTTGCTTAAAAGTAATCATCATTACATTTAACGTAACATCAACAGCAGCAGTCAAAGGAACACAAATCGATAAAAGCAATAAAGCATACAAACGACTGACATCGACGACGACGACGACGACGACGACAACAGCGTTAGTTCATCGTTGTTTAGCGGTTGTATTGTTATCGCTTGCATGATAAAATATTCCCGATACATTTCTTCTTCCTCCCATTTTGTCACACTCTCGTCTCGTCTTATAATCGAGAATCTTGTGAGATATATTCGTAGGATGAATCTTAAGAACGACAGTAAAAGTTTCATGTAATCCCTAACGATGTATTTTTTATGAGAAAGGGATTAGTCAATGCTCAGATCAAGAACTCTTGAACGCGACAAATCACGTTTATGTATGACAAGAAAATTGCATTTATTGGATTTGGTTTGATTTTGAAATGTTTGTGAATTTTTTTTTAATCGAATTTGATATCAATGTTGTGTGCATAAAAGCATAAACGAATATCTGACAAGAATCATTTGATTAAATCTAATTATAAACCGCTTCCAACACAATATTCATCAACAGAACATACTCTATCCGAATTTGACAACCCACCAAGCAATGCAGAGAGGGTTGCAGCAATCAATAATCAACAATATCAGTTCCACCATGATTACGATACAGAAAATGGTTTCACAATCGATGGGGATGACGAGAACTTACATAATGCACTGAATCGTGGACCATACTTTGACATTTCAGCTTCAAAAAACGTAACTGCGTTAGTCGGCAATACTGCTTATTTGAATTGTCGAGTTAGAAATTTGGGAAATAAAACGGTAAAATACTTCTCGAATGTTATTTCGTTTATTTACATGTTCATAACTTTTTCACATTTTCTCTTGTTAAAAAAAAAAGGTTACTTGGATTCGACATCGAGATTTACATTTGTTGACTGTAGGAAAGGAAACTTATACACAAGGTACAAGAAGAAGAAAGCAAAACAAGCAAATTGTATTAAAATCTTCCTTTTTATTTCCTTTATAGATCAGAGGTTTCAAAGCGTACATAACCCACATAATGGTGACTGGTCGCTAAAGGTAACATTTTAATTATAAGAGCGAAGATGTGAATTGTGCTAATCACAATATGGCAATGATTGAAGCGTGAAACTTTCAAAAGAAAATGGGCTAAAGGCGTTTGATTACATTTAATATTTATTATTCACCTTCTCTTTGTCACTCTCTTCAAACAAACCCTCGCTATCATTAAACTACTATATTGAAACCTAAATCTCATCAACAGGTTTTGTATCCTCAACAGCGTGACTCGGGTGTCTACGAATGTCAGGTTTGTAATTTGTTTCCTCTAAAACGAATAATTAATAAGAAATGTGACATTTGATGTGAGCCAAGTGACTTGCTCTGACATAATTAATTTTCCTATTTTAAAGTTGAATTAATTTTGGAAATGTTTTTGTTGTTGTTTTTGTCATTTAGATTGGAACGTCACCTCCAGTTGGTTACTCTATTGTGCTATCTGTTGTTGGTAAGAAGTAATATTTGGGATGACATTTTATATGAAATATTTATTAGTCTGTTTGTCGGTAAACAGAACCCATAACAACGATTATCGGTGGACCTGACATGTACATTGACCAAGGGTCAACAATTAATTTGACCTGTATCGTAAAGCATTTGCCTGAACCGCCTCCAGGAATTTATTGGACGCACAACGGCGAGGTCTGTAAACTTTGTGAAATATTTTCAATTTCTACCAGCAACTTTTTTTTCATCTTTTTTAACAATGTCCCATGTCAAGTGAGAATAAGAATATATCTGCAATGAAATTCATCCCGTGGGGCTTTTTAAGAGCTCGCAAATACATTGCCTTTTTATTCCACTTTTATTCTGTTACCAAAAAATAAAACAAAGTAAGAGCATTGACTACGTGGAATAAAAAAACATTTCTTCGCTGAATGGACTTAAAAAAAATGAAACAAAAAGTTCAAATCGTCCCATGAGAAAGATTTAAAAAAAATTCTTTTTCTCCTTTTCTCAAAATTATTTATGAACTTTAACTTTTTTAAGGAAATCAATTACGATTCACCTCGTGGTGGCGTTAGTGTAATAACCGAGAAAGGTGACATTACCACATCATATCTTTTAATCCAGAGAGCACGTTCGTCGGATAGTGGAAAATATGTTTGTCTACCATCAAATGCTAACTCCCAAAACATTAACGTCCATGTTCTGAATGGTAAATATCTTATTTGATCGTACAGTTTAATATTGTCATTGCCATTAATTCATTTCAATTCATATTTGATATCAATAAATATTGCACTCCTTCTATAAATTATGTAAATAGTCAGTTCATGATAAACTAATGGAGTTTACAATTAATCTATTTCATAGGCGAACATCCCGCAGCGATTCAACGTGCAGCTAGCCAGTTAGATAATAAATCTTATTTGCTTTTGTTACTATTATCATTCATATTAACGACATTTTCAAAGAGATAAATCAACAATGTAGGAAAGTAAGCAATTTTAGTTAAAATTTAATGAGAAATGTAAATAAAAAATGTTTTCTTAAACAATCAACTAGCTTTTCTTTTCCTTCACCTTTTTCCTTAAAGAAAATAAATTCGCAAGTTTTAAATAAGAAATTTTGAACGAAAATTATCAACCCACAGCGTGGAATATTTTTCTGTAAACTTTTGGGCTTTCAAACTTCAAAATGAAAAAAGTTAATGGATAGATTCTCATCATTTTCTTTCAGCAGTATGACTCAAACATATTTATTATTTGATGAAATGGAATCGTCAAAATTCATTAGGTATTATCCATGTAAATGTTGCCCTTTTGATCTTAAATTCAAAAGCTGCTGGCAATATGTATTCAAATGCGAACAATTTTCTTTTATAATAAAGGCACCATGAGAATTTTGCTTGCTGCTGGTGAAAGTGAAACAAACATTTACTAAACGAATACAACAAATGAATTCCTGAATCTATTCAACGTAAGATACAACGAAGGAAGCATATAAATTGACGTGTGCCGCTTGTTTACGATATTAAATTTTATTACGCACATTCCGTTTCGTGTATTACACTACGCTACATATCTTTCATTAATAATATGTTTTATGTGTGTATCTTGTTGTATCTCTGCAGCGTCTTTTTCAGCTTTCAACTGCTGTTTCTCGTATGATAAAGTTATACAAATATGTGTTTTTGTGAACGGCTGCTTCCACTTTTTTATTGGATATTGCTATGAAATTTATTAATTTAGGTGAATAATATTTCACTTATAGTCGTAAGACTCACGACGCGATTAGTACTTAAGGGCGTTAAAGATGTTCATATTGCTTCATAAATAGAAAGAAAGTTGGAATTTTATTGCTGTCGGTGGTGGTCGGTAAAAAGCACAAAAGCACTTAATTGAAGTAGAAGCAGAAGCAGAAACAGAAGCTGATGCAGGAATTTATTTCACAGTCATAGTCACATGAATGCAAGTGAAACAAAGTGAGAGGGAAAGATGGAGGTTGCTCCTTTCATGTCAAGAATTTATATGCAACAAAACACTTTACCGCAATGTTTTTAATTATCTCAAAACACAAACAGCAATGCTCTTGATAAAGTGTTCATAAAACGTGATTCCTTTTAAAATCACTCGAGTGAAGTTGAATGAGTAAAGTGCTCATTTTAGAATGTTTAACGCTTTCAGTTAGACAGAACTTCACCTATCCAACTGATGATGTTCACTGAACTGAAATCAATTAGTACTTTTCGCTTTTTGGGATGGAAAAGCAATTAAGGATTATTGTAAATATTTCCGCATTTATTGAGCGAATAAATTTTTCTTAGAATTTCCATTTCATAGGGTTTTGAGTTTTGATATCAGAGATGAATGTTGCTACGCTCTGTTGTTAATTTCCCAATTAAATAACATTAGAACATTTTGCGTTTTACATGCTTCAAGAAGTTTCAAAATTAAGAAATAAATAGAGGTTTAACTTTCACCCGGAACTTTCAATTTCGAAATGAAATTTAATGAATGAATTTAACAAATATCTAAATTCATTGAATGCTTATTGACGAATTTTTCAATAAAGAAAGTTCGAATAATGTTTTATTAAAAATTTAATTAAATATTCATGAAGCATGAGAGTATTTATTAATTAATGTGCGAAAGATACTTCAATACGCCTAGAAATATTTTGCCGTGGCATCATTTAAGAGATTTGTCACGTTTGTTACGATGACTTAGAAGGATGAAATGAGATTTTCTTTTTGTTCGCAACTTTCAAGTTATTTAGCTTTTAAACTCAAGAAGCTTATGAGATGCTTCTTCCATCATTTTATCATCCTATTAAATTAAGAAAACAAGTTCAAACGCTTTTCAAAGTAACCCGAGTTACTTTTAATCAAATTTGAACAGCTTAAGCTTCAAGTTTTAATTAAACTGTAGCTTTGTCAACCTTTTTTATTATTTTTTCCTTCTTTTACTTCCCTTCGTCTTTTCACTTCAACTCACAAAGAGTATCGTAATTATTAAAAAAAATGATTTCGTTACTTTATACTTATTGTCTCAATTGTTCTTCTCATCCATCGACACCCACTCACCTCTTCATTCCCACACTTCAATGCCTTCGTAATAATAAAGAATAAATTTCGGTATCTTAATTTAAACATTTTTGAGAGTTGAGTTGAATATTAACGAGAGGAAATCTAATGATAAAAAATGAATGATAAAGAAAGATTTCTTTCATTTTCTTTTATCATTGTGAGAAAGAAACGAGAAAAAAATGTTAAATCAGCAATATTATAATATACAATTTTTACCGTACAAATTTGTTATCATCATAGCACTTGACTGTTGTTTCGGCATCATTGCTTTGATATATTTACCACGTTAGACATTCAGAGGTTCACTGAAGGGGGGAAAAAAAATCAAATATTCAAATAAGTTACGCTCTCAAAGCTTCAAGCATCTTCGTATAGAATTAAGCATGAAAGTACTTCTGTCATCAATCACATGAAATGAAAATTTATACATGAACATTCATACACAATATCTACGGGTCTAGATTTCTTCTCCTCTTTTTTTTATATTATAAATTATGAAACGCAAATAGAAGAGAAAACCTCAAGCTTAAGATAATTACATTAAACGAAAGCATTTGGTGGTGGTTCGTGAAGGGAATTAAAAGTGAGTATCCCACTGTTTTCAGGATGTACATGCCAACATCATACCCAAGAATCTCTAAGAATGAACAAGACAGAATGAGAAAGATGGAAAAAAAGAGGACGCCTTCCTCTGGGCTCATAAATCATCGCTCACATATTAATATTACAGAAAGTTTCAATGCTTAAGATACGTAGGAAATTCTACAAGACACAAGTTAATGAGTGTTGAGCTCGCATGAATTATCACAGCAAAATGAAATCGATCAATCTTAAAGTTTTCCTTTTACTCAAGAAAAATAAATTGAACTTGAAGCTTTCTTTATTTATTTTTCTTCTTCCTTTCTCAAGGTTCGTTGATACAATGAAAAGCCATTGTTTTATGATTTAACATAAATATATTGTATTAGATTATGATTGAGTGTGTGTAAGATTTAATATCAATATTAATCTTTTCTGAAGGGTCTCGTAATATTTTGTGCGGCTTTAAAGTAATAAAATATCAAACAGTTTTATGATTGCGACATAACATGTCAGCGACCCATGAAATCAAAAAAAAAAAATCAAAAAATCATCGCTTAGAATGAGGGAGAAAAAAAGTCAGAAAGCAATAAAACATTTCCTCAAATATCATTTGCTTCATCAAACGGATATAAATAAAAAAGTATAAATTCTGCCACATAAAAAGACATTGAGATGCGATATGAAGAAAACGGAAATTGAAAATGATATAAAAGATTAACTTAAGAAACCCAATAAAGAAACATCGTCGTAATCGAAATGTATTCGTTGGAAGATTGTTATTGATACACATTTCTTCGATATCCAACTCTTTCCCTCTTTTTTCCTTTCTTTATTTTATCGTGAAAATTTTCGAAGGATTTCTAATGCTCAGCGGGCCCGAACCGACAACACTCAAAGTTATAAAATCTCAAATTCCATTTATGAGATGTTTCGTGATACTCTTTGTTCGCAAATCAATATGAAGAAAGGAAAAGTTTCTTATCTACTATTAATAGCGTTGGGTTAGCCTACGGGTTTTGATACTTTTTTTTTATTGTGTTCTGTTGATTCCTTCCCTCAACTAAAGTCATTTTCCTTCTCTTTTCTCCACCTTGACTTGATACGCCTTATATAAGAATCAATGTTTGGAGATGTTTCTCGTTCAATTGGTACTTTCAAGATTCCAGTCGAGAATAAAAAGAAAGAATTTCGAAAATCCCATGAGCATTTCAAAAGAATTTTCCTATTTGAAACTTCTGCTTAATTCAATTCAACCTTCGTAAAAATGAAACTTATTCATCCGGTCAATTTAAGCGTCTTTGAAAGCATTCTTAACTATAAGATCTGCTGTTAAATAAATTAAATTATTTAAAAAGCAGAGAGCTACTTGAGAGCTTACACGTAAAATAAAATTTTTCACTTCTTAATTTCATTACTTTCCTCTCATTCCACATTCACTTTTGTTAAATAGCGTTAAATTTTCTTTGAACTAAGATATTAAATTATTTATTAATCGTTTGAATCAACAAGAGAAATGTTTTGTAAGTAGATAATTGAACACTAAAGAGTCAATTGAGCTTCCCTCTCAAGAATATCAAATTCAAGTGTGCAAATTTATCGTCACTTAATTATCAAGAGAATGTTTACATTCCAATTGAATTTAATTATAGGTAGTGTTGTGAGAGCGCACTTGAATGTTTAATTCATTGATAGTCATGTTTTATAAGCGATAGACTGTTAAACATGCACAGACACATATTCAGAGTCTGTTCATTTCAAGAAAAATCGAAAGCTTTGAACGATTCCAACCCATGTCATCAATAATCGTTCATCTGTCTCCAAAATTTTCAAATCACTTTCGACAGTCGCCTCCTCCACAAAATTGAATTTCCTACTTAAATTTGATATAACGTCTTATTAAGGCATTATTGATCTCAACTTTGAATTGGTATATCAGCAGGGAATTGAAGCGAGAAAGTTTTGTGTTTTACATCCTTCTCTAACTTCTATCTTTACATTACACGTGCATGAGAATATTTTTTCTTCCTATCAAAGTATGCACATGGAGTGTATAGAATGAGAGTCTACGTTGCTTTTTGCATAATGGAATATTTATTGAAAACAATTTAACTTTTGTGAAACTTTTGTTTCTTTGTTTTCAAATACACTGCTACAACGGGAAATTGCAATGAGGCTAACATGAGCTTGGTGCCGACACATATATAAATTGTACGTAAATTTTATGAAAAGGAAACGAACGAGGAAAGAACATTTCAAATATAAGAAGCACCTTTGGGAATCATTTGAAACGCTCGAAGAAAGAAAATATCTCATGCCAAGTAAAATGTTCTCACTCACTCTTAGTTACACTTTTGAATTGAATATTCAACACAATTTAATTTTATTTTATCTTTCAATTGGAGGGTGAAGGAAGAAAAGAAAAATACAAAAATACAAAAATACAAAAATAAAAATAATAATAAAAAGCAAGAAAACATTTTCCCAACAAATCCCAGCTCGTTTCGATAACAATGAAATGGTAAATTGCATTTTCCTTATTGAAAATGTGCTACTGCACAAGACTTTTCTCCTTTCCGATATAAAAACATTTTTGAGTTCAATGCATTTCCAGCACATTGTTCGAGCATTCGAATCCACATAGTTTGCCATGTAAAACGAGCATTTCATAATCCCGAGAAAAAGGAAATCTCTTTCGAACTTATCACAAATTCAATAATCGCTCCCGATCGAACAATTGCAGGTTGGGAAAATTTTTGTGTTCGATTTTTGTGCATGATTATATCGACCAACATAAAGCTGTAAGTTTGTTTTCTCAATTGCTGCAAATTGGTCGAATCTTTATTGATTTACTTCCATGCTTATTTCAGGTGCATCATGAAAAGGCTTTCAGGTTAATCGAATAGCTTTATAGCTTTGTATGTCAATATTATCAGGAAAAGCTTGGAATTGCGCAATCGGGCAGATTTTTCTTTTCATTACTTATCAGTTTAAAACCACAAATATTTATAATGCTGAAGGTAATAAATATTTGAGAAATAATTAAACTGTTTGTGGTCTACAACCACATGCATTATTAAAATCATTTTCATAAAGTTTGAGACCATTTTGATATACTTTGTAGAATGAATTTTTTGATTTGTCAACGTATTGAAGATGAAGCGAAACACTTTAAACGTTTTCTGATAAAAATTTCCCTTGAAATCCGACATCGTTCGAAGCTCTCTTTCGGATTTTAAGTGTGCTAAGCATATAGAATGAAAAAACTGTGAAAAACAACGCTCGAAACCATTCTATGACTTCAAAATGAACTCGATTTCTTATTTAAAGACATGTAAATCGAGTTTATTGATAGCAATTTGAGCACGACGCGCTCAAACGTTAAGAGAAATTCTTCTTTATTTATGTAAGTGTAAATGGCTGATGGGTATAAAGTATCGGATATCAAAGAATTGAGTTTGTTTTCTCCTTCCACAACTTCTCAGTTTCTTAAAGAAAAAGAAAAACTGAATGAAAAAGAATAAAAAACAAAATAAAGAAACAACTTCAAAGGAGAAATTTTTATATATAAAAGTTCGTTTGTACACATAACAAAGATCAAAGTTACCTTTTAAACCGTCTAAACAGTTTAAGTAGTTCTGTGTTGTTTTTCTTTATAATGAGAAACAAAATTAAAACAAAGTTTTAGGGAGAAGAAGTTTCAAAGTTAATTTCTACAACGTAGTTAAAGTCTAATCTTGTCTTGTTCACTTTGAATGGAAATTTTCTCATCAACTTCTAACAAGCGGAAAAATTTGTGGTTTGAATTTCTTAATTTTTGTTTTGTTTTCTTGCTTACGACCTTTTGCCAGGTCTTTGTTTTAGGGGTAACAATATTGAAGAAATCGTATGGGAAAGTCATAGTTTATTCATGGGATTCATTCTTTTCGAAAGATTGATTTATTGCTATCTTTGCTCGTTTCTTTATCTCCCGTCTTTGGCTTACGGCCAAACACCAAATGAATATTTTCCTTGTGTCTTTTCTTCTATCTTCTTGTTTTCTTTTTGTTGTTATCCCAACAGCAACTTTTTCTTTCGAAGACTTTTCCAAGGGTAATGATATGAGAGATGATAAAATCAGATTCAGACCTACATCACAAAACATTTTTTTTTTGCTTTCTTCCTTCTCTTTCATGTTCACATTACAGCTGACAATCGTCGCTTTCTTTTGGGAAAAAATATAATGAACTCAAAACAAGCTGAATCGACCGAAAATAAGAGAATGTGAAGCGTTGACATCGACAGATGGGAGATGTTGTTGACTTCGTCTCGAAATTGACAACTGCGACTAATTAAAATATCCAGCCAGATACATTCGGTTGATTCAATTTCGAAGCTCCTATAAATAATTTTCCTGATTTAATTGGATGTCAATTAGCATGTTAAGTGAATTGACTTTGGTAAACATGTGAGCCTGGGTGCTAATTGAATCTAGTAGTCATTGTTGGAAGTAAGTAATCCTTCATCATAAAATCAACAAAACCCCCGTAATCAATGAGTCAAAATGTTCTCCATGTATCGTATAGAAAGATGAAGCAGACGATGATGAGTCGATGAAACTTAATCCATCGGTTTTCATCTAAATCGGAATAACTCTCATGGGATCAAGAATTGAAAAAATAAAGAGAAAATAATACTGAAGAAGAAATGGAATGATTACAAGTGATGATGAACGAGACGAGTGTTTGGCACAATTAATGTTGGCTCTATTTCAAGTTGGTTGACATTTGAAGCGACAGAGAAAGAGAGAGATGGAAAGTTAGAGAGAGAGATAAGAACATAAGGAAAAGATCCGAGTTAAGACATTTCGAAGGAGACTATGGTTGTTGTCATCTGGAATTGACACATCATATCGAGAGATGAGAATGTTCGATAACATTTTCCTTGTTTTCCTGCAGCACATTTTATCAGTTTCACCACTTTCAGTGACAAAGGCAGAATTTTTGTTTGTAAAACAATAAATTTAGTTCATGTTTGCAATGCCACGTCAACTGTAACAGTTTGGGAACATCATTTGCCATATGCACATTGAGTTTAGGAGTCTAAATTGAAGCAACTTGAATGCAAGCCATTTTAGCGTGTTTTACGCTTGAAGAAAATTCAAAGAATTTTAACATTTGGCAAAGGAATGACGGACAATTTTCAATATTTTAAATTTCATTTTCTTGTCGTCGTTTCACGTAATTTTTGTAAACTCATAATTTAATTATGTATCAAAAACAGTAAAACACAAAAAAATATTTAAATTCACCCTTACGCGATTCTGAAACGAAGTGACAAAGCAAATCCTGGATATTCATTATTCCACCCTCAATTTGCGACTTTCTGTGTTGTGTTTCAGGTCACAATACTCGGCACATTGTTATATGACATGATTTATGAAACCAAAAATCACTTCAATGGATAATTGACAACTTTCCACTACATTACATCATTTGCTTCCATTTGGATGAGTCAAAAAGCAAAGTTCCAACGCTGTTTTCAAATGATAAACAAACAAAAATTTACATATGACATCTGACGTCACTTTTACTTTTCAATTTATGTTTCGTCCCACCATACCAACCGCATCCACCGCCACCATAAAGACCACCAAGCGTGATGATAATTTTCATTCGTCTTGCCGTCTTGTCGTCTTGCGATGGAAAACAGCTTCTTAATTGTTTCCTCAAGCCAAATGAAGCGGAAATCGAGGAGAAAAAGTTTCATTTCAAATAAGAAATCTAGTCAAGATTCAAGACATTCTTTAAAGAAGATATTTGCTTTTTCTACATCTCCTTCGTCTTCCAATTTCAGTCAAGGCTGCATTTATTATAAGCGTCAAAGTATGAAAGGAATTTGAGAAGTAATTTTTTTTTAAACTTTTCCCAGAAGAATTCCTTGGAAAAGTTTTGCCAGCTTTCGTCCGAAACCCATGAGTAAGTGACTTCATTAATTGTTGTTTCCCGCAAAAGCAAGATGAAGGTTTCCATTTTTTTCATTTATTTTTCTTTCCTTTCCTCTCTAAATTATAAACATTAAGTTGATTAAATTCAATTTGATCCTTTCTCCTTTTTCCATGCTTAAATGTGGAAAATTGAAAGTCGAGAGGTAATGAAGTGCAATTGTGTGATTTTCTGATTTTCACTTTATAGAAAGAATAAGTTTTGAAGCAATTCAACAGCAGTGAATGCGCTTTATGACAGTTTAAATGGAGCTCAAAGTAGTTCAGAAAGTTGAATTCTATTATCGAACTTTGATTACATTTAATTTATTTGAAACTTTGTGTTCTCATTTCACAACTTTCATACTTATGTGTGTCAAGTCAAGCGTGTTTGGTGTTTACAAAAATCACAGAATGGTTGATTTTGATTCTCTTCAAAATGAAAATGTAAACAAGATTTGAGAGAAAAAAGAAAATATTTTTCGACATCGTATTAATATCACCAAATCGAGATTTCCACACTGAAATCAAATAAGATGTTTGTCAATTTCATTAAGTTGTGCAAACATAAGATAATAAAACGGGAAATGAGCTTTAAGTCATCACATTTATTAGATACATAAATGTCGAGTGTGGGGAAGTGATGTTGATGTTGATGAACAACCATCTTTGTTATTGCTTTGCAGGCTTGTTTGTAGAATTTTCATCTAAAGCTTTGAAACGCAAACGAAAGTTCTAAAATATTTAAAACTTAGCAAGAACAAGAAGAGAATTCTTTGCTCGAGAAAAGAAGAAAAATTGAGCAGAAAAAATGATAAGCTTTTCGACAAATACGCTACTATACGAACCGTGAACGCGATAAATCATCGAAAATCATGAAAATCTCTTAAATCTCTCGCGTCACAAATCAAACAATTGTTCTCATTCTTCCTGCTGTGGATTCAGCTTCAGAATGAATGAATGAATGAATGTTAAAAACAAAACTCATTCGTGAAAGGAAAATAAATGAGTATAAACTTTCTTCACTACGAATTGGAATGATTTGTCTCTTGAACTTTGCTTTGATTCCTTCTGTCATGTCAAGCTGATTTATTTTCATATCATTTTTGAAAAATCTTATCTTTTCCTTGTTTTTCGACAAAACTTTGTCTTCAAACGTTCAACATTTCAACATTCATATTTTTCTGTTTCCAACGGACCCATCTCTTTTAATTACTCGAAAATCTTTTGATCTTCGAAGCATCTTAAAAGGTTTTCCTCACAAAATTTTCCGCTTGGTTTTTTTCTTGTGTTAAATTCATTTTTCAATTTGGAAAAGGTAAAGCTTTGAGCGTATGTTTGCAAATTATTAAGGATTAGAAATAAGTCTGGGAAATTTAGATTTCTTACGGAATTATGATTGAATCAAATTTCTTGAGTCAAGATTAATAAAATTTCAACGGAAAAGGGAAAAGGAAAGGCAAAGAATTCTTCATGGTTGCGCAGAAACTTTCAGGTCTTGAATCCTTAAAAACTAATTATAATGAAGCCATAATGAGATTCTACATAAATTTATGAAAGATTTCGTTGGAAATGTACCTACCCAGGTAGTTAATTCCCCAACAATAAAAGACATCGCAGAAGAAAGCGAGCGGCTTTAACTGACGAATCAATTTTACTTAAGCACTGAACAATGAGTTCCAAACAATCATCATCCTGATTGCACAGTTCGTCTACTTCTCTCGCTTGAAGAATGCTCATCACGCTCGATGCTTGTCTTAAATTTAATTATCAAACTTGTCTCTTAATTTAACAAAACATTTCTCTTTCCCTCACGCCCTCATACTCCTTTTCTAAGTCTTCTTCTCGTTTCAAATACTTTTTCTTTCTTCCATTATCAAAATTTTGTCATTGTTCTTAATCGCATTTTCATTGTCGAAAATTTTATCATCAAACTTTCATGATCAGGAAATAAAAGAAGCGCCATGGTATGAGCTTCAAAAGAATTATTTTGTGGAATGTTTCAAACATAAAAAAACAAAAATTTTGTGCAATTCAAAGTGGTTCCGTTAAACTTATTTACAATCTTTCCTACCGGACGTCAGAAATTTCCAGTCCACCAGAGTTGAGATGAGTCGCGCATGAATAATTTATGATTGTTGTGGCAAACATTCTTCACTCACTCTCACAAAAAAAAAAAGTTTTATTAAAAATATCTCAAAAATCTAGTTTTAGGTTGTAAATGAAAAATTTATTAAGTTCCCTGATTTCCATCTACAGCCAGTGAATCTGTCAAGAGAACAGAAGCTTTCATTAAATTTATTATTCTCTGATGGATTCCCTTTTTTTTAATGGTGTGACGATGAGTCATTACTTGCTACATTTCTGCTTTTTTTTCATTCATTCTTGCACATACGGGGAAATGTTTCTTTCATGTAGACTTCACTAACCCACTTTATCTAATCTGATTTAATGTACGAGAGGCTAGGGGACGACCTTTGAATTGAATAGATGGAAAGTTCTTCTCAGCGACGGAGGAAGTGAAAAAAAAAAGGTTCAATGTAAGAAATTTCTTCCGGTTTTGAAGTAAACAACCAACAAAATCATTTCTCTGTTGACGTTCAAAGTTTTTTGCAATTTGCTAGTTAACAAATTTTTGGTGATTTAATAAAGATGGGTGAACGAAATGTAACCTTGGTAATGTCAATTTGTTTCATGAACAAAAGCCACAAAGCCATTGTTCTACTTTCCAATGTAATCAGCTTATTTTCGGACCAAACTGCCATTAAAGAAAAAATCATTAAATGTCTCACGTTCGCACGCATTTTTCTGACTTTTTTAACATTAAAAATTAAGTAATGAAAGCAAGACACTCAAGATGCATCATTTAATTTTACGCGGCTTAAGATTTCAATCGTGCATGACATCATTTCTTCTGAATATTTAGTCACAGCTTAGACATCGTGGAAGGTTAAAGAAGCGATTTCATTAGGAATTATGTTCAATAATGGAATATTTTATGGAAATTTATTCCACAAACTGTCGCAAAAGTGAAAAAAGAAAGCAAAGAGAAAAAGAAATGAAAGTTAAAGTTCCGTGTAGATGAAAACTTTTATCAATGGAAGTCAAAAGTTAGAGACAAAGAAAGAAGAAAAAAAAAAAAAAAAAAACAATAAAACTTGGGTAAGTTAAGTTGTGGCATAAGCTAAGGGAGGGTTCGACTAGAGCCAAAGAAACTTTTAGTTCTTAAGAAGTTTCTGTCAAATCACATCTAGCGAGCTCATATAAAATTAGTTGCGAGGTTTTTCTTTTTTCCATCTTCTTTTTTTACTTCACCAAAAGAGGGTGAAAAAAGTTTGCAAAAAAAAATTTTTTTTCTTTATTCTCAGCCCTCCATTACTGCTCGTTGTCGCTCGCATATCCACAAAAGTTTACAATCATGGCTCCTAAAATTTGTTTTTAAATTTCCCAAATCATGAAAAGAATCCAACAATCGTAATATCCGATATGTAAGTAAGAAATGAAAGGAAGAAAACCCTTCGATCCGACATATTAAATTTTTTCGGTTTCATACTGCGGTGAGTTGAAATTCTTGCGATAACATTCAAATTGATCTCAGAGTGATTTTTTTCTTCTCTGGTTACGAAGAGCATTCAACCAATATCTTGGGGCTTTTCAACCTAGGAATGTTGCGATACAAAGAATGCTTCTGGATTTGTAAATGTTCATGATGAAGGTTTTCTTTCTGAAAATGTAATCTGAAAGCTTTTCTTTATCGAACTTTTCTCCCCTTCAATTCTCTGACCATATTCGGATTAATGCAGTGAAAGAGGCAATAACATTAACCAACCAAATCATCGCCAAATTTATTTCACGATCCGCTTCTCTCTCGTTTATTTTCATGGAAAAACATTAATTTCAATCATAGCAAGCGATAACAAGGAAGAAAACGAATTTCGTCTTAGCTAAGACGCTTCACACAAAAGTATTAAGCGCGTCGAGACGATGAGAGGAAAAAGCAAAAAAAAAACGAAAGGAAAATGAAAACGACGAGAAATGAATTCCATTTCAAATCCAATTTGTATCACAAATAGCTGAGAAATGCTTTTTAAAGGAGAAGCAAAAACATTCTCCGGAAAAAAAGCGGTGAATTTCTGATGAGGCGAATGACTGTATACCAATGGGCTCATTAAAAATAACAGCTTCAAATAAGCAATCCGCCCATTCACACCCAAAATCATGTGACAATTTCGCAGCATAAAATTTCCTTTAAAGACGACATTGGAACGAAAATCTCGCGCAAAGAAAAATCTCAAAACAAAATGTTTTCACACTTGAAATGAAAGGAGAAGAAGGGTGGGAGTTATGTTTGGGATAAATCACAGAGGAGTTGTATAATTCCTTTGAAAAGTATTTACTTTAAAGGGCTTCTTGAGTGAGTAACTTTGCGTTTGAATAAATTCAAATTGAAGTCACAATTCTTTTCTTATTTTTCTCCCTTTTTTTTCCTTGAATCTTGCATGATGGAATATTTATAAATATAAGTAAGTATCTAGAGATGTATGTTAATGCTCCGTATCATGTACATAAGTGAATAGGAATAAATCATATAAACATCTATGTATGTATGTGCAAGAATTATGTATGTGAGTTGATAGGAAATCTTTAAGTTCAGTGGCAGGATGGAAAGTGCTAATGACTTCCTTTTGGGAATAACTCGTGTGGAACATTCGGAAAATTATTATCCCAAAAAAAGGCTTGAATGATAATGATGCATGAAACTAGCCCGAGCTGAAAATTTCCAATTTATTTGTTCTACTCGTGAACTTATGTATTTCACGTCATTGTTGCCTTACATATGTGTATGAACTTATGTACAAAAATATACAAAAAGCTTTGAGCTTAGGGACTCGAAAAATTCAAAATGAAAAAGAAAAATGTCGCAAAATCATTTCTTCGCCTTTTAAAATATACTTTTGAGAGATTCTTGCAAATGTGGATTTGACATTAAAAATTTAAAATATTTCCACTGAAATTGAGAATCAGAACGAAGACGAAGAAATTTTTTCTCAAACACGAACGTGTATTCAAGTTGAGTGAATATCTTTGCCTTTGCCTTTGCTTTTGCCTTCTCATTCTACGTGTTTGTTTTATTTTCATTCAATGGGGTTTCAGATGGCATATAAAGAAAGTTTGATAAAAATTTTACAGCATGATGTGACGAAAATGACGACAAATAAAATTTTTACAGAAGAAAAATTTCGAAATCAGAAAAAAAGGAGAAGAAAAGTATTTTCAAGGAGCTTTTGTGAATGGAATGTTTTAGCTTAGTTCAAGCATCATACGTAATGATATAAGATGATAATGGAAGCTCAACGGTAATGGTTCCATATTGTTTCGCATATTGTCTTGTTCTTCAACACAAAAATGGCAATTTCATTCGTTCCGTTGAGAGCGATTCACTGAACGGATTTATTATGCCGTCATAATTAACTCAATTTATGAATTTATGTTACAACAAAAAGCTATGCTATTAACTTTTGATTTAATCGCAACACTTGGCGTCACACTTTTCATACCAAAGTCATATTGTTTCCTCAACTTGACTTGGAAGATGAAAAATTGTTTACAAATTGAACAGATGAAGTCATCAATTGAAAAAATGGTGAAAGATTTAAGGAAGTTGAAAGCAGCATGGAAAAGTGGAGGTAAATAAGACTTTGATTTATTGAAAATGTGTAAAAAGCTTTGGCTTAAATTTTCAATTCATTAATCATCAACAGTAAAAAAATCATTCATGCACCTTTCTTTCCAACGCTTACCTTCTGGTTTTATTATAAATTTTTCACAGTTTTTAGGTTTCAACAGCATTCAAGAAACATTTCTAGGTAAATGGGAATTCTTGATGTTTTTTATAAAGTTAAAAACTGTGAAAAATTTTGTACGAGTTACTAAGCGACGCTCTTCACCTCAACCATGTGAAAGATGTTGAAGGAAGTTTATCAAGCTTATCAACATGAATCCATATTCATCCATCTTGTTTAGTCATGAAACAGACAATAAATATCGAGGGTAGAAAAACATCACACAAATCGACGGTGAATAAACATTTTGTTCATCGAGCATTAGATTTGTGTGGGCGAAAAGGATTTGATATTATCTCTAGCATTAACATAAAAATAACTACTCAACAGGATGGTCTTTCTATTGACCCTAATTTCGACTACAACATTAATTCTCTTGTTTTTCTTCATATTCCATACGATTATGATCACTTAAAAGATGTTGGCTTGAAGTCTTCAGCGTATTCATAAATCAAAGCACGCATATGTTGGATAGACAAACTACAAATGCCATCAAGACTATGTGATGAGTAAAAGTGAGATGAATAATATGAATTTTCAATTCAAAGACAAACCTCAATCAAGTCAGAATACTTTTGGTGTACTTTTGGTATTGTTTCGAGTAGCAGCTGAATAAACTTTTTATAGGTTCATAAATGTTATTCAACGAGCGACTCATGAGAATGATTTTCTTCGCTTTCTTCAGCATGAAAGCTTTTCGAAGCTATGAAATGAAGAATTGTTGGAATTGCTTAAAAGCATCGGAATAGTTTACCGGAAACTTAAAGGTTTAAGCTGCTTTTAGACATGAATAAAGAGAAAAAGAGTAAAAGCTTGATTTATTATTAACATTATGATAATCTCAAGAATCAACGTTAAACTTTCGTAGTTCATCAATCATTGCCCAAATCCCTTCGCCAACATCTTGCGAACCACCAAACAATGGAGATGAATGTCCTTTGATTTGCCTCCTTTAGTAATAGCCAAGACAATTTATTTCTTTTATTTGCATTAAAATGTAAAATATTTCCTTATCTTGTTGACTTTTTCCATTTTCTTCTCCTCAAAAACTTTCTCTACTTACGTAATTTGCGGATAAATGCAGAAGTTTTTGTTCGATCGTAAAATGGAATTTGCTTTGCTTGTCGTTCTCAATAAAGTCATGAAAATAAAAGTCAATATTTGATTTGGTGTTCGCATCTATCGTTAATTCTTTAAAAGTTCTTTTTTTTCCATTTGTAATAAAAGCAAATAATTTTTATCGTCAGCATTAATAGAATTTTTTTTAATTATATTTAACGACATAAGTCGTTCGCTTCCATAACGATGAATTTTAAATATTCGCTGGTTGCCGTCGCACAATTTGGCGTCAAAAGTTCTAACAAATTTCGATTATTCACTGCAGTTTCAAATGGAAGTTGAATTTTTTTATGTCACTGGATATTTGTTACACTTACACAGACTGTTACGAACAGAAGTAAATAATTCCGACATGCATTGGATGCACAATAAAATGAGTTCAAATATAATATTTAAGCTGGAAAAGTTTTTCAATTCAAGCAGTTTCATCTGGCTCGATGTTTTTTAAAGCGAGTAATAAAAATACAATCAAAAGCAGAAGAACCGCACAAAATTAAGAGAAAGAACATTGTAAATTACTTTTGACATTTCTACTTTTTCTTGTTATGATAATAATAAGCACAGTGAGTAATGAATACGATGACAACTTTAAGTTCTTTGTCTACAGCGTAACGTAAGACTACAAAAACATCAAAATATTTTCGTTATTATTCGATGTTTTCTTCCACTGCCTTCCGCAATTCAACAAGTTGGTTGCCTTTCTAAATGGGACTTTGGAACAATTTCGTAGAAATATGAAGAAAAAGAAGCTGACATATTCTTGGGATGGATCAGAGTAAGATTTAGGATTGGCAGTGATGGACAAGCTTCTGGCATATCGACGTGAATTCCTTATATTCACTTTAAATGGCTTATGAGAGTTTTAGGAATATTTTTTGAAATAATTTAAATATTGAACATTTTAAAACGTTTTGTGTACATCGTAATTTATGGTTTTCCAAGCTAAGTATTGAGAAAATTTCTGACCGAAGAAAATATTAGAACGATTGGAAAATATTTATGTAAATTATTTCGATTATCTTGCATGTTGGGATTAAAAATTCATAGTAAAACCTTCTCTTCGAGACAGCTATGGTTGTGAATAGCAGAATGAACTTGTAAAAGTGATTAAAAATGAAAGTTAAGCAACTTTTATTAAATAATCAACTCAAAAGTTTTATTTAATTTTAAAAACAACTAAAATTTATTTAACTATTGTTGAATGTTTATAATAAACTTAAAATTGTAGCATAATTATAATTAATGTATGCAGCTTCGCAACTTCATAAAGTTTGTTAAGACGAAAATCTTTAAATAAACGATTTATACCACTTCGCTTTCTCATATTCATTCTCGTTGCCACGTTCAGGATTTGCATCGTCAAACAAACTGTAGAAACATCTTTCAATTCGAAGTATGGGAGCTTGAACAGCTAAATAAGCAACTGTAGCAACAATAAATGCACCTACAAAATCAGACGTCACATTGCTGAGAACTTCTGAATTTCCGAAATAAGTTGGCGCTTTAAGTGACGCAACTGCTCCAATTATCAATCCCAGATGTGTGATGTAGAAGACAAGACCCATTCGGAACAATGGCTTCCATATCGGTCTCGAAAGTATCCAATTGACGAAATAACCTGATCCATTATGACAAGCAAAGATAATCCAAGCAATACAAACTGCAAAAACATTTCTGTGGAAAGCCAGATAGGTTTGATTGCCGAACGATGTTGAAAAATTGTCGACAAATTGTTGAAATGGATGATGAATGAAAACAACCAGAAAAGCTATTGAAATTGCAAGTAGCCATAAAAGAACTTCCACTGTCTGTAAAGATAAACAAAAATAATGAAAGTTAATTTAAATTCAATAAAAGATACTCACTCGATACATTTTAATCTTTCGTTTCTCCATTTTTCCCAGAAAATATCCCAAACTGATTCCAATCAAAAACGGTCCCATTCTTGCATGTGTTGGGAAGTAAACGAGACGGAGAAAATCTGCCAACTTGTCTAATGGATTTAGCACGATGAAAGCTCGAAAATCAAACCAAAAAGCAACGATGTTAGTGTAAAAGATTGTTAATAACACAAGAGCTGGCGCAACCCAGACAACCCATTTACGCCAGAAGTATAAAGGAAACAGCAGTAATGGCGATGCCCAAATTAATTGCATTTCAATTGAAAGATAATAAGTGTGGATAAGACACTAAGAAGAGAGTTAATTAACTGCATGTCTTTAAATATAAAAAGATTTTCTCACCATTTGCGTGGGATTGACATAATTTTGAACAAAGAGTAAAGCACTCCACCAATATTCTTCACATTGTGGCACTTGACTTTGCATGATTGATGTGTGGTAAGGACCTTCGCCAAGACGTTGAACTAATGTCAGAAAGAGAAATATCGATACAGCCAATATTGGAGCGACTCTCAAATACCAATGAAGGTACAGTCCAAGAACACTGAAACGACCTGTCCGTTGCATTTGGTTGTAGAACGTATAAGCAAGAACAGTTGCAGTTACAAGTAGCAATGTGTCAATTCCAAGTTGCGAGGTGAAAACGATTGTTGAGAAAGCACTATCTGCAAACTGATAACATTTTCTAAGCAGACATTAATCTATTTATGTATTGGATTTACTTACAACTGTGACGAAATCGACAGCATTAATAGGAAAGACTAACATTGTCAAGTAATATCGATAGCCCATCAACAACCAAATAAGGCTCAAACATCTTATCCCATAAAGACATCTGATGTGTTCTTTATTCGTTCTCATCGAGAACAATGCTCGGCCATTTGTGTACGCAGAATAAGATTGAAGCAGTCGGTTCCGATCAATGTTCAATACTCGACAAATTAGATCATAAGCTGTGCTCAACACCACAAGACCGGCAAGTACACTCACAAGAACGCTGCATTAATTGATAAGATAAATGTTAGGAAATAGATTTAAAAATATTCTTACATAGCGCCAATTTCTAGCCAACTTAATGGAGTTGATTCAGTTGAGTGACACATTAGCGCTTGTTCCTCAACTGTTCGGTTAATTAGTGGTAAACCTATAAGATCTCCAAAGATGAACTCCGCTAGAGTTTTGAAAGTTCCAATTGGACATACTTTCGGCACACACATTGAGAAATCAAGACCAAGTCCAAGCGAGTTTATGAGGTCTTCACTAAACATGAATTAAGATTGCAAGAGATAAGATAAGAATTATTAGTTAATTCAATTCATGGGAAAATACAATGTAGATGATTCAGTTTCAGGAATACTCACACTTCAGGAGGGTATTCAATGCTATCAGGAATTGGAAAAGCAATTCTCACAACACAATGCATTCCTAAAATTCACAAGATGTCTTAAGTTTGTTTCAGAAGATTTCTTACACTACACAACTCACCTTCGTAGAATGTTAAATCCAATTCTACAGGTAAATCCTGGTCGAAGTCTAATAAACTGTGATTAACACGAAGACATTGATCGTAATGTCCCATGTTCAAGAGATTTCCCATAAGAATTCCACTTTGTATCTTTGACCATGAGTCAACAATTTCAACTGCCCACAATTCTGTGTTATTTAATACCGTGAAAAATGCGATTGCTATTGAAGCCAAACATCGAAAATTCAAAATTCCTTCGTCCACTTCATATGGATTAGATGAAGCAAGTGCCGCCTCATAAGCTGTTCTATTAGCTAATTCATTTGTCGCCTCGATTACTTTCTCGTAGAAATCGTTTGGACTAATGTCATAGAGTGACTTAAAAAATCTTTCATTTCCTGATACCGTCACCGCTGATAAAACAAAAGCAAAGATCAACAATCGAAAAAAATTCTTCATTTTTTTCAATCTTTACACTTTCACGACTCGACTGATTGTGAATGAAATAAAATCGGAAGAGTTGTTTAAAATATAAAATTATCATATCAATTTTTGGATCTTTAATTTAATTTGATAAAAATTGATAAAGTTTTATAATAATTTGATAAATAGATTAACGATAGCAGGTGCGCAAAGCAGTAGGTCTTGGGGTGGGTTGTTGATTAAAAATTTATCAATTTACAACATTTTTCGTTGATTAAGTCATTTACCTTTAAGATCTTCTTTCAATCCTCCTTTAAATATTTCATAAGCAGTCTCTCAAAATGTGTCAAAAACACTTGTCTTAACATGATAAGCAAGAACAGCGAATTTCAATTTCAATCAAATTTTGTTGACAGGTGAGAAAAGCGAAGAAGTCTGTCACTTTTTTTTTCAACTCTTTCGTAAAATCACATGAAGAACATTTTTCTATCGAATGAGTTAAGTTCAAACAGTAGCAGCAGCAGCTGAATCAATACTGAGTTTAAGTAAGGTATCAATGTCAATTTTTCTTATTAGAAAAGTTTTCTCATCGAATTTCGAAGGTTGAAATAAAACTTTTTCACGTTCTCTGCAAATATTTACATCGGTAGTGATTGTTATCTCACTACATGAGATTGCTTGTTATGGTTTTCAAGAATGCTACAATTTGTTATTAGAAATGGAGAACTTAAATAGTTTATTGGAAAACTATCGAGGAGCTTAATTCATTCGATAACTTTGCTAGCAATTCTTCATCATTTGTCAATAAAATCCTTCAATCGACATCTGGACGTCAAACTAAGAATGGAAAAAGATTTTCCCAGCAATTTATTTTCTTCGTTTTCTGTGGAGCAATTTGAGATATTTAAGACGCTTAAGTTCCTTCTTATTTTTTCAATTGCAGCATCATGTAACGTTTAATTTAATGGAGAAAGTAAACAAAGTTAATGAGATTTCTTTCAAACTTTAGTAAAAAACTTTTTATATGGAAGATAACATAATTATGATAAGTATGATTCAAAAAAAAAGTTCATAAAAAAAGCTATAAAATTTCTAAAATTCATTATTATTGCTTCGTTTGATAACAATTCTCACACTTCAGTTGTTTAATTTTCAAATTGTTTCTATTGTTTGTTTTATGCCTAGTAGAGAAGGAAAAAACTGTCAGAAGCTCTTTTTTTTGTTTGTCATGGCAGAAATAAAAAACATAAAAGTTTTATCACGAAAGAATTATCAGTGATATTCATAGCAGCTTTTGAATTGAGCTCGACAGCATAAAGTGAATAATATGGCAATAAAATGATATTTACGGTTTTCAATGAGTCATAAGCTCTTGATATATGAATGCTTTCAGATGAATTCGATACATTTATTGCAGTAATAATATTTACTCGTTTCCACTGAAATGCTTTACAGCATTTTAGCTTTTGTAGTAGGCGGTAGAAGATGAATAAGAATTAAATAAGTTTAATCTATCTAAGAAATTTATTTTCTTCCCGAATATTATCAGATCGCATTAAATTTAGATTACGAGTTTCAAGTCTATTCATGAAATTCAACAAATTACAAAAGCTTGTTGTAAGTATTCACATGCTGGAATTATCCAAAGAAAAAGAACAACAACAAAAGCTCTCGGGAATCTTAATAAATGAAAGATTTTTCTTAAATTTCCTTTTCGCATGATGAACGCGTCATAACTTAGAGCAATGACGAAGATTGTCGAATTTCCAACCAATTTTCATCATGTTTTCCAAGGACACCATAGTTTACTTAATTATTTGGCTTCCGGCATTCAAAGTCTTAATTAACTCAAAAAATTATTTATGAATCCACTTCAATGAAGCTTTTCTTCCCTTATCTACTTTCCAGAAATTTCTTAGAATAAACTTTTCGTCCTTTCATGTCGTTTTCGTTTGGGATTCACCAAGGATATCATCATTGATGTTAAGTGCTTTTTAAATGACTTCAAGTTGACTTTAATACAATTTTTTAAAATGTTTTCAGTTCACAGATGTTTATTGCATGTGAGGGATCAAGAGAAAGACGTTTGTGTCACTCAACGACTCCGATTAATCTTCAAAGACTTTCAAAAAGGGGAAAAAGATAAGAGTGAAGGAAAATAAGTCGAAGATTCGTTTTTCTCGCTGATTCTTCTCGACGTCGACGTCTCGTGCGCTGTCATGCAGTTTTTCCTCCTTTTAAGTTCATCGCAATTGTTGTTGTAATTAATCTTCTTCGTCGTTGTCGTCTTAAACTTAAACTGAAAACCATAAATTTTATTTGAGTCAAAAAAAATGAAAAATAAAATAAAATAGAAAAAGAAAAGTCGCTTGCTCGGATTTGTTTTTTTTTCTTTCATTTTTTCATCTGCTACTCATGCTTTCTTCTTGTTCTCATTCTCTTCGTCATTTCATTTCAGGTTGAATAGAAATGATTTATTTTTATTTGATCATCAATCTGAGTTTGTTATTTGAGTTTAGAAAATTTTCTTTTTCATTGTTATACGCGATAAAGAAAGTAAAATCGCGAAGTTCAGATCCAATATCATTTACTTCATGGCTCAATAGAAGTGATTGTTAGTTTTTGCCTCGACGATTTTCCTCGCTACGACAGTAACGTCATGGCTGGCTTCTTACAGTTGTATTTCATCTAAATGAGTGCCACGAGAAAAATTTCCTTCTTTATCTTTCATTGCATGAGTAAAGGGTGTGAAGAAAAAGAATGAGACAATTTTCTTTATTCGAGAGTTTATGTAACATGTCAACATGGATAGAATAGAAACCATTAATATGATTCTTTCTTTTCTCGCTTTTCTTCTTCTTTTCCTCCTGAGCATTGCTATCAAATTTAATATATCAACGCATCTCCACGCTAGAAGCAAGTGAAAGGAAAATAATAAAAAAGAAGTCGGAAAAGCGAAATGTTAAACGACGACAGTATTTAATAAAATTAAATTTCCTTTCGAAAGCTCACAAAAGTCTTCACTCTCATTGTTTTCTTATCAAATAAAATTCAATTTTGTAGAGCAAGGAACTTGTCATGAACTCTTTCCTTGATTTATGTCTAATATGTGTTGTTTCTTTTGCCTCATGTTGGTTTTTCTATTAAGAAAGGATTTTTATGGTGTTCGTGGGATAACATCAGATCGAAACATGAAAATCTTCAACAATTACATTTTTGTCTCCTACTTGAATCATAGCCAATGAAAGCAGGTCAAGAACTTCTTGAACTTTTCAATTTTATCGACGTCATAAAAAGGTTTCAATCTTAGCTCCAAAACTAAAGCTTTAAATTAATTGTTTTTTTATTTCCTTTCGGTCAGAACATGATTCTTTTACAAAACATCCGTATAATGATTGCAATCCAATAAAAAGTTTCTAGCAGAGTGAATACATTTACAAAATGAAATTTCAAAGCATAACGAAATGTATTTTGTCATTAAACAAAGAAACTTTCGAAATAATTTCTCAATGAAACATTTTTTATTCTACTCGCTGCTATCAGACAGAACATGACATTCTAGATGACTTCATCTTCTGTCAAATGAAAGCTTCTTTATATTGTAAAGTTTCTCATTTCTACAATTACAACATGATTAAATTTTTTGAAGTTCCAGACAAGTATTTCAAGCTTTAAGCTTCATGGGAAAGTTTATGTTTTTACGAGTGGTCCTAAAGTGGCAATGGGAATGTAAAGTGAATTTATCTCTTCGTGTTCAAGTGTTTCCTTAAGTTCCACCATTTATTTCCTTGCTTCTAGTACACGACGAGAACATGGTCAATAGCGAACGACAAACTTTTTTCCTTCACTTTAAATTAATTTACTATTACTCGACTATCATAAGATTAACGGTGGAGAGATTGCGATAATTTTATTTTTAATTCATTGAATTAATTGAGAACCGAAGTGAACAGGTGTTGAAAGCAGTTCGTGGATAAACAGTCGATGGAAATTCAGAATTGAATTAAAAAGCCACTCAAAGATTTAATTGAATCGACGTTGTCGACGTCAATTTGAGTGAATTGAAAACTTTAAAATCAAATTTGTGTCATGATGCATTTTAAACGAGAAGGAAGAGTTTCAGCAAGTAAGAACTTTTTAATTAATGAGTTGAATGGAAAGACCCAGAAACGCAAATTTGTGACATGAAAAAAGTCGGAAATAGAAAAATATTTGAGAATTGACAGAAAGTAAATAAAATCGTTGAGAGATTTCTTTGTATTAAAATGTAACAAATTCACGTAGAGAACTCATATTTGAAAGCAAACATCACGATTTCTGCTTGAAACGTTTTTAATATCAAGTCGAGAACAAAGTAGAAACTAAATTGGCTTTTGGAATTTCAAATTATTATGAAAACTTATCGTTAGCAATTTCGTCAGATAGTTTTCATCACAAACATTTTTCATACTCAACTTTGAATGAATAAACTATCAGATTGTAATTTTTTCGTCGTCTAAAAATATGAAATCGCTTCATGATCCATTTTAAATAGCGTTGAGTACCACAGGAAACTTTTCAATACTTTTTTCATATTTTTTTACAAAGATTGTCCTCAATTCTTGCTCGTGATTCTCTCAATGATCACGAAAAATATTATTCATGGTGTCATTGTCTAGAATTTTCATTAAATTATATCTCGAGTTTGGCAGATCTAAACGATTTTCAACGTCACATAAAATCCATTTATTCTCCTCGTTTTCCATCCTCCTGGTGATCATAAATGAGAAAATTTTATCGAACGAACGGGAGAGTGTCATTAGCAATGACTAAGAATTTTCTCATTCCACACTTTTGAGTGTAAAGCCTGACACAAAAAATAAAAAAAGAAAAGGAAAAAAAACACTCCGACATTGTACAAATTTTGAAATGCAAAATTTTCCATAATATTAAGAGCTATCGAATTTCGATTATCAATTCAGGTTATGGATGAGTCAGAGAACGACGAGAGATGAAGAAGGGAAGAAACGATATGCTTCACACGATTATGAAGCATTATTTTACATTATCAGTCGCTTTCTACAGTCGACAGACTGGAAACTCATAAACCAAACTAGGTTTAGGCTAACACTAGGAATTCCTGAAAATCACGAACGCGTATCTGCTTCACTTCCTGTTCCCGGTTCCCTTCAATTTTTCTATCACATTATCCCAACGAATTAACAATGCCAAATGTCATGTGTAATTAAGGCAGAGATGAACAACAAAAACAATCAATTAAGCTAAATATCAATTTAACACAAATGGATGGGCTTAAAAATTCTGTCTGTGAAACGGACATGTTAAGCATGCGAAAACTAATTTTACTAGAAATTATTTCCTCTTGGAATGCCGTAAACTTATTTATCTACATATCTCCGGACTTTTACTGCCCATCCTTTCTCTTCATTTCTTTTCTATCCCTTTCTCATGTTCTGTGTCTCTACAGCCTTCTCTACATCATTCTAATCGAGACGTACCAGAAAATTAATTAAAAAAGGTTTGCCTTCAAAATGTGAAAATATTCTATAATTATTAAGTCGGTTTATTACGTATGGAAAATGAAAATGAGAAGGAATTGTTTTCTATATCAGAACAGATAAGATTTAATTACACCCAAAAGCCTTTCTTGAAATTTCCTACCTACGTAAGTTGAGCTTGTAAGCTTTTAGGACGAATAAAGGGAAGCTTTGACGTTACTTAAAAAAAGAGAAAGAAAGGCAATATGAAGAAAAAATAAAAGATTTAATTCTTTTGAAATGAAAAATAAGCAAGAAAAAATTTCTTTGATTTTGTCACGATCATCTACGAAAAATATGAAACGTGTTTCCAACAGATTACAAACTTTGAAGGAGCTTCAAGAAAATCTTTCTTTTTTTCTTTTCTTTTTTTAACATTTTCACATGAAATGAAAAGTTCAAAACGTTTTCTTCTTTATTAACTTCGTTAGCTTTGAAAGACCCTTCAGCGGCTATTAGACTTAAAAAAGCCAAAACTTTGTTGACAATTCCGAAAATAAATAATTTCATTTGCTCGTACAAATCATTGAGTGAGTCATTGATAAAATCACAGACCGAACATCACATCTGCTTCCTCCCTAAAACTTCAATTTCGCTAACTGTAACGATTCATTCATTACGACAATAGATGTAGGCGTGAGCACTTAAATTCATATCATATGTGATGATGAGTTAGTTGAACTTCGTAGAAATCTTATAAATTCGCAACGAGATGCAAGAGAAACTTCAGTCGAAATCTAAATTTGCAGTTGAGAAGTTTTCAAAGATTTAGAGAAAATAAAACTCAACTACGATGATTGTTATATTGTTTCTCGAAATGTTATTAGTTTTGAGTGTCGTCGGTATACCGCCCGTCATTATCAAGCAACCTGTTGAGTCTGAAATTCTTTTTAAAGTATCTTCAAATAATTCCAAACAGCAAACAGCTTTTGAAATTTCTTGTGAAGCTGAAGGTTCCCCTCAACTTGAGTATGTTAGAAATTGATTCAAATGCCAATATATATTTAAGTATATGAAGTTGTGTTCAGATAACTATCTGGTGATTACTTTTAAATAGATATCGTTGGATAAAAGACGGCAAATCTTTCAATGTTTCTGAACAAGACGATAGAATCGTGCAAGAAGCTGAGAGTGGAACATTGAAATTCCTAAAACCAAATAAAAGTGACATCGGAATCTATTCGTGCATTGTTGAAAACAAAGACGGAGTTGCACGAACAAGCAATTTCAGTTTACGGAGAGTATTTCTCGAGAATTTCAAAAATGTTACTGTTCACGTTATTGAAGTCATCGAAGGCGAGTCATTCAAGCTCGAGTGCAATACACCGAATGCTTATCCAAATCCGAACATATTCTGGATGATTCAAACTACTTATGGTGCAATTAAAGGGATTGAAAATTCACAAATTACTTCAGATACTTCAGGAAATTTGTGGTTTAGTCCAGTAAGTAGAGAACATGCTTCAAAAGATTCATTTTACGTTTGTTCTGCAGCATCTGCTATTGCCAATGAATATAAACTAGGCGATCGTTATGTCCTTAAAGTTCTTCCAAAATTAACAAGAAAGTTCATGCCAGCAAAACTTCAATATGCATCTCAGCCTTCAATATCGGTTCTTCGAGGAAAAACCGCGGAAATCTTTTGTATTTTTTATGGAACGCCAACGCCAAAAGTTCTGTGGAGCAAAAACGTGGGTGAAATTGAATTTAATGAGCGTATCTTCTTGGAAAATTATGGAAAATCTTTGAAAATTAGAAAGATTGATGCAAACGATGAAGGAATATATTTTTGTAATGTTACAAGCGAGAATGGAGAAATTTTGTCATCAAAATTTCATTTAAAAGTTGAGTTTCCACCAACTTTTGCTTTTCTGCCTGAATCGAAAAACGTGACCATAAGTGATTCGATTGAGTTTAAATGCCAAGCAAATGCAAAGCCAGCAGCGACGATTCAATGGTTTTTTAATGGAGAACCAATTCAACATAAGGAAAAGTCTCATCGGGAGTACAACAACGAGCGTTTAATTATAAATAATGTGAAAGCAAGTGATCAAGGAAATTATGCGTGCTACGCTACAAATGAACACGGTTATTCATTTAAAGATATCTACGTTAATGTGTGGGCGAAATAGCATGAGTTCAAAGTTTTACTTATGACAATTGCATACTTCCAAGCATGACTTTTTAGACGATGATTTATTTACTTTTATGGATGAGACGCGAGCTCATAAACTATAATAACTCATGTTGATTCCACCCACGCACAAAACATATGAAATGATAAGAAAAGCTGTTACGATATGAGCACAAACTGATGTCACATATGAAGGCAGAAAGCTTTATTTATTTCACAGGGGTGAAAATCTTTTATTAAAGTTGCGGGAAATTTAAATGTAAAACTGAAAATTTTATTTCCGATAATCAATGAAAAGTTTAATAAAATTTATCAGAAATTGTTTCATATGCTTCAATAATAAATTTTCTTCGTTAACAAACTGAAATTTTTATTGATTTTTTGATAAATTTCAATTTTGCGCATGTTTGTTCTTTGTTTTCATCCCCTTGACTCAGAAGTGATGACGACAAAAGGAAAACTTTTTTTTCCAAAAGTTTTTCAACCCTCGCAGTGAAAATAAAGAAAATTTTTCTGGAAGAAAAAATAAAATTTATATAAGAAAAGAAAAGAAAAATGTTAATGTAATTAAGTTATTGTCAATTTTAGGAATTGTTTATATTGAAAAATCATTTAAGATAATATGGAAAACATTGTGGAAAATGGAAAAGTTGATACAGAAGAACAACAATATGAGACTAATGATAAAAATTTCTTGATGACGTACGACGATGTGGACAATAAAGTGTTTGACTTTGACGCACACTTCAATGGAAATGGTTTGAGTTCTGGTGACGAACTTGATACCGATTGTGATGTTGGTGGCTTTGATAACAGGTGATTATTGAAAGAAATTTATTACAAAATCAATAATAATAAAAAGAACTCTTACAGCGAGAATGAGCGAATTCGAGCTTTGGAAGATGAGCAGGAATCTCTTCTATCATCATTAATGGCTTTGACGACACATTTTGCTCAAGTTCAATTTCGATTGCATCAAATAAGTGAAGCACCTGAGAAAGAACGTGACATTCTTCTCAAGAAGCTTGAAGACTTTGCTGACCGAGGGATTCCAAATTGGAACGAACATTCCAATGAAATTAAAGACAAGAATATTCTGACGAAAATTGACCGACAAAAAAATCATCAACATGAGTTGATTGAGCAATTGAAGACACAATTGGATGATCTTGAGAAATATGCTTATGAGACTGGAGAGCCTGTCCTACCACAAGCAATTATGGTCGAGAAACAAAAAATCATAATCGACGAGTTGAAGCAGAAAATTAATTTGAATTTCAGTGAACTTGACTTGCCGCAATTATCACCAGATGAGCTTAGAAATCATGTCGATGTTGCTTTTGGTGAATTTGTAAGTCCTTTGAAGATGAAGGAACAGCTTGTAACACAATTAAAGACTCAAGTGAATGATCTCGAAAGATTCATCAAGTTTCTCCAAGTTGAGAAAAGTGAAAAGAAGAAAATGTTGAGGATGAAATTGTTGAAGAAACAAAATTGTTCTGACATTGATCTTCACAATCAATCATGTAATTGTAATTTCCACGAACCTTCAACCACCGCCGTCGCAACAAATCGTCGACAAAATTTGAGTTCTTCCTCGACTGAAACATTCCCGAAATCAACAAAAAATATTCCTCAACAAATCACGTTCACTGGAAAGTTACAACAAATGATGAACAAAGCTTCAACAATTTTCCAGATCTTTGCACTCTCACAATTGGGATGCGCTGGTGAGAATTCGAAACATTTCAAACGAAATACTTTAAAGAAAACAACAGTCGGTAATCATTGGGGTGACACGAGGGCGAAACTTGAAGTTGACATTCAAGAAATTCTCGGATTAGTGATGCAAATCAACAAGATAGCAGCTAATGAAGAGCACTTGAAGAAGATTCGTGACAAAGAAGATGAGACTGAAGATGACGATGTTTTCGTCGAAGCGAAATCGAAAGCGCCAGTTGTAGTCAAAAAACAAAATCGTTATCGTTCGTCTTCATCATCTTCGTCCGTCACTTCAATCGTTCCACTTACAAATAATAGTTTGATATCTTCTTCCAAATCAGATGAATTGAAGTCTTTAAATATTGAGCTGATAACATTAGTAAGAAAAAAGTTTGCAGTGACATTACAAAAGCTTATCCAACATGGATTGAGAAGCGTAAATGAAACGAGACATTTGGTTCCGTTTATTGGATGTTTTTCGAATTTTCAACTCAATAGCAGTGACCACCACCAAGGGAAATATCCTGAAGAAGATTACACAGAGATGCATGCTTGGGAGTTGATTTTAGAATATTATAGTCTTAAGAATGGCGACTTCTATACTGAAACACCAGCTCAAAAGTTATCCCAAAGTTTTAATCTCGAAATTGTCGGTGAAGGATTATCAACAAACAAACAGGTTGACTGAATTATTTAAGTTCTCTCTGCTTTTGGTCATAATTAAATTGAATATTTAAATTTTTCAGACACTTTTACTTACCATTAGAAACATCACGAACATCCACTCACCATACAAAAGAAGTTTCAACTCACATTTCAAAGCTTTTGTCTGTGCTGGGCTTAAGTAAAATCAAACGAAAAAGTATCCAAAACTTTTATAATGAATTTTCTTTTATTCCTTCTTACAGTTCTCACAAGTTAGTGCAGTGGCTTAACTTAATTTTCCAATGTCACGATCTCGTTACAACATATTACACAAGTTGGAGTTACGTGGCTCAGACTGGTTTTCGTGACGCTCTCAAATCAATCGATCAACTTTCAAAATATGAATTTTTCGACCTTCCTGTGGATTTGGCGATAAGAAATCTTGCTAACATCAAAGATGTTTTCTCGTAAAGCTTTAACACTCAACATTCCATGAAAAAGACGAAAACAAACCCCGGAAATATCTCACATGATGACATAAAATTATCATAAATCAATGCAATTATTATTTAATAATCACCATAAATACAAATACATGAAATGATGTCTATAAAAATGAAGTATAAAGTTAACCGAAATTAATTAAAATCTTTTTATCCTTCATTAAATATTGCAAGGATTTTCTTAATCTCTTTCAGCACTCCCACGCACATTTATTTTACAAATCTTAAGGCTACAACAAATTTTCACGTTTGCTTAAGTAATCTCTTGCTGTGGGTGTTTGGATGTCGTCTAAGGATTCAAGTATCTAATTTAACATCCCACGCAATTGAACGTATTTGTCTTAAAATTACGATTTTCTGAAAAAAAAAAAGAATATAAAGGAAAAGTAATGAAAAGCAAACATTTTAAATTTTTAATATCTGAAATTCTTTATTCCTTTCAGTGTTCTTATGAAATGCATAATTTAAATTAATTAAGATTTTACAAGTTAAGATTTTTTATTTATTTTTTTTTACATTTTCTTGTTTTACCAAATATGAATTTTCTAAATATCGAAATGTTTTCGTGTTTCATTTTGTGTTTTATCTCAATCCCAGTTTTTATTTTGACGTCAACATTGAAATGTAGAATTTGATGTTTTTATTTAATTCAGATCCTCAACAGTTGACTCAATAGTCATCAGCAGCTCAAAATGTTTTAATTAGTATCAGTAATGATCTATTTGATATCCACCACAAATATCTTTCGATCAAGCGCAACATCAACTTATCAGTAGGATTTTTCATATTTATTTTTATTATTTTAGTTAAACAAATACAAAAATGAAAGAACTTTTGTTTTTACTTATCACAGCTCCCAAAAATAAATTATTTTAAAATCGTAAAGACGAGAAAATTAAAAATGACAAAAATTAAGACGTTCATCTAACGAAAATCCATAAATTGGATTTGTAACCAACCCAAGTTTGTAAACTGATGTCTAAATGTAAGATTCATGTAATCAGAATCAATACAAGCGTAATGTTTGTTTGTTAAATTGTCTAATTCCTTTTTATATTTTATTTTTTTATTCCTTTTTCTTGCTAACTACCAGCAAGATAGCGATGAGTCTCGAAACAATTCTCGCATGTTATCGGTGACATAAATTTTAGTTTAATTTTCTCTAAACCTCCAATTGTTCATCCAACAGTCTCGTTCTTTAAACTAAGAAATTGTTTAAGATTTTGTTTGTTAGTTTTCGTCGTCATTTAAACTGCTCAATTTCCACAAGTTCTCAAACTTTTTTCTTGCGAAACTTTAGGCTGCGTTCAAGGTTTTCATGTGACTGCAGCTTTCGATTCATTTAAATCGAATTCAACTAAATTTCCGACTTGAAACCTTTTCTTATTATGTTAAAGTTCCCTTTTAATATCAAATTAGATAAATAAAATCGTCACAATATTCTCAAAAAATGAATTCTATGTATATCATAAAGTTATGTGAATATTATTTTATGTCGCATTACTCTACGAATGTCAATTAACCCTTAAATGTGGTAGGAGCTAATAAAAACTTTAATAATTAATCAGCTATAGCTTCTCAGATAATAAAAAGTTTTTCCTTTGTACAGTCTAAATAACTAAAACCACCATTACACCATTAAAAGTACACAAAATCTTAATTTAAAAATTACATCTTAACATTATTTTAATCAATTAGATAGAAAGTTTTACACATTTTTGTCCTTATTTTATAATATTAAATGATCCTAGAATACGATCTACTATTAAGATTAACATTTAAAAGTTTCTTTTAATTAGCATAATTGTTGATAAGTTAGAAAACGGATTCAAATTTATCATTTAATAATAATCTAATTAATGCACACTTCATAAATGAAGCACAATATTGGACAAGTAAAAAGCTTCATTTAAAAAGCGACAAAACTTATTGGCTAATTTCCAAAGGTTTTTGAGTTCTTTTACGTCTTCTGCCTGGATTTAATTAACATTATGATTATTCTTAATAATATCTTAATTTGTGATATCAGCTAATTAATTAATTTTCACAAATAATTTACATACTTTTTTATTCCCTTTGATAGCTTCTTTGATTGATGTTGTCATTGAGATTACTAGGGAGTTTCATTATCCATCATTATTAATTTAATGGAAACGTCGTCGATTTTGCTTTTGTCATTCTGAATTTCCGCCGTCTTTACCTTCAGAGTTGTTTGAAAGATTCAACGAACTTTCTTGTTGTTGTGCAGCAGCTTGCTGGGCAGCTTTAGCTTCAGCAGCCATTCGTGCAGCAGCTGCAGCAGCTAAACGACCAGCACTTGAACGCAATTCACGTTTTCTTTCAGGCATTGCTACATCCATATCGTCACCACTTCGTGGACGTTTTGATCTTGTTCGACGTCCACTTCTACCACTGCCACTTCCACTTCGTTCACCTTCATCGCCAGTATTTTCATCTTGCTGTTGATGTTCAGAATGTTCCTGACTACTTTCATCAGACTTTCTTTGACTCAAATCCATGTGCTGATCTTCTGATTGAATTTCACCAGCTTTTGATACTTTCGATTGTGCAATTAAATCTTCAATGTCCATGTTTGAGTCATGATGCTGTTCTTGTTGGTGTGTCTGTTGTTGAGCATGCAATTGATTATCAGACATTTGCTTTCTTTCACTGCTGTCATGATCACGTTCGCGTTCTCTTTCACGGTCACGTTCGCGTTCTCTTTCACGGTCACGTTCACGTTCTCTTGATGAAGAAGAAGACGAAGACGATGACAGATTTGTTGCTGCTTGTTGATGAATGTTTGCAGCTTGCGGTGAATGAAGTTCGCGTGAACTTCGCTCATGAGATGATTCACGTTCTCTTGAAGAACTTGCACGTTCAGAGCCGCTGTTTGTAGCAAGTGAAATTGTTGTTTGCGATGGCAATGACGCTCCAATACTTGCAGCTGAAACTGGTGTTAGAGTCACCTTATCTTGCTGCTGTTCTTGATGTTGTCGTGACGAGTCAGATCTCGAAGATCTCGGAGACTTCATCTCGTCATTGCCAAGTAAAAGTGACTTCATATCATTTGACTTTGATGAAGTTGGAGTCAATGAAATTGCAGCAGCTGACGAAGACGTCTCTTGACGCATTCGCTTTGAATCGTGGATACTTGAAGCAGATGATGTTGGAATTAATGAAATTCCAGGACCAACTCCAAGACTTCTTGCAAGCATTTCAACAGGGTTCTTCAATTGCTCCAAAGCATCTTTCATTTCTTGATCGCGCGATCTTTTACTCGATGAAGATGATGAAGAATTAGCAGAAACTGCGGCTGCTGTCTGTGCCATCATTTCAGCAAACAATGCTTGACTAAAGTCAGCTGGTAGCGGCAATGGAATGTCTTTCGATGACGACGAACCTTTCATTGATGATGATGACGATGAAGATCCACCACCAAGACCTGTTGGCATCTTTGCGAGTGCTTGCATTGTAGCAAAGTCTGTTGGGAAACCATTTCTCGTCAACTGTTCCATCAACTTTCTTCGATCTCTTTCAATCTTCTCCAAAGCTTCTTTATTTGCTTGTTGAGCTGCATTGCTTCGTTTATCTTGAGAACTTGAACTTCCACTTGAACCACGTGAACTGCTCTGAGTGATATCCAAGCCAGTCGCTCTTGAAAGTGATTCAAGTAAATGCGTGTCATGTGGCAATAGCAACGACTGTAATTGAGCATCACGAGCAGCAGCAGCAGCAGCTAAAGAATTCATATTACTTTGAGAATTCCTTGAACTTTTACCACTTGGTGATGGCGTTGATTGATGAGAACTTCCCATGTTGTTGTTGCTGCCACCACGCGACGATGAACTTGTCGATGATGAATTTTTATTCGACGATTGTCTTGACGATGAAGACGTCGAAGTTGTGCCAGTTGATGAGCCACTCATGCCGGCTCCATTCAAAAGATTGCATTGTTGAGCAAGTTGATCATAAGCTGACATTCCACCAGGTAATGAATAAGGATTCAAGCCGCTCAATCCCAAAGGCGTATAAAGTAAACTTGGATTTGGGAAGAAGAATGGAAAAGCTGAACTGTTGGCTAAATTTGCAGCAGCTTGTGCAGCAGCATTTTGAGATGATGATGACGATGATGATGATGATTGTTTCGATGATGATCCTGATGATGATTGTTGTTGATTTGTCGATGGAGAAGATGAAGCTTCGTTAGATTTACGAGATTTACTCAAACTTTGTCCACTTGAATTCTGACCAGTGCTTGATGAAGGACCACCAACACCTTTAGCAAGTGCAGCAGCTGTAGATGGATCTAAACTTGCTGCTGCCATAACAGCAGCTAAGCTCTGAGCATCCATTCCAGCTAAGCCACCAAGTGCCGCTAAATTCCCAAACAAATTCATGTTGTTCATGTTCGCCATGTTGGCCATCGATCCAAGTCCAGGCATTCCAGCAAATGGCATCATTGATGCGAGTGGATTCTTAGGATCGAATGCACCAAGTCCTGGTAAACTTGACAAAATGTTTGCATTCAAACCAGCAAGACTTGAAAAGTTTGCCATGTTGGCAGCAGCTGCAGCAGCAGCAGCAGAAGAACTTGAACTTGATGACGACGATTGCTTCTTGTTTGATGACGATGACGACGATGAAGACGTCAAAGCATTTCCATGACTTGAACTGTATTGATTGCTTGAATTTGAACCACTTGAAGAGCGTCCCATTGACAATGACTTTGAATAATTGTCATTTGACATTGACGACGATTTTTGGTTCATTGAAGACGACGACGACGAAGATGATTGTGGAACCGCCATTGGACTTGGCATTGTCAAACTTTCCGTCCACTTTGGATCAATCTCGTACATTGGATTCTCCTTCAACCACTGAGACAATCGCTTAAGTTGTGGAGCATTTCGGCCTGTCAATCTTTTGCCACTCGACTTATGAATGACGCTGACATTTTCTTCACCCGTCAAACTATTCCAATTGATGTTTGCAATTGCATTAGCATCAGCTTGTGCTTGTGATTGCGATTGCGATTGTGAAGTGCTTGATTGACTTGAACGTTGTCGCATGTTTGATGAAGATGATGAAGACGATGAGGTTGAAGCTTGTTGTTGAGATGACGATCTTCTGGACGATCCTGAATTGGATGCGCCACCCATAGCTGCAGCAGCACTTCTCGACAAATATTCCATGCTCATTGCTTGCTCAGTTAAAGCAGCTGTTTGTTCAGCTAACCATTTATTAACCTTCGCATCGTGAGCTCCACCAGATCCATAACTGCCCAACTTTGAGCTTAATTCAAGTGCTTGCTTCATCTCAGCAAACATCGCTTCGTAAGCTTTTCGTTGCGGTGAATTTGCTGGAATCGATTGAATAATTTTCTGCTGTTGTTTCAAGAACGCTTGCTGTTCAGCTTGTGCTGCTTGCAATATCATCGCATTCATGCTTTCCTTTGATGTCAAGTTACTCATACTTTGAAGTGCCGCCATGCCAGAAGATCCCGAAGCTGACTGTGATTGTGATTGGCCTTTGGATGAACCTAAATTGATGGAAAGCAAAAAGTTTAATTAAAATATAATCAAATTTAAGAGTATTGGCGAATATTTACTTTTACCTGGCACACTTGTGACAGTAATTGTGAAAGGTTTTTGATTTTGATTCGAATGTGATTGCGATTGTGATTGAACATTTGCTGGTGTCACGGAGACACTCGGCGTTATTTGTGGCTTCTTTGATGATGATGACATTGACAAGCCAGGATCGCCAAATATTGATTTCTGTTCTGGTTGTTTAGCAGCTGACAATCCCAACACAATCTCGTCTAACTTCCTTCGCTTCTTTTCCTTACTTAACGGTTGTGGTTCGTCCATCGGCACGTTATTCTTCTTCATAAGTTTTGTCAACATATCGTTGAGCTTTCCTTTACCAACTGATGATTGTGACGCAGATTGTGACAATGAATTGCTTCCACTGCCACCTCTTGATTTACCCATAGAGAAGTCTTGAACTTCACTCATGTCAGCTGTTGGTTTACGTAAAATGTCAGCGATTCGCATTTTTGGTAAACTTGACGATAAATCAATCGGCGTGAGTGTGCTGGAAGTTCCAGGAATAGTCACAGTTGGTTTGTATTGCGACATTGACGATCTTGTTGTTGGTTGATGTGCTGGTGGAGGTTGCAACGATGAACCAGACGATCGTCGGTTAATTTCTTGTTCTTCATCATTCCAGTTTGATTTCTGATTGTTGCCACCCAATGGCGTCGTGTTGTTCAGCAATGCATGCAACTTTGCACGTTCAGTCTCGACGTCAATAGCAATGTGACGTTTTTGACCTTTCTTGCCTTTGGCAGCTGCCATTGCGCTCATGCTTTGATGCAATTGAGATTGCAATGCTGACAAACTTGACTTGCCCAGCTGATGATGATCAGTTGTGATTGTGATGATGTCTGGCGTGCTTGAACTTGAACGTTTGTCATCGTGAACGCCAAGACGTTTGACAGTCTCGTAGAGTGGCAAATCGAGATCAATTCCCAAGCAACCGCTGTAAGCTGAATAGGATTTGCCAACTGGCCAAACGCCTTTCTCAACACAATAAATGATGTGACTAATTCGCTTTTCTAATGCAAAATCTCTGAACCATTTAACAACCATTGAAGCGTCGAAAACTCGTGACAAAGATTTTAAATTATCTTTGACATCGCCTTTCATCATCATCGCGTCTAATTGTTTGAGTTTCATGAGTGGTTGGAAAACTTCCAAATCTGGGAAACGAGCTCGAAGTTCTTCAGCTTGATTGGAAGTTGATGCAGCGCCTTCTTCTGTTGCTTGTGGCTTTTCTGTCAATGTGTCGTCATCTTCGATCACAACTGTGTCGATAACCTTTGGATCGCCTTCAGGACGTTCCAATCCAGGTTCCTTCTTAACTGTCACAATTTCTTCTTCGACTATGCTTTCGACTTTCTCATCGTCAGATGATTTCGACTTCTCAACAGCAGCGACTTCTTTCATCTCTTCCCCTTCATCATCCTTCGATTCCAATTTCTCTTCATCTTCCTTTAATGGCGAATTAATTTTCTTTTCAATTTCATTTGAAGATTCTTCAACGTCTGCTGATTGTTCGTCATTCACTTCCATTTTTTCTTCTTTTTCTGTTTCAATCGCTGGTTCGTTAATTTCTGTTTCATCTTTTTCTTCACATTTCTTGTCATCTGAAGCAACTTCTTCTGATGTTTCTTCTTTTTCTTTTGAGTCTTCTTCGACAGGAGGTTTTTCTTCCGAATCAACTTCCATTGCTTCATCTGTTGTTGATTTAATTTCAGAAGGAGCTTCAGCCGCGTCTTTTTCTTCCGACGTTTCTTCAGTTTCCATTTTTTCACCTTCCGATGCTTCAACAGTTTCATTCTCGACAGATTTTTCTCTTTCACTCACTTTAGTTTCTTCTTCATTAGTGACTGGAGTGTCGTCGACTGTTTCAGCTTCTTTTTCAACTGACTTTTCAGGTGACTTTACTGCAACTTCGTCTTTTGTTTCTTGTTGATCTTCTTCAACTTCTTTTTCTTTTTCTTCTGTTGGTGTTGATGGTTTAACTAAATTAGTTTCACTTGAAGAAGTTTCTTCAACATTTTCAGCAACTTTTTCTTGTTCAACAGAATTATCTTGTTTAACGACAGGGACAGGTTCGGATTTTGTCTCAACTTTAGCAGCTTTCGTTGGCATTTCACCCATTGCAAGTTTAAACAAATCTGCTGGATTATCGAATTTAAATGACTTGAGAACTTCCAAACTTCTCACGTAATTCTTCTCAGCTTCAGAAAAGGGAAACTCGGTGTCGTTGAGAATGTATTGATCGGATCGATACAAACCGTATTTAAGGACAGCTCGGACAAGTTCACGGTCATGTTTTCCTGATTCCCACCAATCTGGCGTGTCCAAATTATTCTCACATAACTTCAACCTTTCTTCGAGTTTTGGATGTTTGGCAATCTCACGAAGTTTCGATAACAATTCGAGACGATCAAGAATAAGTTTCGCGTGATCTTCACCGATGTCATCAATCAATCCTTCAAGTCCCTTCTCTTCTTCAAGAAGCTTCTCACCAGCTTGTCGCTTGCACATCGCAATGAAGACTTTGTAGTAGTCACTCAAATTCTCGTCTGATTTCTTATCAAGTTTTGCAAATGTTTTGAAGCTAAGACAAAGAATTTTATTTTTATTAAATTCACAAACTTCTTTCTTCTCTTTTTAATTAATGACTTACCGTGACCAGTCAGCCATCGGCACTGACGTATGTTGCTGCAAATCAATTCCATAACCAGTTAAAACTCGAAGGAATTCATTTTCATCACGACGTGACCATTTCTTTGGAATTTGTTCGAAACGGACACGTTCTCGTTCTCGTACGACTTGTTCAATCTTTTCACGACGCTCCATTTTCTAATAATATGAGAGAAAAAAGGAAATTCAATAAATTAATGAACCGAAAATTTCGTCGATTTCATTTTGTTGTGTAAGAAAGAAAAGCTGAACTAAGTTAAATCAAAATCTAAACTAAATTTTAACTATTTTTGAGACTTCTAATGTTAGGCAGATTTTCTTTCTAAATTAATTTTTTCTACTCGTCTAAGAACAAAAAAAAATCATAAATTAAAAAAGGTAAAATGAAAGCATCACTCAAATAATTTTGAAACGAGAACTTAAATAATTCTACGAATAAATGAAACAATTAAAAGCAGTCGCTTCAATTAATTATTATCATTCTACATAATTAATTAAATCATCATAAAGCATCGCCAAATTAATTAAGTTTTTCTCTTCTTTTGTGCCAATTTTAAAGCGTAATTAAATTAATATTTTGATTTTGTTTGTTTGTTCAAGCAAATTTTGAATTTTGTTTAAAAGTGAATTTTGAAAAGAGGTTGAAGAAATTTCATTTTTGATGTTTTGCGTACGTATTTTCAAATGGAATACTAACCAAGTACATTGCAAGTTTCTGCAAATCGAGATTTGCCAGTTGACTGGCATCAAGACTGCCCATACCGAGACTCAACAGCAAGCTGATATCAGCGGCTGATGGCATTTGAACTTGAGACTGTTGGGCGTGCTTCGATTGAGATTGTTGCTGTTGTGCCATAGAAGCAGCTAATGCTGATGAATAGGAAGTACTTGCTGTTGGGTTATTAGCACCTCCGCCATTTGCTGGTTGTACAATTGATTGCAACTAGATATGGTTGAAGGTGAACAACATTAAGGGATGAAATTTTGTTTCTTTTTTTCTTTGTTTTGTTCTTTCTTTTTTTTTGTTTTAGATTTCAAAAAAATTAGCAAAAAAGTTTCAAGCGAAAAATGTTTGATGGTGAAAAATAAAATGAAATGTTCAGTGAAATTGATGAATGAATTAAAAGAAAATTCGTTTGTCGACCTTAATTTTAGAATCTAAATATTTAAATATATTTAATCATGCCTTCACACACACTCATACACCATTACTTTCATTCCATCACTTTACATGCTCATCATACTTAACTAAGTACAATTCTAATAATCCAAATTCATGTGAATTTATTTATTTACTCAAAAACAGAATTAAGAAAAATAAATGAAAAAAAGTGAATGGAAGTGAAGAAAACTTCACAAGAAACTTGAAGTCACTCTCGTGAAGTTCTCTTTATGATGGTGCTGTGGATTCTATTTAAAACAAATTTGACCCTTTTTCCTTTTTATGAACTTTGATGTATTTATGTAGATATTGAAGAATGAGAAGAAAGATTCTTACCTTAGCCTTTTGTTGCTGCTTCAATTCTTCCTTCTTGTAATTCCTTTGATAAGAAGTAATGACGCGTCGTAATCGAGTGTTAAGATCTTGCATTGATGGCCAAATAAGATTCGGATCCAATTCTGATGGATGTGTCGTTGATGATTCTTCATCATCAAGACCTTTAAAAGAAAGTTTAGTCGTGATGAGTTTATAAGGACAGTAAAACCTTCAACTTACCCGATGAACTTGGTCGATCTTCATCTTTTGTCGATCGAACTTCTTCATCGTCATCACCATGCTTGGAATTTGTCTCATCATCATGTCTGTAATAAGAAAATGTTCATCATTTAATCTTTTCTGTTTATGTCTTGAAGATTCTTCATTTTTTTACTATAAAATGTTTTTTTATACACAAAATTGTCCAAATTTACGATAACAAATCGTCATAATATGAAACTTTTGATGCAAATGTTGTGTTTAATTTATTATTTAATGACTGAAATAAAAAAATTTACGAGATGAGGATAACGAAGTTTTTGTATAAGACACCATTAGATTGTTTCACTATTATTAGCTAAATATTTAAAATAATTAATTAACTTGTGCATGCTTAATGAAAATGTGTTAGAAATCAAATATTAAACTGAAAGCGAGAACAATTATGTTTCATGCAATAATTAAATGTTCATTGTCGTATGAATAATTTCCGCTGCCTTTCTGTCATCATCAGAAATGTTGATTGATTGATTGATTATTATTACTTACTTTTTCCATTCATTAAACGACTACATGACTAATTAAACATTGAACACAAAGTAAAGTAAAGTAAAGTAAAAAGTAGTAAACAATAAAAGAATATAGAAAAGAAACTTTCAACTTCTACTTGATTGATTTGGTGGAAGTGGATGGAAGTTGGATTGGAAAATAAAACTAACTAACTTTGAAAACTGAAGGAACTTTGAATTGTTCACGGTCGAAAAAATTTTGTTGACATTTGAATCAAAATTTTTAGACTGTGCTTGAAAGCTAACTAAAGGCTAAAGGATCTTGTAATAAAACTAAAGAAAAATAATTTTCCGGTTGAAATTATAATTCTTAATAAAACAAATAGAAGAGAATGAGAAAAAAAGGAAGAAACAGAAAATAATCAACAAAACTTACTCTTTACTAATCGATATATCATCCGTAACATCACCAGGACCACAATGACTTATATAACACAACGATGGGTCGGCTCGCATTTGACGATAACTTTCACATCCATGTTTATATGTTCCGACCAATAAACTCTTGTCACAACATTTCGGATTCCACCAAGAGCACGGCATCTGATCAGTTGTTGGTGGTGGGCGAATTGGGAGATCGCTACGTTATTCACGAAGAGAGTACGAGAAAGAAAATACGAATTGATGGTTGAAATTTGGAATCTTTTTTTTTGTTTTTGATTTTGTTTTTGTCTCGACTACAAACTATTCTAACTAAAAATGAACTGAAAAATCTTTGACAAATCATTTTCGAAAACCACGCGTGATAATCTTTTATGTCTTTTTTTTTCTTTGGCCAATTTGAGGAAAATCTTTATAATAAAATAAAAAGATAAGACGGAGAAACTTTGTAGCATTGAACGCCCGATTCGCCTTTGATCCAATTTATCATCCCAGAAATATTTTTTCTCGTACAAAAACTTATATTTTCATTGCTCTTTGGTGATAGATATCAAAACACACAAATACTTGAATGTCAATCAATGAAGAGAAAAAAAGGAAAAGTAAAACTCATAAAGCTCGAAGATTATGTGCCAATCGCAAAATGGTGATTAATTTTCGTACTTATTAAAAAAGAAAAGAGAACACATTCCAATGATATACAAAAAGAGATTGAAAGTGAAATGCATGACGAAAATAACTAACACGATTGAGAGCGGCACATTCAAAAAAGAATTTAAAACACGAAGAAAATTGTTTGTTCAATAAGTAGATATATAAAAAGGAGAAAAAGATAATCAACATTAAACCATCGTACGATGAGATAAAAACAGTGTTCAATGTGAACATCTCTTCTCTCAAGTAGCCTCGAGAGATCCTCAAGCAGATTTCAATTGTTAACAACCATAAACAATGATTAAAAGTAGAAAGATAAAAAAAATTCGTCTCCAGTATTTCCCGGATGTGAACCATCATCTCAAAGAGTTAAAAATGATTTTTTTTTGTTTTTGTTCCAAATCTTTGGGTTAAATATAATGAATAATTAAAGTATAAAAGTATGGATGAATGATGTAAAAAGAATGTTTTTGTGAATTTGCAGCATCTTCAGCATCAAAGCGAGCTCTAAATTTTTTAAAGATTTTGTTTGTTGCATCGTGTTTTTAAGCGGGAAGAGCGAAAGCTCTCAAGCTTAATTCAAATGTTCTGCCAATCGACTATCATAGGTGAAGACGCTGCAGTTTTAATAAGTAAATAAAGACTTGAACGGGTTTTCCTTATTTGAAGCAAAATAAGCGATAATCTTTTTTATTAATAAGAAATGTAAGAAAAAAATTGTTCGGCTTTGAAAATGATTCGCAAATGATGTCTAATGCATATGAATGATGTTTCTTTGGTTTACTTTAACAAGTCTGAATCCAAAGAATGTGAAAATAATTTTAAAACTTTAAGTTTTTTACGTAAAAAGTTTTTAGTATTACGTTACGTTACGTAAGAACGTACGTAGGGAAATTTATATTTAATTTAGGAATGTAAATAAAACAATAGCAATTGCTATTTCCATTTTATCATCATCATATGCATGAGACAGTTGAAAATGTGTTTGTTAATTTGTCGAAAAAAAAAGTTGAAATTTTATGAGCGGATGAGAAAAAAGTACAAAAACATATCCAATGAAAAAGTGGAAAAAAATTTGCTACCTGATTGGGATTCCGTCTTGAATTTGCTGAACAAAATCACCAATGATTTCGTGTTTGATATAGTAAAGCATGCGAACACGTAATAAAACTCTGAAAGGTAAACAAGGAAGCTTGAAATTAGTAAATAGAGAAAAATTGTCGCTTAAAGCTCACTTGTTGGCATGTCGTGTTAAATGTTTCTTATAATTAATATCCAGGTACGAATCAGCGTCGTATTTATCGTCTTTACTCCAGTGATTGTCATCTAAAACACTAACAGTACTTGAAGCAGACGATGATGCACGAGGTGACGATGGCCCAGCACTACTTGGTTCTTTTGCAGAACTTGTCGATTGCCCTGCTTTACCTTTACGTCCTAAAGTTGTTAAGAATCAATTAAATTAAAGGGGAGAAGAATCTCAATCACGAATTTACCTTTCGCATTACGTCCACGAGGAACTAAATTATGTAAACCACTGTGATTGCGTGCAATCGTGTTTTCTTCGCCTAAACCTCTCGGCTTAATTAAATCCGAGATAAATGTTTTAATTTTCTCATCGCCTTGGTAACGTTGCAAACAGAATAAAAGCTGAAAAAAAAATAAAATCATTAAAATCACGTTTGAAAATTATTTTAAAAGCGAATTTAAGCTTCCATCAGTTAAATGAAATGAGAAGAGATTTCAGTTTACTCATCGAAAACCTAAAGTTCCCTCAGTATTAGCATAGCTTTGGTCATCAAATGGAAGAAGCAAAAAAGCAAACTTCAAATAAGGAAATTAATCAACTTACAATAACTCGAGAGCAGTCTTCAACGTCGCTTTCTTTCCATCCTCTTTTAAACGCTCCTTGCTCCAAGATTTCTGTCCAACGACCCCAACTAGAAGAATTAAAAATTTTAATTAAATTTCTTCATAAAAAAAAACGTTCAAACAACTCACCCAAATGAAAGTAAACCTTTCTCAACTTTGAAGCATTCAGAACGTGCCCATGAACCATAGGAAACATCTTCGAATCCAAGTGCAGCGAGAGTGTCGCGGTCACGTGGAATATAATCGTCAATTTTTCCTTTACGTCTTTCCTTTTCTCGACGTCTTTTGCTCCTTAAACTCACTCCCACGCCACCTTCTTCATCAGTTTCTAATCCAGTTGATTCTTCTGACATGTCCATGACACCGTCATCATGTCCATATCGCTTAATCTGCGTACGACGACGAGGCTCTGATAAAACCAAATCTTCGGTCTCATCTTTCTCTCCAATCGTCGTATCAATGTCAGCTTTCTTCGCCCATTTATTCCAAAAATCGGGGTCGTCAATATTAATATCGGAACGATTTCCCGATGACGCAAAAGACGCTTTCGAGAAAGTTGATCCTTTCTCACTTTCCATGGTAATGATTTGTGTCCGTCTTTGAAGAATTGAATCGATGTCTTCTTCACAAAACTTGTCACCAGCATTGTCATCGTCCATGACAGCACCATAGGCGCCTTTCTTGAGTAAATCTTCAATTTCTTTCTTCGACATTTGCTTGTTATTTCCATCTTTACCTTGCGTTGTGTTCATGCTTTGAAGAATTGCTTTGTCGAGTCCCAACTTTAGTGATGCCTTGTCAAACATCTCACGTTCGTATGTGTTACGACATAAAAGACGATAAATTTTCACCATCTTCTGTTGACCAATACGATGACAACGAGCTTGCGCTTGTAAATCGTTTTGTGGATTCCAATCTGAATCGTAGATTATGACAGTATCAGCAGCTGTCAAATTGATACCCAAACCACCAGCTTTTGTACACAACAAGAACACAAAACGATCTGAATCTGGTTTGCTGTAGCGATCAATTGCAGCTTGTCTTAAATTACCACGAATTCGTCCGTCAATTCTTTCGAAAGGATATTTTTTGTACACGAGATAATCTTCGAGAATATCTAGGCAACGAACCATTTGACTGAAAATCAACACACGATGGCCGTTTGCTTTCAATTTCGGTAAAAGTTTGTCAATCAAAACCATTTTTCCCGATGCATTGACAATGTTCTTGTAGTAACCGTCACGGTCTTCACCATGCGACAATCGCCATTCATATTGAATTTGATCTTCAGCCCCATTAAGCAAGTAAGGATGAATGCAACATTTACGAAGCTCCATCATTGTGTTCATGAGATTGGGAATGTTTGCAGCTGTTGTGCCTTTCTGCAAGAACGAAAAGTTCTGCTCAAGAATCCCGCGATAATATTTCTTCTGAATGTTTGTCAATTCAACTTCAACAATTGTTTCTTCTTTTGGTGCCAACGATTTTTCCACATCGTCTTTAAGACGACGCAACATCATCGGCTTTAACAATGCTTGCAATTTTTGTACTTCACTTTCAGTTTTTAACGAACCAAAGTCACGTAAAAAATCTTCACTGCATGCAAATTGACTCGGCTCGAGGAAATTTAACAACGAGAAGAGTTCATTTACGTTGTTTTGCAGTGGCGTGCCTGACAACAACACACGATGTTCCAAATTTAATTGACGAAGTCCTTCAAGCAACTTGCAATTTCGATTCTTCAATCGATGAGCTTCATCAATGACGCAAACACGAAAGTTAAACTTTTGAAGGTCTTGATAATCTGTCACAATCATTTCGAAAGTTGTAATGAGAACATTAAACTTTATGATGTCTTTCAGTGGCTTTCCATTCTCAAGTTTATAAAAAATTTCATAATCTTGAATCATTTGTCGACTTGTTGACGATCCATGGTAAACAATGACATTCAAATCCGTCCAACTTTCAAATTCACGTTGCCAATTTGGAATTGTTGAGAGTGGAGCGATGACAAGGAAAGGTCCACGAATTCCCCACTCATAAACAGAATGAACAAACGTCAGACTTTGAATTGTCTTACCGAGACCCATTTCGTCGGCTAAGATGCAGTTGTTGTTCTTGAACCAAGAATATTTCAACCAGTTTAAGCCTTCAAGTTGATATGGGCGAAGCGAGTTGTTGCCTTTGTAAACGGGAGTCTTGTCAAGTTGTTTCCATTGATCAGGATGTGGTCGACGCTTGAACTTCCACTCATTCTTAGGCGGGACTTTGTTGAATTTCTCGAATTGTTCAATTTTATTCTCTTCAATGTCTTCTTCAAGTTCCCACGTTGAGTCTTCATATGGAAGACTCTTCCACTTCACAAGATAATGTTTGACGACATTTCCTTCGTCGTCGGTGTGCTCAGAACAATCCAAAATTCTGTCAACTTCCACAAAGTCAGGATTGAAAGGATCTTCTTCAAGATTCTCAAAGATGTTGAATTGCTGACTTTGCTTTTGTTGGAATCGACGAATTTTGTTACTCACACGTTTGTCGCCTTTCAGCAATTCATCTTCAGTGCGCCATTCGCAATGGAGATAGGAAAAGTTTCGATATTTAACTAAATATTCTTCAACTTCCACATAAACTGGCTCTGGTTTAGTATCGTCAGTGGATTTCTCTGCTGAATCTGTTGCTGGTTGTTCACCAGTCGTCTCTTCAGTTTTCTTACTTCCATTCGAATCAGACTCGTCTGACGTTTCAATCGTTTTCTTCTCTTCTTCATCGTCTTTCGACTGTTTCTCAGTCTCACTTTCAACTGATTTCTCTTCACATTTCTCTGATTCTGGTGCTTCTGCTTCTGCTTCAGCTTCTTGTACTGGAGGTTCTTCTCGTTCAGTTTCCACTGGTTTGTCTTCATCAACTTCCATTGGAATTTCTTTCTTTTCTTCTTCATTTTCTTTAACTTCATCTTCGTCTTTCACAGTCTCGTCTTCACTCTTTACTTTGACACTTTCAGATTCTTCCGTCTTTACATCTGTTGAAGAATTTTCTTCTTTTTCTTCTCCTTCTTGTTTCACTTCTTGAGACTCGTCTTCCTTCTTAACTTCAGTAGCTGGTTGAGGTGGCGGTTCTGGTTTAAATTCGCGTTTTCCCATTCGTTGAGCGAGAACAAACTGAACAATCATCGTGTCTTCATCAGTAGTGTTGATGTAAACATAATTCGGTTTGTTGCTGATGTCTTCAATTGGAGGTGGTTTCGATACGTCAACATTATCAACTGTTCCGTCTTGCGCGTCTGATGTTGTGACATTTCCAGTTCCACCATCTTCACCTTCAACTTTTTCCTTTCCACCATCTTCAGCTTTTCCAGCACTATCACGTTTAACTGGTGAAATTAAAGCAGTTTCCTCATCAGAGAACCTCAGCATGACATCGTCAGTGTACTTCTTTCTTTGAGTATTTCTTGCTGATCGTCTCTTTGAACTGTCAATCTCTGCGTCGTCTCCTGTCGGTGATGCTGGTGGTGTCGTAATCAAATCATCACCACCTTCATCTCCTGAATCCTGTACAATCTTCACACGACCAGAACGACGACTTGATTTACCAGCTCGTGAATTCCGAGGCTTTTTATTGTTCATTCCACCACCTCCCGTGCTACGACGACTTTTACTCTTTTTCTTCTTTGATGGAGTTTCATCTTCATTCATTGAGTAAGGATCTTCACTTCCAGCATTGCCTTCGTCTGACATGACACTTTTGTCTTTATCATCAATCAATGATTTGATTGCAATCTTTGAAACGGGAATATCATCGAAATCTGTCACTTCATCACTGCCACCATCAGCCTTCTTTGATCCATCATCAGTCTTTGCTGTTTCGCCTTCAGGTCCTTCAATCTCACCTGAGTTGGCATCTGTGGAATTTTGATTATGCATAAGTGAAGCGAGTGTTTGATTCTCTTCACCTTCACTTGTTGTGTGCTTCGAAAGTTCTGTACTGTTATTGTCATGTGACACTGAGTTCTCTCCACCACCCACGCCAACGCCGCCACTTCCACTGTACATATCATCAATAGAATTTCCTTTCTTTCCTTTCTTCTTCTGTTTTGCCTTGTCGGGATCTTTATCTTTCTTTTTACGATCCTTTGTCTCTTTAGGGCTCTTTGGTTCTTTTGGTGGTTTCGGTGCGCGAGGTTTTCTAGGCTTTTTAATCTTCTTACCACTTGCATCAGTCGATGTATCAAGATCACCAATTAAATTATCTTGTGAAATATCAGCCATGTCATTATCTTCCGAATACATTTGTGATAAGTCACTTAAACCCGTACCAGCTGTCACTGAATCTTCCGACACGGGAAGATTTGATGGAACGACATTATTCGAATCATCTTCGGTTGATTCTGCTTGTGATTGTTTCTCGCTTTTCTTTTGACGAGGTTTGCGAGGCTTTGAAGAATTACCACGTCCTCGTCCTCGTCCCGTTGTACTCGTCACTTGCGGTGAATCAATCATTGAGAACATTGGATTCTGTAAAACACATGACGGCGTTCCACCAGGACATTGATCTGTCGTTTCATGCTGCTGTAGAATATTTATTCGTTCTTGTGTTCGATGAATCTTCTCTTGATGTTCAGGCGCTGGAGGTAAAAGATACAAATCTTGGAGTTGCTGTTGAAGCATCGCTCGTTCCTGATGATGTGGCATTGCTGTGTATGGTGGTGCTTGTTGCATGTTATAACTCATATTATAATTAGGTACTTGATGTGATCCAGGAGGATAAACTGTTGGCATTTGTTGCATCATATTTCCATCGACCATTTTTGGTGCTTGTACTGACGAAATATGTTCGATCTAAAAACAAATAAATTTTAAATTTTCATTTCATAAATTCAGGGATCCAGAATCAGGGTTCGATGTTCGATGAAATCAAACCCTGACTAAATTTAATTTAATGAAACCCTGTCCAAAATTGAACATCTAAAAGTTTACTTACATTATTCGCAATATCAGAAGCAATGACATTAGTCATTTCATTAGACAAAATGTCTTTTCCAACATCATGATGAATCATTGTTGAATCAGCTGACTTTGGTTTAATTGGATCACTTTCAAAACCAAAATGAAGCTCGTCATTCTTCTCAATGCATTCTTGCTCTTGTGAGTCTTGTGAAACTTGTTCACTTTCATTTCCGTCTGTTGTTGCTTTTTGAAACTCATCATTGGCATCGTTAGCATCCAAACATGGCAATAATTCTTGCTCCATTGATTGTTGATTTGCATTGTCATCTTGTGATATTTCATTTGTAAAGTTATTTGCTTGCATCAAATTATTTGCTGCATTGTCACTTATTTGACTACTTTGACTATTATCATTGGTGGTTTGAGAGAGCAATGAATCTTCAATACTCGACTTTTGTGCGTTCGATGATGACATGTTCGATGTATTTACGGTTGCACTGTTTGAATAACTATCCAAAAGATTCAGATCTGATGATTGATCTGTCGATTCTAATGTCGACATTGAAGATTGATTTGTTTGTAGTCCACTATACTGATCAGTTGTTTCCATTTGTTGCGCTTGTTGTTGAAGTGTCGGCGACATCAGCTGTTGATTCATTAAACTATTTTGTCCACCTCCCATTTGTTGCGGCTGTGTTGGCATCGACGGTGTGAGATTCTCATAAGGTTTATGAATCGAATCGATATTTGTTTTCTGTTGGGGCTGCTGCTGTTGTTGCTGTGATGTTTGCGTAAGTTCTTCGTAACTATTATACGACGGTTGCTGTTGAAGTTGATTCGTCGGTGGAATCACTTGCATTGACTGTGATGCTGACATTAATTCAGGCATTTGATTCTGCATCATTTGTGTTGCTGATTGCTGTTGTTGTTGCTGCTGCTGCTGCTGCTGCACTTGCTGCTGTTGCATTTGTTGGATCTGCATTTGTGTTTGAGTCATCATGCCATGATGTCCATTTCCATTCATTTGCGATCGATGTGCATGAGGCCATTGCTGATGTTGCTGATGTTGTGGCGACATTGTCGTGACACGTGAGCCGAGTGGTGAAAGTGGATTGTTTGGCATCGATGGAAGTGCTTGTTGACGATAACTCGTTTGATTGTAATCCATTCCAGGTGCAGCATTTGACACTGGCATGACCATCTGTTCAAGTGCTTGTAAAGTGTTCGGAACGACTCCACTACCGGCACTTGCAGGTGGTACAATTGAACTTTTTACATTTGTCTGAATCGGTGGCAATGACGGTTGTGACCTTGCACTTGGACTCGAAATTCCTGGCATGTGTGGATGAGGCGATAAATTACTCGACGATTGTTGAACATTTTGAGCTTGTTGTTGTGGTGGTGGTGGTGGTGGTTTTGCTGGTGACATAACTGGTCGTGGACTCATTTGAGGATGTGGTGACATTTGCGGTCTTGGACTCATTTGAGGTGAAAGTTGTGGGAAAGGCGCTCGATACTGGGGACTACTTCCATGCTGTTGCGTAGCAATACTCGACGTTTGCTTCGAATTTGGAAGATAAGTTGGAACTTGTGGTGGAGCAACAACTGGTGCAGCTGTCATTTGACTACCATAACTTGGTAACATTCCATGGCCCATTTGGTGCGGCATTTGAGCAGAATTATGACCTTGGGGAATCTGATGACTTGCTTGTTGATTAGCTTGTGCACTCATCGCCGTCTGATGTTGACTCACACTCGAAGAATGATGCATCGCTTGATTTTGTGATGTCAGATGCGCTTGTTGCTGGGATTGGGATTGTTGTTGAGCTCCATGTGATGACCCTAAAACTGAGGGCGGTTGAGCTGAAGGATTCATTGAAGGATGTTGAAGCTGATGAAGTTGTTGCTGTTGTTGTTGCTGCTGTTGCTGCTGTTGCTGATGACTTTGAGGTGTCTGAGTCAAGTGAGATTGTTGAGCTTGTTGGAGGCCAATCGGAGGTAAACCAACTGGACTCTGATTCGGTAAATGACCGTAAGTCGATTGATCAAGCCCCGAATGAGTGTATCCAGGATGTTGCGCTGATGATGAACGTGAACTCTGATGTTGAACTCCATAACCACCATAGGGTTGTGGAGTTGGAGCTTGTTGTGGTGGTGTCGGATACATTTGATGTCCACTTTGTGGATAATGTTGAGATATTCTTTGTTGAGCTTGTTGCTGATGCTGAGATTGAGGAATGGATCCGTAACCTTGCTGAGGAATCATCGTGCTCATCATGCTTTGTTGTGATGAATATGCCGCTTGCATTTGTTTGGGATCTTGAGGATATCCACTCATATGCTGGCGATAGCTAAAAATAATTAAAAACAAAAGTTAAATTTTCATTTCTAGTAACTTTTCATTAAACTTCTTCGTACCTGGCTTGAGTTTGTCTTTGTGGTGGTTGAGGAGCTGGATGACCATAGCCCATTGGTTGTCCATAAGGCTGAGTTGGAACTGGTTGACTTCCCCATCCAGTGATGTCTCCTAAGCTCATACCAGCATGCTGATCAGCACCCATTGAGTACATGTTATCTGTCGGCTGATAAGTTGGATATTGGGGCTGTTGTTGTTGTAACGGAATCGGTGCTCTGTGTCGTGGTGGATGAGTACTGTAGCCAGGTGGTGGTCCCATCCCTCGCGGTGCAGTTGGATCATATCTGTAATAAGCGTCTCTATAAAGGTTGACACAATACAGAGACAAAAAAATTGGGAAAATTTTCTCAAACTTCCTTATATATTTGCCAATTTCCAATAAAAAAATGCTCTTAAAAGTCGTTCAACTTACCCTTGTCCTCCGTGATACATGTTTTGTGCATTTCCATCCATTTAGAATCGAAAAAAAAGAAAATTAGAGTTTTATTCCTTTCGTGTTTGTTATTGTTTGATTTCCTTTTTTATTGCGGACGATTTTAAATTTTTTTCGTAGCCATTTTTTAATTTCCTAATTTTAAAGTTTTCTCTTATTGTTAAACGCTAGTCTTTAAGCTGCATTTCATATTTTCACCTGAAAAAATATCCGAAAATTTGACTTGAATTAAAATTTTGTTTCATGTTGTTTTAGGCAAGGGGTAAATCATCGGAAAAAATTGGAGGGCAAAAGCACTATTGCTGCATTGAAGCACTAGACAAATTCCAAGAAAAAGTAAACAAATTCTTGGAAAAAGGCCATTTTTCTTGAAAAGCACTAGTGATTTTTGATGCTTCATTTGAAGGCAGCGGGCAGAAGCACTACGATGATTTACCCCTTGGTTTTAGGAAATGAAAAATGTGAGAGAAAAGTTAGAAAAATTCTCTCACAACACACACTACCAAAGAATCACCATACAGTCACCAACACATTCACATAGAGGTAAATAATTTTTTTGTATGTTTTGTTCAACATTTTTTTCTCGTAGACTCTCGGCAGACGGAGTTAAGTCATAATACTAGTAAATGAAAAAATATATATTTTTATATGAATCACTGACAGCTGATTTTGGCAAGGAAACTTGAATTAAAATTTATTTTAGATTACAAGAATAAAGCTTTTTAGAGATGGATTTGTAGTTTCGAGAACAAGGCTGAAGACCGAAGAAAGTTATGATTAGAAAGATGCATCTGAAGGAAATTAGCTTTCTGTTGTCATAAACATGAAATTTTACACGAGACACTTTTTATCGAGGACATAAGCAGCAGTTCAAAAAATATTTTCCATTCCATTCTGTGGTGATGATGACGCTACTTAAACACCTAAGGGGAAAAGCTATACGCTTATGACTTTCAAAGTGAATTAAAAAGCATTCTTCAACATAGAACGCACAGTTTCTCCCCTAAGGTATTCAATATTTTTTCGGTTTACATTTCGATGCTTGTTGGTTTGCCGCTTTTCACTCAACATCATGGGAAAATGAGAAAAATATTTCTCGAAATTTTCCTCATTTCTATCGGCATGAGATTGAAATATTTTTCGATTGTGTTTATGTCCCTCACAAAAATGCAACGTAAATTTCACTGAACTTTTGTGATTTCATATGACAAGGAAATATTAGTTGAAATTTGGTAATACTACGTTCGACCTTGGCGTGATACTCAACCACTTGTCAGAGAATTTCTCACCGTGCCTTCCCTTCTATGATAAAGCAAAAAAATATTGAAAGAAGTCTGAAGCAGATTTAAAGGAACAAGAAAAAATGAGCATTACGTTACTCAAGAAAGCATTCGGTGAAAAGTTATGCGAGAAGGGAAAAATCGATAAACACACAATGATAATGCTGAGTTGCTTTTGTATGTGCAGAGTGTTTTTTTTTCCTTTTTGTATCATGATTTACCTCCCTTTGTGACACTTTTTATCAGGGTTTCTGACTAACTTTGTAAGGGATTAATAAAAAAATATTCTTCAATATTTTTTATTTTAACAACGCCCTAATTTTAAATTAATCTTAGATAATGTTTTTTTTTCGTACATTATTAAAAAAAGGCAAATAAACGAGATAAAGGATAGCTTTGGGAAAGAAGATTTTTCAGTTATTTATACCGTCGTCATTCACAGTCGCTCCATTAAAATTCCACCATTTTGATAACTTTTCTTTCGCATATCCAAACTCTCAATTCAACAACTATACAGGCACGTTTCAGTCGATGTGTATAAATATTTTTGGGGAAATTTTCACTCATTACTAATCTGATGATTCAAGCCATTCTCATTATCTTTATGAAGGTTTTTTTAAGATTCTTCTAGAAAATTTTTCTTTCTACACAAATGAAATTTTTAAGAAAGAAAATTTTCATTCTTTAACCTTTTTGACTACCTAATTCAAGAATTAATAAAAATATAAAAAAGGAAAAGTAAATTTAATTTTTATCATTCGATTGAATTTTGGTTGTCATTTAAATAATAAATTTTCAACATGGTGGAACTGATCTTCATGGTTGAATGATTTTTCAAGCAACCCATGAGACTAATAAAATGCTTCGAACTCATAAAAAGTCATTGAAAATGCTTCAACCATTCAGTTTTTAAGTTTAGTTTCGAATAAAATTTTCATAAACATATTTGAATTGTTCGTTTTGCATGAGTTTTATGAAATAAGTCCGGATAGCGAGAAAAATCGATAATTGCTTACTTCCATTTCGAGGGAAAAAGGGAAAAACGAGATGAATCCGCAAACACAAACACAAAAATTACAAGTTTTCTTTCTCTTCTTTCTTTCTCATGTCGGGGGGTTCAATCTTGATTTGTGATATCATGAATTATCAAAAATGTGGAGCAAACGCCCTTATTTCATACGATTTCTGCCGAATTCAAGCTCGTGAAATTTTTACTGATTTCTAATCGCTGCAGATTAATAACATCTAACAATAAAACATATTTCAAATTAAAAAATCGTCTACAATTTTATTAAAAATTAACAAAATGAAATTTTCCTAGACACAAGAGAGACAAGCGTACAATTCAAAAGTTTCATAATTTGTTTAATTCATTTGTAATTTCTTCGAAAAAGAAAAAGTAAAGGCCAGACATAGCACCAGATTTGATTACAGCTGGAGCCCACCCTTTGTAGAGTCCACTAAATTTCTCATCACGCAAAGTCTGCCGCAAGCAATCAAACATTCCTGATGTAGTGATATTCTTTCCAAAAGTAGTTCGACTTCCATGAAATTGTTGAATTTGCAAACGTTTTTTAGTAAGATCGAGAGGATAAATGCAAGTTTTAGCAACAATACCGCTGAATGTGCCCGCTAATAAAATGACATGTCGCGAAGGTTTCTCTTGATTCATGAAGTCAATGTAATGTTCAAGAATGAAATTATAAGAACCAAATTGAATCGCAGCATTTGGAGCAATCGCTGTAACGCCAGGCACAAGTCCACGAAATAAACCACGAAAACCTTCATTTCGAATTATTGTTGCAAATGCTTGAAATAGAGACCGATAACCTCGACCATCATCTTGAGCGATGAATCTTGTGCGTGCTACATCAAATGGTGTAGCAATTGACATTCCAAAAGCACCAGCTAAGCCACCACCTACAATATGCCGAATATCAGAATGTTCATCGAAGAATTTGATGTTTCTTGAATGACGATTGAACTGATCATACGCTAGAAACTGGCCAGTTCCATAAGTGACGCTTAAAATCTGACCAGGAATGTGTCCCTTCCATAAGCCTTTCACGCCTTCTTCTTTAAACATTAAAAGAAGTGTTTGGAGTGTCGAAGTGTATTTGGCTCCAACATCTTTCTTAATGGGCTCTAATTGAAGTTGATGTCGAATTTTAATACAATCAAGAGGCTGTGTAATGGCGCGAGTCAAGAAACCTGAAAACCCGCCAGCTATTGGAGCCTTCATATTCTTGAACCATGAATTCATCTTATCGCTCTCGCTTTGTTCCTTATTTTTTCGCTCCATGGGATCGTTTTCAATTTATTTTTGGCTTTCAGGTTGAAAATTCGTAAGAACTTTTTATATTTATTTTTTCTGAAGGTCAACCGCGCGTCCAAACTGGTTCTAGAAACAGACGAATACGAAGACGTGAATCAGAATCTCATGCTCGTCTTAAAAGAAACTTTTTTTGATTGATAATGAATTGTTTTCAGTGACTTTTTATATCTTTGATGTTGGCTGATAGTAAGAAGCGTTAATAGAAACACTGGCGTCTTAAAACTATTTTTCTTAAGAGATTCTTTAGACTTATAAAATGTAAATCGAGATTTCAACAAACACATTGAAAGTCTTATCGTGAGAGAAGTTCAAGTTGTAACCGGCCTATTTTACGCACATCAATCTTCCATTTTCTTTCAATTAACCAAATGGAATAAAATAAGATGTTTGGTAGAGAGAAAGAAAAAAATAGTCGAATGTTGTCAGTCACACCACACATGCATAAGCATAAGCTCAATGTCTGTTTCAATGGTACAGAACTGACAAAAGAAACAACCATCATATGAAAAAGAGGAACTTGAAATTAAAGTGAAATCAAAAATTAAAGAAATTTACGGAAAAAAAAACATTTGGCTGAAAAACGGCCAACTCTTCATCTCTCATTTATGTTTTCTCTCTCTCACCCATCTGACATTCAGTGAAGTATGTATGCATGGAAGTGTAAGTGAAGTCTCACAATACATACATCGCATATACATTCTAAACATAAACTCATGCCGGGATACTTAAACGTATTTTCATATACACACGAATATGCCACAAAGAAGAGACACGCGACAAGATGAAATTGAATTGAGAAGAAAATAAATATAAAATATACCTAAATGTAAGATAAATGTGTGTGAGGTAAGAAGAGGGAGTGAGAGAGTAAGATAAAGTTCATCAGGGATGACATCTTAAATAATAAAGTGAAATTTTAGTGTTCAATCGAATATAATTTTTAAACAGAAGCCCTGAGTGACAAGCTCTCAGCGTCGATATAAATGTATGCTCGAAATTGCCCACCATTACAGAATTTAATTCTTTTTTTATAACTTTCGATACCTTTTAACTCGAATGTTCTTATTAATTATAATATATTCACCAATACCTCTTCCATGTAATTTTTTTATTTCTATGAATAGAAAAGAAATCGCCATTACAGATCTGATTTATAAATCACATAAAGTGGAATGAATAGATGTACTACAAAGGAAAAAGAATCTAATTTTTCTCCAACGACTCAAGCTAAGTTCAAGAAGAACAAACATGGCAAATGGTGGAAATTGCAATTTATATTAAAAGAACATTCTCTTATACTCAGCATAAGTTTGAACGAGTAGCAACTCTACGATTGTAATAATTTTACTCTTCCTCTCTTCACGGTTTTCTTTTTCCACTCGGAATTCAATCTCTGATGAACTTTCAAAAAAAAAAAGTTATTCAATTGAAAAGTTTTTAATATTTATGTGTATATAAGGAAATAATGTTTTAAACCGTCACCTAATGAGTTTTAGATGAGCATTTACTTCTCTATACGATGTCTATTCATTATTTAATATTTTTGATTTAGATTGGACATTGAAAATATTTTGACATTCAGTAAATGAAAAACGATCCTAGTGCGCAATCGATTGAAAGAGTTTAGAAGAAAAAAAATATTTAAGATTTATTGATATTTAAAAGTTCAACTCAGACAAGGAAAGAAAAAAAATAATAAAAAGTCAATAAAAAGGCCCCAAACAACTCAAATTAGAAATGGCACCAGCGCATTATGACAAACATTGCGTCACTCAATTAAATGTCTTTTCAGTTTCTAGATTTATGTATTTTTTACAAAATGGCTTACAATTTTTGATGGATATTTTCTTTTCATTTATTTCTGCTGGTATTTTCTTCTTTTTATTCATAACCATATCGATCGCTTTATCGCTGCTACACGTACATCATTCAATTTACATACGTGGTGAATGTTATTGTATTTATACAATATATAAGACATGAAGTTCACTCTTATGATTAACTCATGGGGACGCACAGCAGAAATACGAAGCAACATCTTACTGATTTTTCGGCATACTTAAATTTTTTTTTCTCACTTCTCGAACACCAATATTCGGATATTGCTTCGTTTATTTTTTATTTTGAATCTTTACCATGGCTCTTTAACTTATGTAGAAATATTTTCTTTCGAACTTTCGAACTCATTTTGAGTATTGTGAAACAAACTTTTTTATTTCTTTTTTCGTTAAGTTTCTCTTTTTCTTAATTTTTTTTACTCGCTTCAAAAAATTACATAAAATATATTGAAACTAAATACGAAAAAATAACAAAAGTCGTATTTACTTTTCACATTTATCTATTCATTTTAAGCTTTTTTATCGAATTTTCACCACAATTGATTTTTCTATTCAATGTAGTTAGCAGCATATTACGTAAAATCAAATAATTTTATTGATCTACGAACGATTCTTTTATCAAAAAGCTTCTTCTCAATTTTGTTTCGTTCATGACTATGTATCAGCATACAAAGCGTGTAATATGTGCAACAAATAAGCTGCTTGTATATAGCAGTCAAAGTCGAAAACAACCTTGAACTTCATATTGAAATACATATGGGCTTATATAAAGCGTCACCAGTTACGTCACTTTCGATTTTTACACAAGTTGTGAGTGCCCTCAGCATGGAAAAGGCCAAAGACCCCGAAACAAAAATATATACAAAATTTGAGCTTCGGCACTTTTTTTATCATCGTTGAGCAGACACGATGGAGTAACGAGAATTAAATGAAAATTCATGAAGTCATTTTTCCTGATGATGGAAAATCGTTTAAGTTTTAAGTAAGTGACGAGAAATTTCGTAGGCGCAACGCGTAGTTATTAATTCATTAGTTGACTAAATCAAGTTAACGAGCCAACACAAACACTTAAACAGGCTTCACAATCAAACGTTTCTCTATTGTTTGGAAACAGTAAAAAAGATTGTGTTTCTACACTTCAAGCGACGCTTTGTGGAGGTAGCGATTGGCGCGGATCGGCAAAAGGTTAATAAACCTTACATCAATTTTTCTTGCCTTCTCTCTTCTCAACTTATTTCTTTTCTTTTTTTAAAAATCTTTTAAACAATTTGCCGTTTTATTTTCTCAAAAGACATTTAAAATCAAAATTACGATCACTAGAAAATGTTTAATTTCTTATTATAAATGAAGAATGGAATATGGAAACAATCGTCTTGTGGATAAACGAAACAAGTTTTTTTTTAAAAGAACCTTGGAATGAATCGGCTGATTGCATATTTTATGCTTAAGATATTCTTTATATCCTTTCTTATATCCTTTCTTTATATTCTTTCTAAGAAAGAAAGAAATTGTAATATGCAGAATTAAATAAGATTTTGAAAGACAAATGTCAGTGGCTGAAAGGCATTAAGAATCAGTCTTGATATCATTTAACATGAAAAAGCAATTCAAATATATCGATTAAATTTTGAATTTCAAAACACTCTCTGCCTATTAAATGTATTTTTCACTTCTTGATACTTTCAGAACCTTTCATTCGTTTCTTGAATTTGTGCAGATATTTGAAGTTTATAGCTTCACTTTTTTTTGTTTTAGGATATATGTGTGGTTACGGCTGCTGTTGCCTGGCTTGTTTTTCGCACACAACAACGCTATACATAGAAAAAGCTGTTCATGAACACAAAAAAAAATTATGGAGAGAGCAAAAAAAAAGTGGAACAGTGATGCAATGAGGGGTTCAGTGACCTGCATTGATTGTATAATAAAATGAAGTGGAAAATTTTCAATCAAATGAAATTTCAAGCGTTTTCTCAAAAGTCAAAAGATTAAAAAAGGCACCCAACTGCGCACCTGCTTTATAGGTAAAGTTTTAACTTCAGAAAAACTGTATACGATGCGCTAAAATAATACATCCGCGGCATGGAGAAAGAGAGAAAAGCAAATGCGAGCCAACAAAGCGACTTTACATTTTTTATGGCCGCCATTTAATAAAAATTGAACAAAATTACCTTTTTCCACACGAAAAAAGTATGTTTTTATTTTCTTCACTACAATAATATTATTAAATATATTTCTTATTATTTGCTTTGATGTTGTTAGTATTGGTTTGACGTCTAAAAATTTTTAATTTTTGTTTTATTTTATTAGTAACTTTAAACTACACTCCCAATTAAATTCATTTTATTTGACAAATTTGCTTCTTTTCATTTATTTGAATTCGATGAAACTTTCTGATAAGAATTAAATCCAGAAAAAAAAACCACAAAATTTTATTATTCTCAAGATTTGCAAAATATTTCAGAAAAATGGAGCACTGAAATGTCTAAAAAGCTGTTTCATCGATTTAGTCGTGTCACTATTTTCCAATTTTTTTTCTCTCTGTCGATTGGCATCTGCCGACATCTTGAACTTTTTTTCCGTAATTCTTTTCGTTCACATTCTTCACAATAAATCTACATTTCTTATTTTGCGTTCCTTTTTTTTCTTTTGCCACAGCTCACTGACAACAGCACAACATTCATTTGCTTCTTTTTGTCCATAACATGGTGAACAAAAGATGTCTTGGAAATTAAATTTACAATTGATTATTCGAGAAACAATCTCTTACTTTTTGCACCGACACATTAATTCAAAAACTTATTCCACCTGCCATTTCGTTCACATTTAATTAATCCGCAAAAAGTTATCCAACAGAAACATTCATAAGTTAAACATTTAAAATACTCATTTTACTTGACAATTGTAACTGTGATAACACGTCTTTAAATTATGAAATATTAATCTCTTATGACTTGTCATCAAGCTCAGTTATATATTAAAAAATCGTTTGTATGAATAGAAAAAAAAGAAATAATGAACGAAAAAACTTGTGTAAGAAAATGGTTGAACATGTAAAAAAATTCTCGGTTGTGTATTAATGGCGTTGCACAAACACACATTACTAAACCATCCCGAAAATACCGTAATGTATTAGAAACTTTTATAATTAAACTCTTTCACTGTTGTTTTATTATTTCTGTGAATACAACTAACATCTTCAATCCCAAATGAAAATCTTTCTTTAAAGATGATTTTCTTGTTCAGCTTTGCGGATATTTTTCAAAGCCGGGCAATGACTAAAAATGAAAATTTTATGAATGAAATCCTCGTGTATCGAGTGAGTGTCGGGGTCGGGGTTACCCGATGATTCCCACACAGTCGACTCAGCTGATTTTTATGGAGGGCCGCCCCGAGAAATGTTGTTTACATTCCCGAGATGGGGGACAATGTGATTCAAGCGATGAGTCGAAGTCTTAAGTGTTTTCTGCTGCTACGTTGCCGGATTTTCTTTTACTTGAGATTAAAAAATTTGCTTTTATTAAAGAAATAAAAACAAAACGCAGCAAAATTAACTTTGTAATTTGAGCTATTTTGATGTTCAAAGCGCAGCACATTTTTGATGATGGGGGTTTTTAGAAAATGTCGGATATTGAGAGACTCGTGCAAACAAGCAAAGACTTTTGTATTCGAGTGTCCCTCGGAAGAAGAAAAAAAAAGCGACCGAAAAAAAAACGAGAAGTTACAACAAAAACAACAGCCAGAACCCATTTTTACAGCACATCGAGAAAATGTACAGTCTTTTTAAAATCATCATACGTATATACGGGCCCCGAAAAGAAAAAAAAATAAAAATCAATATCATCATCACACCATCATCCATCTCATAAAATTCACATTTTTCTTCGTAGTGTCTATGTTTCCCGTGATATGTACGTTCCGGAAAAAGCATATTATTAAAATATATTTCTTACGACGGCTAAAGGACTTATTACATACCACAATTTCGTTTAAATTTCACAGATTATTTGGGCTATAATATTAATAATATCAATTAAAACTTTCCCCATTTTTATTTATTTTAGCTGCACTACTTTAGTAATTGACAGTCTATCCATGGCTTTATGGTATTATTTTACACAATTAACCATTTTTCATTGTGTATTAACAATTATTTTCAATAAATTTTAAAGTAAAATATCTTCATAAAAAGCAAATTGAAGAAAGAGAAAATTTATAATCCCTAAGTAAAGATTTTTTTCTTTGCCATTTATTCTGCCATCCGGATTTCGCGCACACACCTCGTCCGATCAAAAAAACAGCGAAAACTAATTTTCATGTCTGATTCTGTCTTGTGTTTTATTTTTTTTTCTCCTTTCCCTGTGCTCACCCATTATTGTTTTCAATACGAATACACAACACAATTTCATCTCTCTCAATGATGGTTTTCTTTGGTTTGCGCTGTGCTCACTTTTTCGGGTTAATTAAAATAAAAACTGTATTGAATTGTACGCCGATATGTTAGATGATATTTTCTTAAGCGTTCGGTGAGCGAACAAGAGAATGGAATATGAAATGAATATAAAGAATGTGTTGAAAACGCTGTGGTGACAAATACAATTGAAGATGGAGACGAAAAGATTTCACGTTTCTCTTTTAAATGCTTTTCCAACATATAAATATAATTATCACAAATATACAGAAAATTAATTAATTTAATGATGTGAGTCTTAAGGTTTTCATATTTAGAATTAATAAATTTGATTTCATTAATTCGAGTGTTAAACAATAACTTGCGGAGAGTCAATTTAAAGATACGTAGAAATTATCGCCATTATGCATAATAATTTTTTTTCCAATATCATTTCTCAGTCTTCCAAATTAAAAAAAAAACTAAATGCTTTTTTTCTTCCCGAAAAATCAATTTCGATTTTTTCAGATACCATTTTCAATCAAAAAAGTTCATTCACAATTAAAATATGTTTAACAAAATGCGGAATATCATAGCACAAATATAAATATTCACTTACTTTTAATGTTTTATGTTGTTTTTTAATTTAAAACCAATGTTGAATTTTTTTAATTTCTCTCAAGTAGCGTTTTTTTCTGACTTCTGCGTTTTTTTCAAAATGCCGATTTTTTTTCAATTATTTTGTACGCTTTATAATGCGCTTTACACTTTTTATTTCGTCTCTCTCATGGATAAAAACACTTAAATTGCTAAAGACTAGAGTTATTTTATATTTATTTACACTAATTCTGTCGCAAAAATTTATTTCTTTCCTTACACCTTTTTTAAGAAATATGCTTCGATTGGTGTACAGGCCTTTTTTGATACTTTAAGCTTTAAACCCACCGTGGGTGAAAGGCAAAGTAGTTCAAAATTATTCAATATGTCAAGCTTTACTTGCATACCCTGTTATTCAAAACAACATAAATTTATACGTTAAATTTTCATGAATGAAATATCCAAAAAATTGAAAAAGCGGAAATATTCATGGCTAATTCTTAATAAGACAAGACAATAAAATGACACATTCGCCTTAATTGAAGATTAGATCTGTTCTGTAATAACTTCACCATATCAGCATGAATTTATAAAATTCCTTCCAAAATTTATTAATGCATTGTTATCTAAGATTTCTTCCCTTTTATTCTTATTTTCATCCCTGTTTTTATTTTACAGAGAGTTATAAAAAACGCTTAAAATTCTTGTTTCTTTTAAAACAATCTCGTAAAATAAATTTCAAGCTTTGCATTTCAAACAAGATTTCATGTTTTCACCTTAAATATAAATTCTGCAATTTAATTAAAATGTCTGTTTCGGGAGCTTAAATTTGAGATGAATTTTCTTAAATGTCAGCGAATTTTAAATTCTGCTATTATTATGAAGGTTGACAATTTTAAGATCTTTGTTTCACATTAAATTCTTCTACTGACATATGTCATTAAATTAAATTTTGCAAATTCCTGAAATGACATATTAATTAAAAAAAAGTCCAATTAATTGCTTTTGTTAAAAAGAAAAAGCTTCTTTGTCTCTGTTTTATTATATCTATGTACTACATAGGTAGTCAATGAAAATAAAGATGAGAGACATGCTTTCACGATTTCTGTTTAAGTCGTATTAACGATTCTAGAAAATGTACAACAGTTGAAGAGATTTCCATGAAAAAGCTTTTCATTGATAAAACGTTAAATGTAATTTTATCACATTATTGACTGAAAAGCTGTCATGACAATTTTTCATTGACAACTATTAAAAAACATTGAAAAGGTGGCTGATATCGTGGTAAACATTACTCCTCCTTGTAATTATATTCTCCCTTTTTAATAACATGTCACTATGGCATTAGCTGTCATGTTATTTTAGATTGACATTCATTGGTCTTATATAACAGAAATGATATGTGAAGTTCTGAGAAATTATGAAACTTTCATCTGGTGAAATTTTACCTCATCGTTTCATAACAGTTTCTCTCAAAGTAACCAAGAAAGCAAATACATCTGGTTAAATGCTTTTATCCCTGTTTGCTTACCCACTTGCTTGTAAACCTGCATGTTTGCTTGCTTGCTTTATTTACTAACTTAATTACTTTTTTAACGTTTTCATGAGTAAAGCTAAAAAAGTTTTTTATTTTTTTAATAAAGCGAGAGATTTTCTGAAAATGTGAGAAGGTAAATATGAAAATTTCATTCATTGATATTTAATGTAACATATTTTCAATATGTTTGTTTGTAGACAAAGTTTAAATTAATGTGAATTGATTTATAAAAAGAAACTTCAAACATATTTTCATATCACGCAGGTGCGTCATTTTCAATTATTTTTATTTGAGTTCATTTTGCATAAAAAAACGATGTGTTAAGAATAAATAACTCATTCAGGATCGGATGTCCAAAAGGGTCGAGTTAAACAACTGCGAGTGCCTCGTTTGATGTTTGATCGATGCTATTGAATGAAAAAGCTTAGTCATAGCAAGCGCATCATGACTTTTTTGACATGACAGTGCGTAATAAAAAACAATTTCTTGTCATCGTTCTGATTAGGTTCCCTTTTAAAGCTCAATCACCCGACAAAGTTCAGCGAGTGAGGAATAAAAGTTTTATCATCGTCACACATTTTTAATTCACTTGCTTCAAAGTGGAATCAAAACATGGCTGAACCTTCATAATCACTTCAACATGTGACAAAATTTAACTCCCGAAAATGTTCAACGAAATTCAAATTAATAAAATTAATCAAATGTCATTTTGCCTTAAGATATTATCAAACAGTGAGATGAGATAGCTCACCTTTGTGAACAATTATACAAGAACACGATGTAATAATATATTCAAATTTATTTATATTAAATTCTGTAAAACAAGGAAAGAAATTTAGACTTTCAACAATTCATTCCAATTTATATTCAAAATATTTCAAATTTTCCACTTAAATAAACTCATTAAACATTTCAATTTTAACATGATGTAATGGTTAATTAAGAAAATTTGAAACACGAAGCTTGGAAAAATTAAAAGTCTTAAAGATAGATATTTGAAATGTTTATCAGCGCGTTAAATTTCTATAGCAAATATTTGTTCATAATTCTAATTCATGATGAAATTTAATTTTATTATCAAATGCCAAAACATGTCTTGGAAATTATGTAATCTTCATTGTAACTTAAGTTGTATGAGATTTCCACACTTTCTTAATAATTCTCACCTTGTTTAGGGACAAAAACTTTTTCAGCTTTGCATAGAAGTTTATTAAACTTTTACAAACATAAATTAAGCCTTTGTGTAGCTCATTCGTATGAAAACGAACGATTTTTTGACATGACCTACATACATAATAATTAATTTTCCACTAAGACTTTACAATTGCCGTAGGCAGTAATTGACAACGAAGTTCTTGAAAAATTCATTTGAAAAGTGGGAAATTACTAATTCATAGTTTCGAGTCGATGATGCAAAGTTCGTTTCTATTATTAGAGAAAGCAGAACAATTCTTGCGAGATTTGGTCACATTCAACCTTTTCCATTCCTTTGAATGTTCCGGAAACAAGAGAAGTGTTAAGCAAAGGTTCAAAACTAAATATCGATAATAAGTGAATGGAGCTATTTAAGGAAACTATCGTAGACCTTTCCTTAGCCGACAATTCCTGGTTTGTGTTACATTATTAAGATTGAATCAACAGTCCTTTCACTGTGGGTTTTTTTTATTTTCCTTTGTTGCTTCAAATGAAAACGTCATTGATTTTATCCACTTTTATATCACACTCACCGACCTTAAACTTAAAGTCAAACTCGTAAATTTAATTTAAATTCAAACGTTCGCATGAGTGCATTTCTTTACCTAGCTTTAAGGTAGAAATTTTCTATCATAAATTTTATTCAACATAAAAAAATCACGTAAGCAACTTCATATATTTTCTTCTTGAAAGCCTCCATGAATAATGTCGTCGTTACTTTATTTATAGCTTGAAATAAAAGCCAGGAGCTTTAAAACTTTCACAACTTTATGAAATTGAATTGTGAAACGCTTTAAATGTCATAGAAATTCATTTATTTTGATTTCCTGTCTTGAGCTTCGTCCTTAAACTGAATACAAGTGAGAAACCTTTTCAAAAGCTTAGTAATGAAGAATTCATTAGCATTTATTTACTAATATAAGAAAAGCATACTAACAAATTCATTCAACATCCATAGAAACATCGTCAACATCATTAGAGGGCTTCATCTTCTTTTTAATTATTTCCATATGTTGCGCTCGTTCTCGTTTATCCTTGATGAACACTTTATGTCCTGAGCAGTTGAATGTCTCAATAAAACATTTTTTCTTGCAGCATATTCGACATAGATTGAAATCACACTTGAGGCCTCGTGTGTTTGCGCAGTCAACCATCGTGCAGAGCTCTTCATGTCGTTCAATTTTAATCTTGGCTCGCTTTTCCAAACGTTTAAGTTTCTTCATATGCTTCTTAGAGATCGCATTGCCTTCCTTATCAAAATATTTTTCTTTCACTCGACATTCTGCTGCCTTTTGCTTTTCTTCCAACATTTGCTTATGCTCTGCAGGCGGTGGTCGATAATAAGGCTGGCAAATCCATGGCGGAATTGTTAGATTGCAATCAAGCACGAAGTTTTCATTCACTTCACCATCCCACACTGCTTCGCCTTCATGGAATGGACGATATTTATCATGAAGAAAGTTCACCACTTCCCTGAATGATTCAATCGAGTAAGCATTAGCCATTTTAAGGCGCTCATTGGCATTTGATTTTAAACTTAACCTGTTGAGAGTCACAAATAAATCAAAAAGAAATGAAAAATGGAAGGGAACTTACAAATGATGAAATATTTTAAATAAATGACCTCTAACGAAACTTTTTGGACAAGGATAAAGCTCAACAAGATTGAGATATTCATTTGCAACGTCCCATGCTGTCGGACTCACACCATCGAAGAGAAATGGGTTGTGAAGGTTTCCTTCCGCTGACATCACGCCATTTACTCCCGTCACTTCCATACATCGCTTCACATCATAAATACAACAAATGTTGCCATTGGCAAACACCGGAATGTTCACACTCTCACGTATTTTTCTGATAATTTCCCAATCAGCTATACCCGTCATCGGTCCTTTCATTTCACGCGTCCGACCGTGAACTGTGATTATTTGGGCACCAGCGCTTTCTAACATCTGAGCGTATTTTATCGTTTTGCTTTCATCATCGAAAATTCTAATTTTGCACGTGACTGGAACTTGAAGATGTTGATGAAGAGTGCTAACTGTAAAGAAGGAAAGGAAGAAAAAGATGAAATGTTGAAGAAGAATTGCGCAATCAACAAAAAAGAAAAAGGAATTATTAAAGATTTTACCGATTTCCGCCAGCAACTCCCATTCATCTTGTAAAAATGCGCCATAACGACCACGCTTTGCAATCGCTTGAGGACATCCTAAATTAATATCGATGCCATCGCAATGATCTTGAGCAATGAGCGCTGCTTCGAGCATAATTTTTGGGTCGTTACCGCAGAACTGAATCATAAAAGGACGATCTTCGGGACATGACTGCAGAGCTTCTGTTCTGTATTTGATGTCTTTGATAAAACAACTGCTGTGATACATTGGAGAGTAACAAAGTTGTGCTCCATGGCGACGACATAAAATACGCCAAGCAAGTTCACTTGCATCGACCATAGGAGCGACGACATACTTTGGGGAACCGAGAACTTTCTCATAAAACTCAAAACCAGAAAGCTTTGGACGTTGATAAGCTGGAATTGGGAAGTTTTGATTCACGTCCGTATTTGATGTCACATCTTCTGATCCTTTTGTCATGTTATCTGCTTGAGTCACGTTAGTCTAAATACACACAAAAGAAGAATGAAAAGCAACTTTATTAAATTATTTAGTGATTCTTGTTCACCAGATGCTCAGTAGCTTTTGTGAACGAGTAAGTCATACAAATGAAAAGCGGTTTGGCGACAGAGCAAGGATTTCTTGAACAAATCATTTTAGCTTATTTAATTTGACTCAGGTGTAACTGTTGGAGTAGAAAATTCTCTCAAGCATCATTAATTCTCATTACAAATTAAATTTCACTTGGTGATATCATTAAGAAGATGAAGGAAGGGGAAGAAAGAATTTTCGAATTAAACAAGGGATTGTAACCAATTACAACCTGATTAAAACTTTTCAGACAAGTTTTAAAAAATAATTTTCTAAGGAATCAAGTGAGAATTCGGATAATCAAAGGAAGATTAATGTTGAGGGATGTCGGAGAGTGGCAAACATATGAAGGTTTAATTTATCTCCGTGTTTCTAATACACAAAATTTCTCTTCAATGGCAAAAATTAACTTTCATTTTTTCATATGAAAACTTTCAACATAATTTTCTCTCTTTTTACGATTTTTACTTTTTAAAATGTTTTCGAACAATCTACACACTTTTCTATCCTTATTTCTATTAAGCACTAACATGACGGTCCTTGAAAACCGCTTTCTGGTTTTCCTTTTTTTTAATGAAAATAGGGAACGTTGAAAAAATCTTGAGCCATATTGTCGTCACATGTACAGACACCGATAGCAGAGAATGAAAAAAGCAAATCAATATTTATTATAGCCTATAATGGGAAAATCATCGGAAAATTCTGATACATATTGAAGCCTAGCAATAGTTTCCAATATTTAATGAAATTTTATATTCAATTTCATTCTGTAAAGCATTCAAAATTGTTCAGGCAATTTTAATGCCGCAAGCTCTTAAAATTTCTCGGATCATTTTACGATAACAAACACATTTAACTTGTTTAATATTTATTCATGTTGATAACGTTAAAGCCAAACAATTAATTTTTATCATTACTTCGATGTTTTACAAACAAAACAAGTTTACTTGTTACGATATTAAAAAAGAAATTTTTCATTACAGGGCCGACTTGACTTGGCTTGATTTGACTTGACAAATCGACTTTAGCGCGTTTCAATGACTTGACTTGAACATTAATTTTAAGTTGACTTTCTCGATTGACTTGAAGTAAAACACAAACGAGTCAAGGCCCTGCTTAACACCCACGAAATATCCAGAAAACAAATTTTGAATATTAATTTACTTGTTGGAATAATTTGTCAAATGAAGCTTTAAAAATATTTCGCCATTTTTGATTGATTATTTTTATTAAAAAGAAATTTGTTCAAGTTCTTTGTGATCCTTACGAAAACTTAGAATTTATGATAATAAAATGACTTGCCATGTCAAATGTCGTGTCTTTTCGCAATAAAATGGGAGGAATCAGCGTTTACCATTCATCATAATGTAATGATGTGTTTTTGACACGGCACTGAGTTTTTTATTGCATGCAATAAAGACAAAAATATTATTAATAGCTTCACTCCACGGCTATGGCTTCTTCAGATGTAAAAGGTGTTAATATTTCTTGCTTCACCATTGATGAATATTTTCGAAACTCATAAATATTTCAAACTTCATTCTCGATTACCCACATCATATGAGAATAACGAGAAGAATTTCTTCCATTACTCTAATTCGTTTACATCATCTCGATCGAACGTCGGCAGTTAAATTACATTCCAAACTTTTTTTTTACTTTTTTTATTTTATTTTCTCGTTATCCTACGTCACACAAACCACCAAGAAAAATCAATATGATCAGAACGAGAACTAATAAAAAAACGAAGGGAAATCGTGAACTGAAATGAAAATTGATGTGAATGAAACATGCACAAATGAATATTTAATGAAAGAAGAGATTCATGTAAAGCTTTTAAGAGAGTATTCAGAAATGCGGGAAGTACGTGTCATGAGACTAATCGCAGGTAATGAAGATGTGATTGCTATTGATATTCTCCATCGACGAATCTATCATTGTCAACTTGACCTCACGATACATAACATGATTTTTCATTTAAATCATTAACTGAAAGCTGAACTAACTTTGTTAATGTAGCTACAAATGCACAAATAAAATAAAAGAAGTGTTACAATTTAACACTTTCAAATCAAATAGACTTTAGACACGCCACTTACTCGTATCTTTTATACTGATGCCTCTAAGTACCATGAGGGCACTAAAGTGATTCTCTGTGTTTGATATAAAATGTTAAAGCAACAACATAAATTATTCGGTACAAATTCGATTTGGTAAGGCGTAATGACTTTTTTTTTCTTTACTGTTGTCAAGGGATGAAGTCAGAATATTCAAGAGACTTTAATCTTCCATGATATTAAATTAATTGTTAATCGATATTTTTCGATCAATTCCTACACCAACAATAATGTCACATTTGGAAGAGAAATTAAATTTCCAATGACGTTCGAATCTATCATTCATTTTCAAATTTCGATAAGTAGAAACAAAAACTTTGCTATTTGAGTGACAACTCAATCAGCCACACACGTTACAATGCTTTTTCTGCTTGTATCTCATGGGACATAGCGTGAAAGAAACGTAACAGTTTTTGATGAAGCAAAAGCGTGGGATGGATTTTCAATGTATTTTCAATAAAAAAAAAAGCGAAAAAGAAATTGAAATGAAGAAGCGTCTGATACTTTGAGATTTCCCGATGAATATCGACACAAATCTCTTCTTATTTTTATTCTATTTCCATTGTTCGCTTCGAATAAATTCAATGAATTTTTTAATGCATGTTAAATCGTTATCTATCATGGACGTGTAAGCGACAGTTAAACAGTCGACGTCTGATATCGTAGGCATCATTTGGTATTCAAATAAAGATTACAAACATGTAAATCATTCTTTAAATGTCATGAATAAAACTGTCAGATAACCCTTATCAATCGTCTGTCTAAGCTCAAATGGAAGTTCAACAGTCGTAGAGGTGTTAAGATTGGCAATTGTCTCTTCATTAATACCATCGGAATATCAATCAGCGAATAAAAGATTTTAATTCTTCATTTTTCTTTTGAAGATGTTTAAGAGCTTCTGAGAGTTTCTCTAAATTGAATTATTCATATCTGATCTCGTTGCCGAGGAATGAAGGAATCGTTAATATTGAAGCTTCTGACGATTGCCCATAGAAAGTAAACTTACTTATACAAATAATAGCAAGTAATGATGAGATGCTCAACCAAGATGAAGAGGAATTTATATCATTTTAGTAATGGTGATCATTTACATTAACGGCTCTTTGATGAAAATTGTCTGAAACATCTGGAATTCGAAATGAGTTTTTAAGACAAATTCTCAACTCAGATAAAATTTTGATTACATAAAACTTCTTTTGTTTTAATGCTTTTAAATTATTTCAAACATTTATTTCCATTTTTTTTAAGATATTTTTCTGTTTTGTTTGTCTTTGGCAATCAGATATTTAACGATTATTTATTTTTCTCTTTATTTTTATATCTTGCAAATGTATAAAAGAAAGTAATTTAGCAGCGCAACATATTTCGTCTTTCTTTATAAAAAAAATAAAATAAATCATCTGTCAATAATTAACAACTTTATTGTTGTTCATTTCTTTCTGAATTCTTTTTTTGTTTTAGCTGCAAATCTTTTTCTGGGGTTTTGAGATTATGTGATAGCATGTTGATGCTTATTTTAGCCTAACTAACATGATATACATAAAGCACATGGTTTATCACTGTTGCAATTGAAACAGGAATCAGATTAATAAAGATTGTTGTAGTTTTCACTATTTAGGTATTTATAGAAAGTGTAATAATTATAGTTGATAGACACGCAGGCTTAGATTTCAATTTCCATAAAAACATTTCTCTGAATTCTGTGGGAAAGTTCTGATTAAGTTGATAAGTAGCACATTAAAGTTGACTTAACTTTTCTTTTTGCTACATTACTTATAAATTCAAACGATGATAGTCTAGAAAGCAGCAATTTAAGTGCTTAACAGTTTCCTTTTTATTTCAACATTTTTCATCGCTTCAGATGTCTCAAATTGTTCTTTTTTCTTTACTTTCAAAAATTTCTTGAGATTGAAAAAAATATCAAAGACATAAACACAAAAGTTATAAAATGAAAGCAAAATATTTCGTTGAATTGCGAAATGTTTCTTTTCAACTTCATAAAAAGTTCACGAAAATTCCGTTCCAAGTTCTTTAAGTTTTCATTCTTATCGCATGTTTCAAAGAGTAACACTTTTGTTCACAAATTCTTGTTTATCTTTCATCGATTTTCTTTCTTCATTCAGTTACGCTTACATTTTCCGAGAAACGTAACAAAGAAAAGGTGAAGTATGTTCACCAAAGGTGTGAGCTGATTTAAAAGAAAAGTTGTTGGAAATGTTATGGTGACGGCGAAACTTTCATCAATTCTTTCAAATGGTGGGAAACTTTCAGCGGGTTGAACTTCAAACACCATGACTTCTCATTATTTCCTACGGTTTCCCTCCATGGAGTAAGCAAGCTTCTGACAGGGAGTTTCTCTGGAAACTGTTGTTACTTAAATAAATAACAATAAATAACACATTGAAGTCGTTGCTCTTTTTCTTTGTTTTCAGATATTTTCACCATCTGCCGGTAATCAAAATATTTTTATTCGGAGGGTTGTAAACACTTTCAATAAATTTACTGACGATGATTTTTATCATTTTTTAAATCAATTCATTGATGATAGTTTTCTTTATTTTCATTGATTATTTATCAGTCTCCACGTTATCGATTTTTGTTCTTTCTTTGGGAGAAAATGAAGCCTCTTGGGCTTTTTATGTTTATCGCATTCTTCACACAATAGAAGAACGAAAAAAAAAAGTTTTTTTTTATCTTGAAGAATTTTATTTAATTTTGTTTGATAAATTTAAGTTTTCTCATCTATATTTGTTATGGGATTAGCACAGACTGACGCACTACCAAGTGATGAAATGCTGCCAGAACATGAATGACGACATGCGAGTTGGGGTGAGGTCGGATTTGATAAACCTGACTCATGTATCGGTGATAAAGTTGGACTTCGATTGCGGAGAACATTTTTCCTTCTCTGGCGTCGGATTGGATTGTTGAGCGGTATTCGAATGCCACTAGACGGTTGAATGATAGAAAGAGTGTCGGCTAAATCTTGTAAATCAGTCGGATTTTTTATCTTGCGCCGATTAGGTGCTGGAGCAGATGGAACAGTGCCAGATGATTCATTTGTATAATGTGATGATGTGTTAACTTCATCACTTATATTGTCATTTGAGTTTGATCCAGGTAATGGACGAATTTGATTTTGTTTTAATGAATTGATGCCACGACAACGTGGACGTCGATATCGATTTATCATTCGAAACACATGTCTCAGTCGCACCGGCCATGGACGAACTAATTTTGATCGTGGGCGTTTCATTGTCGATGTTGAATTCATTTGTGATGATGATATTGTTGATATTGTGTTTCTCGGCTCACTGTTGTAAGACGCCGCGATATTTAAAGGATTTTCTGTATTTTGTAAAATAATCTTCGAGCCATTTAAATGACTGTGGACATTCGTGAGTTGTTCAATGTTGTTCTCAACGAAATGAGTTGAATGGAAATCATTGTTGTTGGCACCATTTCCTATGGGAACTTCAATTTGTACATAACGTGGCTGAGGCGGTTGAATTGAAGTTGATTGAACAGAATCAATCATTCTCCTTTCATTGTTCCTTAGAGAGTCGTCCCCAGGAAGATCTTCAGGGCTATTTGGAACATTTGAACAACAATTCCACTTGCGTCGCCATCGATGATGCTTCGAAATTGCTTTAATGCAGCAATGTTTGTTTGAATGTTCAATTTTCTTCGGGGTTTTTATTCGAAAACTACAAAATGTGCACTGCTCAGTGTACTTAACAATTTTATGAGATCCATTTTGAGAGCTTGTAGCATGTGAAAATTCCGAGCAACAATGAAATGTTCGCATCGTATCTGAGGAACGATTATTGACGGTAGTGTTCAGGTCACTTTCTTTCGCTTGAGTTTCTTCAAGAAGAGTACACAAATAAAAAGCTTTATGAGATATTTCAGCTGCAGTTTCCACCACATTAATTTCGGCAATATTTTCCGAATGACGATCGTAAGATGTTTCACAACAATGCAATGTTTTCGGACGATGCTGTAAATCATGAGATTTTATGTTCGAACAAGCATAAATTTCTTTAGCAATACTTTTCGTATGAATTGTTGTCGGTGGAGCATTTGTATTGGTAGAAGTTTGTCGTTGATTTCGGATGTATTCATAGGTCGTAAGACCAAGATAGGAAATGTAAATGTGAAAGAAGCAAAGATGAAGAAGTAAACCAGCGGTTATTGCTGCCAATATAACAACCACAGCAATAACCGAAAGGAAAATTGTGTTATACAATCCAATTCCTTCCTGTGCTTTACTTTCAACGCTTGTTGAATTTTCCGATGCTGACAACAAACTCGTGTCATTAACTAATGTATTGTTAAGGAGTTGAATGATTGTTGTTGTTGCTGTCAAATCATAGTCAGGCGTTGCATCTTTTGTCTGCGATTCCGCATTCATAAAACTTGTTGTCTTATCCCATAAATTAAGCCAAGATGGATTGATGTAGAACAAAAAAAGTTGTGCCAAAGCTGCGGTCAAAATGACCAGAACAGCGGCAACTGCACTCACAACGCACATTAGAAATGGCACATAATTCTGCTTTCCAACACATTGGTTTAAATATTTACAATGATGATCAAACTTTTCTATGCACTTGTTGCAAACCGAACAATGTTTAGTGCGAGTACTTGTTGTCTTAATGTTGCACAAATGGCACCTTCCATTCTCGATTACGTGCAAGTGTTTCGAACGATCGAATTCGGGTACAACTTTACGTGAGCTTATCTTTCGCAATTCAACATCGGCTGGGTCGATGAGAAGGGCGGCAATATGAGCAGTGACATGAATCACAACGAGAACACCAATTGTTGCGTATAATGGCAGCTGAATGGTTGGCTGGAATGCAGGAATTACGATAAAGTAAGCTGCCAAAATGAACGCCAAAAACGTTATCCATGCGACCAACTGAAAAGGATGAAGTGGTAATTGTAATCCGTTTATCCGTCGATCTTTTCTGTATTCATTTGAGCCCAGATTATTTTGAAACGAAATAAATTGAGAGAAACACGATTTTCGCGATTGCTTTTGATGTACTGTCGCTGGTGCACTTGGTCTGATTTCTTTTGATTGCTCTGTGAGCATGATACCGTGACCTGATCAGTAGAGAAATAAACGAAGTCAATGAGTTCAACGTCATATCATAACTCTACGAAATCGTTTAATATTTTTTTTCTTGTCTTTTCAAAATAATAAACGAAAGGTTCACACTTTTTTTATATTTCTGTCGTTTATTCTTTTTTATTCGTTAATTGATTCTTTTCCACTGGCTCAATTAAAATAATAATATATATTTCACATCAATGTTCAATAAATTGTGAGGTAAAATAATTTGTTTGCTCACAGTTATCGTTAATTATTCAGAACATTGTTTTATATTTCACATTAAAGATGTCATTTATCCTCCATATAATTTAGTTGTGAGGGGATAAAAGGACAAATCGTCTCACTTTTAAATCAATGGACGAGTGGATAGGAATTATTTTACAAAGCCAGTCACCAAAATTGCTTTCAGAACAACCACAAAATGTATAATGAGCATTCTTTTGAGAAATATTTTCCATGCTACGTTCCACTTTCATTCAATGTTGGTTTTGTTGCTATTGTGGTTGCTTCTAAACATTTCTGTTCATTTTTCTTTTTCCTGCCTCACAATAAATTTCTTCATTTCTAATAAAAAGTATCGAACTAAACTGTTTCTAACGCTTTTATGTTCAATTCGCTTCACTTAATCTATTTAGTAATCCTGAAATAATACATTTTACGAAAGGAAAATAAAAGTTATCAACCGATAATCCTTTTTCATTTTTCCAACTTATTTTTCTCTTTTTTCCCTTCAGGTTATTGTTTTCGCAAGGAAAATTCACTAAGGATAGAAATAGATTAGAAGTCAACGCGAGAGAGTTCAAATCGCTACTAAACAATATCCAAAAACTTCCCTCGTATTTTCTCTGTCTGATATTTGTAAACGAGCATTTTCAATGTGGAAATCTGAGAGAGAGAATTGAACACTTTGCGCAGAAGAGAAAGTGTACAAGTGAGATTCGCTTGTCGACGACTTTTCTTCAATAGAAACAAAAATACGTGTTAGGATTCACAGCGGAAAGGAAGAACTATCGATTTCCAAAACTTCGATGTCATTAATAGTTCAACATAAACAATTTTAAGAGATTATTCAAATATTTCCTTCCTTTTCATAAACACATATTTTAAGTTGTTGACGCTTCTTTTTAAGAGGTTGTAAATTAAATATTTAAGAGCTTTCTAGATTTTAACAGAGTGAGAACGAATCAACATTTAAAATTGAAGAACTTGATAAAGAAGATCCTTTTCCAGGTTTTTATTCAATGTGAATTATTGATACTAAAGAAATTTTGGATCATAGAATTGGAAAAAACTATTCCAAACCCATCAAACTAGAATAAACAGTATTTGATTGAAATTTTATTCAACATTATCACATGATCATCTTGATACATTAGTCTTTGAAATGAGAGCAAAAACTAAGAATCTTCAAAAGCATACATTGGATTTAAGAAATAATCCTATTTTCGTGACAATTTATCAGTTCAAAATTAGAGGAGAATGTCAAATATCCAAATCAATGTTCAAGAAATGACTAAAAAGAATTTTTCATTTTAAATCGTTAGTCAATTAATTTTTTAACATTTTAATGAAAACTATTTTGTTAAAAATAATTTGATTTTTTAAATCAGAATTATTAACATTCGTTATCTGACCTACGTCTTCACAATATTAGGATACGTTAGTGAATAATGAAGATGAGTATTAAAGAATGAAATTGTAGGAAGTTTTGTATCTTTTAGGCTCTTGCATAAATAATTCAGAAATAGAACATCGTGTATCCTCCTACACTTTTTTATGGCTAATGTGAATTTGTTTGGGTGGGAAACTGTAATCACAATAAATATAAAATGAACATCAATTCGAAAAGGCTCAAAAGAGTGTTCTCTAAGCTTTGGTTATATTACCATAAAGCTAAACACATGACACAGATAATCATGATATTCGTGAGAAAATGACAAGGCAGTCAATATTTTGAAGTAAAGTTGATTGCGTGAATGCTAATTCGTCCTTTCTAATTAAAATAATTAATATGATAATTTTATAAGCGAAAATCGCAAATTGGCAGAAGATTTGGTTTATCAACTCGTTAAAATTACCTCAAGCTGCAGTATAATAAGTTACGGATAACATAATGAGATGAAAAAAGCTGAATAAACATTTCGAGAAGAATTTTTGGGGCATTTTTAACAGAATTTTGTGTATTAAAAAACGTTTTGAAGATATGAACATTTGACAAATGAGAATTGGAAAAAATGTAATAAAAACAATAAATGTTATTAGACAAGATTAGTTTAAGCTACTGCCGATAGTGTGAAATCTTTCAATCTTTATTGAAAATTCTAAACTCGGAATTTTCAGAACTAGAAAAGGTAAACATTGCAAAAAAAACTTTTGAAAACTCACCTCTTGCATATAGATAAAGACTTGAAAATAGAATTAATTAAGACTAAATAGTATTTTTTTGTTATTTTCTTTCTTACAAAATCACTCTCAATAGCTATTGTCTTAAAGTATTTTTTTAATTTATTTCATAAAAATTCTGACAAATATCACACTTAGGGGTACATCAGAACACGTTTTTTATTTCCTTCTTACCCCCTTCACTCCAACCCTTCCATACCTTCGTCAATTCTTAACGAAAGAGTTTACAAGTTTAAACCAAACAATCGTGAAAGAAGATTAAAGCAATCTTTATAAAAATGGAGGAACTCAATCAGAATAAAACAATTCATCAGCTTCCAGAAGAGATCATTGCTAAAATATTCAAATCTTTGAACACCGGATCATTAAAATATGCCGCGCTTACTTGCAAATCGTAAGTATTGTGTAAATTTTCAAATTTTCGTAATAAAAAGATAAATTTGATTTTAAGATGGAATGATATAGCATCCAGAATGGATTGGAGTTTAAAATTAGATTCTGGAACTTCCTCACAACATGATGAAGAAAAGTTGCTGGAGNGTCAATATTTTGAAGTAAAGTTGATTGCGTGAATGCTAATTCGTCCTTTCTAATTAAAATAATTAATATGATAATTTTATAAGCGAAAATCGCAAATTGGCAGAAGATTTTTTTTATCAGCTCGTTAGTATTACCTCAAGCTGCAGTATAATAAGAAACGGTTAACATAATAAGTTGAAAAAGCTGAATAAACATTTCGAGAATAATTTTGGAAGGGTTTGAACAGAATTTTGTGTATTAAAATTCATTCTGAAGATATGAACATTTGACAAATGAGAATTGGAAGAAAAGTGGTAAGTTATACATAAATGTTATTAGACAAGATTAGTTTTAGCTACTAGTAGTGTGAAATCTTTCAATCTTTTGTGAAAATTCTTGGAATTTTCAGAGCTATAAAAGGTAAACATTGCAAAAAAAACTTTTAAAAACTCACCTCTTGCATATAGATAAAGACTTGAATATAGAAATATTAACACTAAATAGTAGTTTTGTTTTGTAATTTTTTTCTTTCAAAATAACTCTCAATAGCTTTTGTCCTAAAGTATTTTTTTAATTTATTTCATAAACATTCCGTCGAATATCACTTTAAAGGGGTACATCAGAACACGTTTTCATTTCTTCTTACCCCCTTCACGCCAACCCTGCCTCATACTTTCGTCAATTTTTAACGGAAGAGTTTGCAAGTTTAAGCCAAACAATCGTGAAAAAAGATTAAAGCAATCTTTTTTATAAAAATGGAAGAAACCAATCAGAATAAAACAATTTATCACCTTCCAGAAGAGATCATTGCTAAAATATTCAAATCTTTGAACACCGGATCATTAAAATCTGCTGCGCTTGCTTGCAAATTGTAAGTTTTGTATACAATTTAAAATCTTCCTGATAAAAAAGATAAATTTTGATTTTAAGATGGAATGATATAGCATCCAGAATGGATTGGAAACTGAAATTAGATTCTGGAAATGCCTCAGAATATCATGACGCATGGATTGAAGAGTTGCTGGAGAGCAAACGAAAATTTGTGTCGGTCAAACTTGAATCAAAGCATGAATGGAACAATCGTTTGGTGGATATTTTCGAGAAACATGGAAATCAAGTTCAGTTATTAACTCTCTATTCATGCACAATCAACAACATGGGAATTTTTTGTAAAATTTTAAATGCTATGTTAAAATTGAAGAAAATTGTTTGCCTTAAAACATCAACTGAAAATGGATTGCCAACTGAATTTGCCGAAGGTAACTTGCCCCAACTTCAAAAGCTCGAAACCTTGGAGTTAGCAGACTGTAGCTATAATATGCTGGGATGCTTCGAAAAAGCCCAAATCAACACTTTTAAAATTTATGGATCTTATAATGATGAAAAACAAGATTCAAAGATTTTGTTTCACTTTTTAGCCACCCAAAAGTACATCAAATGCCTTGCCTTACGACAATTAAACGAACAAAATTGTCAAATCTTTGAATCTCCTATCAAAATTGAAAATGTTCCTTTCAAATTGAAGAAACTTTCATTATGGAACATCAAACTTCGTGAAACGCCAAACGATTACAATAACTTGTTGAAGTTTCTTCAATTCCATTCTAACACAGTCGAAGAGTTGGAACTGAGAACTAATTATCCCAGCTTCATAATCGAATATATTTTTTCAAAGTTCAAGAGACTTTCATCATTAAGAATCGATGGAGAAATAATCCCAAAAGACTTAAGTTTTTATCAGCGACTTGAAGTCAATCCAAGTGTAAAACGACTCATAATTTTCTGTCCACCTAAAAGTAGTGATACTTCAAAAGAGTTTTACAAACACATTCCTAATGTTGAAACATTAGTCATAGTGGCAGGAAGTGTCAGCAGCATGGCAATCGCTTCAAGTGTATTTACTCGATTAAAACATTTAGAAGTTCCTCATACATATGAAACATTCGACAACGATGTAAAATTTCCAAACTTGCGGTCAATTTATTTTGGCTGTATCATGTATGATCAAATAGACTGGACAACATTTNAGAGTTGGAACTAAGAACCAAGTATCCCAGCTTCATAATCGAATATATTTTTTCAAAGTTCAAGAGACTTTCATCATTAAGAATCGATGGAGAAATAATGCCGGAAGAATTAAATTTCTATGAGCGACTCGAAATCAATCCAAGTGTCAAAAGACTCATAATTTACTTTCCGCGTCGAAGTAATGATGTTATAAAAGAGTTCTACAAACACATTCCCAATGTTGAAACATTAGTCATAGTGGCAGGAAGTGTCAGCAGCATGGCAATCGCTTCAAGTGTATTTACTCGATTAAAGCATTTAGAAGTTCCTTGTACAAATGAAACATTCGGGAGTGATGTAAAGTTTCCAAATTTGCGGACAATTTATTTTGGCTGTATCAGTTGTCCAATAGACTGGACAACACTTGCAGCTAATAATCCAAAGGTGACGAAAATAAGAATTGAAACAATCAAAGGAAGTATAAACTATGTTATGATGTTGAGTCAAATGAAATTACAAATTTTAGACCTTACAGCTATTTACACCGACGATAATTTCTTTAAAGCTTTACGTGAAAATACTCAAGATTTGAAATTGTTTCGTATTCATAAAGATAGTTTTGAAGGAAATCTTCCGGATCTTTCTGATATTAAATGTCTGAGCTTGAATGACGATGCATTTGGAGATTGTATTAGAACTGGAGAATTTTGGGATTACGGAGACTACGAAGGTGAATTAATTGAATTTGAAGAAGATGAAGCAGAAAACTGGAGCACAATAGATCTTCTTGAAAATATTCAGATGAGGATGGATTTTAATTTCGATGATGTTGATTATGATGATTATGATGATTATGATGAAGATGACGACTATTTTGATGCTGCAGATCATGATTATGATGATTATGATAATAATGGCGCTAATTTCCTTCTTTTTTAATCCCTTGATTATTAAAAAGCCAAATTTCGTTTCGCTCTATAAGTATCTATGAAAGAATGCTAGAACATAATTTAAGAATCATTTCCCATTTAGATGATTCAAATGAAGTGCTGTGATGTGGCCAAGATCTCAACAAATGTATCTTTATATAAAAATATGAAATAAAAATTAACTTCCTTTTGATATGGAAGTTGATGTTGGAGTTATCTATTCATTTAATTGCATTTCATTCAAAATAAATCATTTTGTTTTATTGCAAATAATTTCATCAAAAATAAATAAGCATCACTTCAAAGGGGTACAACAGCACATGTTTTCATTTCTTCTTATCCCCTTCACGTCAACCCTGCTTTATTCTTTCGTCCATTCTTAACGAAGAGTTTAAACTTCAAACCAAACAATCGTGAAAGAAGATTAAAGCAATCTTTATAAAAATGGAGGAAACTAATCAGAATTTAACAATTCATCACCTTCCAGAAGAGATCATTGCTAAGATATTTAAATGTTTGCACACCACATCATTAAGAAATGTTGCGCTTACTAACAAATCGTAAGTTTTGTAAACAATTTCAGATTTAATAAACCTAATAAAGATGTTAAATTTAATTTTAAGATGGAATGATATAGCATCCAGAATGGATTGGAAACTGAAATTAGATTCTGCAAATTCCTCACCATATGATGAAGAACAGTTGCTGGAGATCAAACGAAAATTTGTGTCGATCAAACTTGAATCAAAGCATGAATGGAACAATCGTTTGGTGGATATTTTTGAGAAACATGGTAATAAAGTGCAGTTATTAAC